GGATGCGATTCAATGCTAAATTGTTTACTTAAATTATTCTCGACTTTTTCGATGTTTTTGTAGGTTCGACATTTTTTCTTTCGATATTTTTATCTTTCGGTTAGTTTTTTTTCGACATTTTTTAGTTCGACATTTTCTATTTCGACGTTTTTCTTTTCGACATTTTTTGTTTCGACCTTTTTTATACCATTCGAAACGGACATTCACCTGTGTGCGTCTGTCTGTCTGTAACACACATATCATGTGATTAATATGGTGCAAACCGTCATAGCTCTTAACTATGGTCCGTTATTCTACTGCTCTATATTGTGATTGTATTTAACACTTCACTATATGTTGCCCCTTCGTATCGCCGGTTTATATCAGGGTCGTTCGTGCCACAGCTAAAAAGTGTGCTGCTTTGTGTTACAATTCTTATATATGTCACAAAGGACCATGATGTACAGCTATCGTACAAACTACCACCAATTGAGATGTTGTACAAAGGAAGAAAACGCACATATGGTGGACATATGTGCTGCAGTGAAAAGCATTTAGATAATCATTGATGAAAGTGCAAATCTTATATTAGAGAAAGTTATAATAGTTGCTCATAGGAATTCTGAAATTTGATTCATAAAATACACTATTTTTATTTGCAATTCTATATAAGTATCTAAGACGTCAGTCTAGGGCCAAGTGAATCGATTCTCGATGAGCACTACTTTTAAATAGCAACATAGAAAAACTCAAATTGTACTGTCCTAAATCACGAGACAAGGCTTTCCTTTAGTATCCAGATTTCTGATACAAATCAAATACACTTGTTATTCTCACTATATTCATCCAATAATAATGCTATCGATTCTTCAAGTAATTAAAATCGAAGTGTCTTCGCAGTTTTGGAGGCTAAAGTGACAGCTATATATGTACAAAACATGGCACCGCGGTGCCTTTTCGAATAGTAGAGAAAAGCTAGGGGCAACTGTTCTCTGGTAGTACTGTTGTATAGGTTTTTGTATGTATTTGGATCAAATGTATTCTGAATCAAATGTGTACAATGTATATTTTTATGCAATTTTGTTGAAAACTGTTCGTTGTATTTAAGGATACGTATATACGTAGTAGATTTAATTATCTTTCTAACCATATATACCTAGTGGCAGTTTTCCTACAATGTCCAAATAGGGCCGATCCTTCGAGCACATCCACACGTGTCCGTTTATCAAACAAGTATGATTTGGTTTTTTCTTGTTTCGCCAATAGTTGTCACTAGCTTCTTATCGTGAATATCTCACTGTTTATATGTAATTAAGTTGCCTTTGGAAAGAATGTTTATTCAGGAAGAACTACAAAAAAAAAACAGACGAAAGTATAGGAAGAAAAAATATGAGAAAGAATTTTTCTATGTTGGAAAAACAAGAAAGCGTCATCCGATAAGTCAGTGACACGTCTAACATACACAACATTTAACAAAATTTAAAGTTACCGCGCTACTGGACCATTGCTAGTACATTCATCTTCGATTATTTTATTACAGTGAGTCCCTTATTATGTGACAATTTCTGACGTCAAAAAGGATATTTGAGGGGCTGATGTAAGTTTGAATCTTCTTTTGATAGATCCATACTCTCCCGTACTCGGACTATTTTTTTCTGTCTATCGATTATACTTGGAAAAGAACTATAGTATGTGAGAGATATTTTAGAATACTGTGGCCAAAAAAACTCATGTAATTTCTACACTTGATTCGAATTTTTTCCTTTTTAATACAGAATACAACAGTGTTACAAAACAGAACAGAAAAAAAAAGAATAAAAAAATGTTTACTCAGTTAAACAACGAATAAAAATATAATAAGATAAAAAACAATTTTGATTTGCTATTAAAATATCAGTTTTTCATGTGCTTGCTGATAGATTACATTACCTTTTAGAGTTCCTTTTTTATTTTTTGTGATACTGTCCTATGAGAAAGATAATTAAAGCACACCAATCAGCAAATTGAATATGAATTGTATCATGTACTACATGTCCCCCTTCCCCGCCACCACTACAATGGAAGACTCATTGGAGAATTTTTGCACTAGGACATGATAGAAGACTTGGGGTCTTATATTGTGTGGGGGAGGGGGTCTTAATATATTGCAACTGAGCGCTTCTGCATTACATAAACCGTTTTTTGTACAATCTAGAGGTGGCTTCAAATAACCCACCAGTATCTCCAGTGCGTGATGCAGAGAAAAAGATAGCGAAAACAAAATATTAACATAACTTGACGAAAGATTTCGAAACAGAGGAGCAGTCATCCTATTCCGCAATGTTGAACATTTCGGAACCAGTTCCGCCGCCGGAATCAGTTCCATCGATTCCGGAATTAAGTCAAATGTGAACACTGTCAGATTCCCGGAATTCCACGAAATTCAGTCCAATTCCGGAATTAGGTGAAATCGCAGTCACTGGGAATTCCGTCCAATTCTGGAATCAAAACTTCTATTACTATTCTATCTCCTCTTACCCATTTAGTGATGATCCGATTCCGGAATTAGGTCAATACGGAATCGCTGGGAATTAGATGGAATTCCGTTCCATTCCTGTTCGACCTAATTCCCGGAAGTCCGTACCGGAATTGCATGTTGTGGGTGTCAATGTGGGTGTTGCGATAAGTGTGGATGCCAGTGTGGGCGTACTGAATTCCGGAATTGAATCGGAAGGGATAAACGGAATTCCGGAAATTAGATGGAATCGGTAGGCAGTGATTCTGGGAATTCCGGAATTGTGTTGGAAGTGATAAACGGAATTCCTGGAATTATATAGAATTGGTTCCGGAATGTTCAACATTGCGGAATGGGTTGTATTCTCAAACAGAGTGATTCGTTGGCAAAATGTTCAACAATATTTTGAAAAAGTTCAAATGCTTATCCAGCGGCAGTGAGAAGAATGGGCCACTAGAAATTGAATAGAACAAAACAAAAGTCGATTTAGTGATGTAAGGATGCTGTGATATAGATACTTCTTCTCATGAATCAGTGATATTCTTGGATTACTTCGATATATGTTATATATCAGCTGGCTTCATTTTCAAAGATTCCAAATTCGATATGCGTAAATCAAGCTTTCAGTTCAATACTTAAGCAAATACTGTTATTCTATGTTGTGAACTGTAATTTTCATTCAAATGACACACGAAAAAGATTCGACTCGCGAACAGAAAGCATTTTTTTTATTGGCAGATGAAAGCGAACAGATAAGTTTCGATCACAATTCCATGAAACAGGAGTTGGCTTTAAGCTATGAAACACTTTGAACTACTATTCCCATTTTCATAAGCATCACAAATATTTTATTTTAATATCCAATGTCTGACCGTTTTTCTTTATTTTTTCGACCGTTCTCTGTTAGCAAGCCACTGAAATTCTTTGATACTATCGTTAATCCCAATAGAATTTTCTAAACACTACACAAAGATCTGGGGCATTCGAAATGCTTTTTAATCGAATTAAATAAATTCAAATGAATTAAGCGATGAACCTTTCTCACTAAAAAATTTTGTTACAGAATATAAAGAAATTTTTCATTTTTTATGTTGTTGTAGAATTTATTGACACTTCTATACACTTAAAAAAAAATGACTATGATCATTACTGCATCCATAGATAATGAGGAACACATTCTAACGGTAAATCCAGATGAAGATTTTGTGAAGATTTTAGAAAATACGCTGGGCACTATTCATGACTGTACTTTTTCTGTCAATGGTGAAACCATTGTATCTGTCAAAGATCTTCCATACAAAATCAGTCATAATACAAAAATTGAGGTCAAGCGCTACCGAACACGCGGCACTTACACATCCTTTGCTCCGACTGGTTCTTCCTTGATAATTAAAAGTCAAAAAAATCCTACTCGACCAGTTATTAATATTGAAACTGTGCATATCTCATGTTCTTCGGATTCGTATAATGAAAACGAAGATATGGCTGGTCTTATTATCTACTCTTTTGATAATAAACAGTTCTTCGAATTGAATGGGCGTCGATGTCGTGCTGGATATATTCTAATTAAGGCGACGAAAAACATTGAACATGCAAAAAGTAACCAAGGAGCAGTACATGGAAATTTATTTAAATGGTTTTTTGGAATTGAACCTGATAATCGATTTGTGGGCGCAGGATTTTCGCTACAAGACAAAAAAATTAAGTTTAATTCTGGAGTATTCAATTCGCGAAATGACGACTATCATGACGAGGAACGATCAATGAGTAGAGACGAAATTTCTTTGATTATGTATGCAGTGGAGGAATTATTCAAGAATGGTAAGTGGGAAACGAATCCAACTTTATCACTTTCAAATATGCATACAAGCGGTTATAATGTTGGTGATTTTTTACCGCTTCAAAATCGTCCAAGGTCAACGATTAACAAAGACACCAGTTAAAAGTATTTTTCCATCTTTACAAAAGTTATTACTAGAGTTTTTTTTGTAACACTCTAACATTTGCTTTTGTCAACTGATTATGCGAACCGAAAAATATAATCGAGAGATGCTTCAGTTTATTTTTGTTCGAAAATTGTTTTCCAAGCTTAACTTTTACACCCTGTATTTCTATTTTTATGCTTGACGGTTTTCGTTTTAAGATCAGTTAATTCCGCCTATTAATGACAAAAAAGACATTGTAAAATATTCCTTTTTTTGTTTTTAGATTATAAATAAATGCGGAAACATCGGATTCGCATCCGATTGTTATGTGTACTGCAACAACTGAGTCGATATATATATATGTTGTGAGTAATTCTGAGAAAAAAATCCCTGTACTCCCCCTCCATCAGTGATGGTCTGGTCAATAGTGACAATTTTTTCGATAACTCAGCCATTTCATGACAATTGGATGAGGCCTTCAAAAGTTATCGTGTTAACGGACGGCCGGACACACTGACCGAATCTACAGTGTGCTCACTTTTTGAGTACACAAAAAGTGGAAAATTGAAATCGTTTTATGATACTTAGTGCCAAGCTACACCGAATACTATGTGATCTCTTTTATTCTTTCAGTTTATTTATTTATTTCATGACTTTAAGTCATTATTGATGCTTCCATGTGTTGTTATGATATTTTAACCAATGAACTATGTCTCTTATGAATTTGAATATAAATTTATGACAATGAGAGACGTGCCATTATTCTAAAATTCTAAAATTCTAGAATTTTAGAATACATATGTATGAAATAATTTGATATTAGTATATGGAATTTTCAGACTTCTAGAATTGGATGGGTGTGGATGCATCTATAATTCTGATCATCACTCACATCAAGACCCCCCTCCCCCATTACAGACTGCAACAACCGTATTCGTCGAATAGTCGATGGTGGAGAAAAATAATTTCAGATTAGAAAGTAAAAACAAAGATTATTATCGAGTATATAGCAATAATTATAAATGAAATCAAGCGTGCTTAAATGAAAAAACAATATTTTCTTTTTTAATATACAAATAAATAATAAATTCCCGCTCTTTTCATCGATCCTCAAGGAAAACAACTATAATTGACGAGAAGTCTTTCAGTATACAGATGATGCGTCAGGTAACAAGGCTAAAGATATACGTGATTTCCACATTTCAGCTCCGCAGGAGCTGCACTAACAAGCTTTTTTTTCTTAAGTTACATAAAACAATCGAATGTTTTTGAATTATTTAAGTTTTCAAATGATATATTATATTCAACCGATGATAGATTGAATCGAATCAAAAGTTTTTGTTTTAATGATAATCTGTCTACCACTTCGGTTGATATTGAAACTAAAAGAATCTAATTTAAAATAAATCTAACTATTTTAATTCATTTTAACCTTTGTTTGAGGTCGAAATTTCGCTTATCTTTTGACAAAACACATCTATTTTTAGTATATGTAACGCTGCGGAATTTTTTTACGACGGAGTAATTTATACGAATATTACTCTTTTTTTCTTTCTTCTAGATATTCATGTCATAATGATGAAGCAAAAAAACAACTATATATATTAATACGTGCGCGCAACGTCTTCGCTTTATATCACTTCTTACATATAACATTTTCTCTTTCTTTGACTACTTAACCGCCTTTATGTCAACATACAAACTCTATTATTTTAATAGTCGTGGTCGTGCTGAAGTATCTCGTTTAATATTTGCTGCAGCTGGTCAAAAATATGAAGATATTCGTTACAACCAAGATGAATGGCCATCACATAAAACTGAAATGCCATTAGGTCAAATGCCTGTTCTTGAATTTAATAGTGCCAAATTACCGCAATCAAAATCGATTGCTCGTTTTCTTGCTAAACAATTTCATTTAGCTGGCAGAGATAACCTTGAACAAGCCAAAGTCGATGCTGTTATTGATACAATCGATGATTTAATACCAAAATTAATATCAATTTTTTTCGAACAAGATGAAACCAAAAAAGAAGAACTTCGTAAAAAATACTTTGATGAAGAACTTCCTAAACATTTTCAAAATCTCGATGTTTTACTTAAAGAGTTTGGTAATAGTGGACTATTCTTCGTTGGTAATCATTTAACATGGGCAGATTTATATTTTTATGATTTGTCTGAAACTCTTCTTGGAATGAATGGAAATTGTTTAGACATTTATCCACGGTTAAAACAAAATCGAGAAGAAGTTGAAAAACAGCCAAAAATTTCAGAATATCTTAACAATCGACCTAAAACACCATTTTAAAGTGTTGCTTTTTTTATCATAGTGGATTTTATGTCGAGTTTCAAATATTTGCGAATTTATGTATCCATCACTTTAATCCATTTATTCAATGAACTAGGATAACACAAAAAAATCATTTAACATATCTGTTCAATTAATTTTTCTACAAAAGTCTCTAAGAACATCTTGACCACCGAATTTTTTTCTGTTGATGAATCTTCCAAATACCAATTTCTTTTTGTAAGGCTGAAAAGGCTAAAGTTGAAATGAAGACAAACTGTGAGATTAAGACTCATCTAATGTAAATTATTAGAAAAATAATTTCATCTTCAAGTCCTTTGTCTGCTATACCTTGTTTTTAATCTTTCACTTCTTGTAGAGATCCATGCATGTTGATATATGATAACCAGATTCTGCATACAAAAACTTTGTAGTTGTATTGGAATATCTCGTTTAAATTTTATTTTTGCTGGTTCCAAACTCGAATATATTCGTTATGAATGACCACTATATAACGCTGAAATGCTTTTAGGTCAAATATCTGCTTTCGAACTTAATATGATATTTATTGCTCGTTTTCTTATTAAATAATATGGAACAATCCAAATTCGATTCATCTTCAAGTGGTGATGAATTGGCACGATATTTGTATTTATCAGGGCGTGGGTGTGGGTGTGGGTGTTAGCCTTATCTTCATGAGCATAGATGCACCCACACCCTTGTGTAACTAATCATATGGTGCTTTGATGAGGATTAGCTGTATAATTCGTGTTTTACAGGAAAGTCTGAAAAGAAAATTCAGTATAATTGTGAATACGCGTACGCATTCATATGAAAAGTACCTAGAGTAATTGGGATGTCACTCAAAGTAAACAGATAATCATCTCTCAACAACTCCGCTTGTGGTCAGCTGAAACTATCGGGAGGGATGTGTTAAGATGCCTAATAGTCGCTATTGGGAAAGAAATGTTATGAGAATTAATGAATTTGTTATGCAATGTTTTGTCGCTTTCTTTCCTTATCATTGTTTTGTTCGATTTATAAACTAACTAATTTTGTTCATTGTGATTGTGATGATTTAGTTGGAGGTAAGATTATCGATTTTTCGGTTGCAATTCGCTGCGACGAAAAATTTAACGATTTGATTGATATCTAAACAGAAATTACAATGACTTTGAAAGTGCCATGTTGGATGGTGCTTGAGGATGTGATCACATGGTAAGTGACCAAAGAGAGCAACAGATACTATGGACAAGTAGTTTGTGACTTCTTCGTACTCTTTCGAGTTAAATACAAGTGGAAATGAATAGAAAATGACTTCTACTGAGAATTTCATGAGCACGAATAGTTTTGGGAAAGAAAATACAATGTTTCAATGATGAAAGGCTACAATTTTTGACAACCAAACACATTATTGAGGTGAATAGTAGACATTTATTTTTATTCAAGTGTAGCATCTAAAAGTCTATTTCAGTAAACAAAGTTTTTTTTTTTATTGATTTTACGTAAAGGTTATCTTCTCTGAATTATAATTAATGCCATCGTACTTTCCAATGGTATGAACCACTGTCTACGCGGATACTCATCGCGTTGTCGACCATCGAATCGGGGCGTATCCAAATGATACCACTAAGAGTTGTTTCGACCAGTGGTGAGGATCGATGCCAGACTAATATGCCACTTTCTTCAATCGACAGACAATGAGCCATTGGTTCTATAGGTTCGAATGTAATAATCGAGTGAAGTGAACTTGGCACGGTCACATCGTAGGTGACTGTTTTGTCATCATCGTGTAGTTCCCATGAAACAAGAATTGGTCCACTGATTGTTTGTACTTCCGCTTCGACATTTATCAATAGTCGAGTCAGTCGCGGACGTATAATAAGATCTTCATTAAAACCATTCAGTTGCACACCGGCTAAATAACGGTAAAACCATGCACCAATACTATTAAACATATGATGATTTAGACTATCCGTACCACCAAAACCTTTTAATAGAGCGTGAAATGTCTCCCAGTTTGTTGTTGCATTCTGGACATCATTATTAAACATGAAACCAAAAGATGGATATGTTGTTTGTGTTGCCACTGTCACTGCCAAATCATGATAACCAGCATCAGACAAAACTGGAAATAGTGCAGCTGTACCAATGATACCAGTTGTCAGATGATTGTCATTAGCAGCAATATTATCAGCAAGGGCTTTGACGACTGATGCACGTAGATTTGAAGGTACAACGTCAGGTAGCTTCAATGCCAATGCATTCGCCGTTTGATAACCTTTTGCATATCCATTGATAGTAGAATTATAGAATGTCTCATGAAATTCTATGGCTAATTGATCATACAATTTACTATATTTGGCAATGTTAGTCTGATTATTGAGAATTTTTGAGAGAATTATCATTGTTTGTACGTCACTAAGATATGAAAATGCAGAAACCAATGAACTGTTGGTCACAGGATAGTTGGCGGGTGTTTCCCAATCACCGTAAGCGAAATAAAAATTTGCTAAACCACTTTGTCGTGCACGACTTGTCAAGTAGTCCACCCATGCTTGAACTCCAGCATAGTGTATTTTTACAATATCCGTATCATTGTAATGTTGGTAGATGCGCCAAGTTATTTCTGGATAAGCATGTGCCCATGAGGGATCAGCTACATAACCACCAACAGAGTAGGGTGCTGTATCAGGTATCGATCCATCTTGATGCTGAACGTCTGCAATATTCCGTAGAAAATTTACATATAATCCATACAAATCAAAATTGAATAATGCTGTATCGACTGATAGGGCTGCATCGCCAAGCCATCCTCGTCGCTCCTGTCGTTGACTGCAGTCTGTTATAATTGACATTATATTGCTGAGTTGTGACCACAGAATGTTGTGTTGAATTTGATTGAGTACCAGCGATGAAGAAGTAAAATTACCTGTGAGAGTTGTTTCACTATGTATTGCGGCGCAAACGACGGACTCAATATTAATGTAATTAGCATACACCGATATATAACGGAAGCCATGATAAGTGAACATAGGGACCAATACTTCATGTGGACTACCTTGAATGATAAAATCATCAGATGCAGAAATAATTTGATAATTGGCAGCGTTGAGTCCTTGATATTTAATTCCATCGATACCTGGTTCGTTTAGTAATTCTGCATGTCGCGTCGACACAGTCATACCTTGTCTGCCCGTAATTGTCAATGTGCAGTAGCCAGCAATATTTTGTGAAACATCATACGTTGGAACCTGTTGGTTTGCTAACGGCGTTGCATTAAAAACACCGCTATTCATGATATTACCGCCGATGACGCCTGGTGGCATTGAATCATAGCCAGTTCTCGATGCTGATGTAGCAATATGTAGGGCATATGGACTTATCCGTATTGGATCCATTGATTGATATGTTAATTGGCCAACTGGTGAAGTCAATGGCGATTCAATGGTAGACGCATTTAACCATAGACTGTACGGATCAGTGAAACCGACACTTGACCAGTTGTATCGTTCAGCACGAGTGTCATAGATTGTTCCCATATATACACTATCTTTACGATGAGCGCCTTCACGACCGAGCCATGTTGTATCGGAACTTATATTCATGGTTGTATGGTCACTGAGTACAATATTGACTTGTAAGAGTAGTCGTGGTGGTGGGCCAAATACTTCTGGTGCTGGACTTGGAGTTCCCCCACCCCACTGTTCATGTGTATAAAATCCAAGTCCTAAATGAACACCAATGCAATTCATGGACGCAGCTGTTAGATGTTGAGCTATATCGTATGAAACGTATAGAACACGTTGCGTATATGTAGTCCATCCAGGATCAAAACGACGCGAAGGATCCACATTTACACCATTCACATATAAGATACCGTAACCCATTCCACTCATAAATACAGTAGCCGATAATATGCCTTGCGGAATATAAAATTCCCGTCGCAATTCATTCATGTTAATGTGACGTGAGCCTATCCAATTTGCCGTCAATTCGTTCGTGGGATTGGATAGAGCAGTCCGAAATCGACCGCTTACAGGCTCACTTATTGCGCCAGTAGATGACCAGTATTGGATAGAATATTTGTATCGGGTGTCAGATGTCAAATCTGGACCACCGTATAAAACGTTGGTCGATACGGATGACATGACACGCCCTGAGTCATAGATGACGACAGATTTCTGTATCGGTGAATAGAAACTAACTTCTTTGACGATAATCAACCGATAAGCTATCTGATGGATACCACGTAGTGAAGTACCATTACAAGAATACTTTTCGTCATCGATCAACCAAGAAAAAATTGGTCTTTCAACCACAATATCACGATGAGTATCAACGTCGTGGTGATCAATACGGACACGACGTGGTCGTAATGAAGAACATAATTGCTGTACGTGAATTGAACTTGGAAGGAGCAGAATATAGAATGTCAATACGAAGCAGGAGATAGTGATCATCATTACACAGATCGAGAAAAAGTTCAAAAAAAATATAATTATCTATCATCTGTTTATTACTTTTTAGAGTAGGGCTGCACGAAAAAGATAGGAGTAAGAAATGACGAATGATTTACATAAATTTGGAGTTAGGAAAAACTGACGTAGAATTTTTGCAAAATTATCAATCAGGGAATTAATTTGGTATATTACGTATAATAAATAGTGGAGTCAGCATAAATTTTCTACAACTACAAAAGACGAAGTTTACAGTTGAAATCATTTACCTAGTTGAAAAAGAATGAGATGCGACACGAGAAGAAATATAGATAACTGTGTTATCGATGTTGCCCTCGAGAAAGAAGAGACATGTGCGATGGACAAGAAGAAAAAATGTTATCTCAGTAATAGATTGACTCTTTTTTTTTGCGATAGCAATTTGATGCATTGATCATAATTGTGAAAACGGTTTGCCGAATTACGAGTTCACTGAGGAAAGTCGCAAGAGGTTTGTGGGTGCCAGGTGAAAATTTATTTTGCAAGTTTCAGAAAAAAAAGCAAGCGCACTTTTAAATATATTTAAATGAAGAATATTCATCAAGTAATTTAATTCTAATATTAACTTTTCTGTCGTCATAATAATATATCGATAAACTTAATAGATCGATATTTGATGGTAGTGTTATTTGTTTATAAAAATTAGTTTCGTCAACATGAACAACAAGATCATTATTATTAATAGATACCTGAATTTTATCAGGATTATAATCCTTCATATCAAGTTTCATTTCTATATATCGTTGATCCCTATCATCAGTGAGTACTTTTGGTTGAAACACACTTCGATAGAAAGCATCCGCATCGAATTCTCGAGGAAAAAGCGATGATTCATTAATGGTATCACTGTCATCAGTCATGTCTGATAACGATGTAGGACTATCGGAACGTTCATGTGACGATTGAATAGTTGTTGTTGGACTCGAGCGTTGGCGATGTTTCTCTCGGTGAGTTTCTTTATGAATCGTGTTATTTTTAGTTATCACCCGATCAGCGATTGGCTGATGAAATTTATACATTATCGCATTTGAACGTGTAGGTAAAAGTGTTGAACCGACCGAATGATTAAATCGTTGAAGTATTGGAATTCGATGATTGCCAGTATCATTTACTTTTCGTGGTAGCGCATATCGATTTGGTTGAATCAATTGAACTGATGGATATTTTGAGGAAAACTCGACTTGCAGTGTTATCGGCGAAGGAAAAGTAACGTGTGAACTTGAAGAAAAAAAACGTTTTTTCACAGAATAGATGAATAGATACACAAATTTACCTCAATGTATCAACATCAGGAGGTAAATCATAGGATTTTTCAATTATTCGTTTTGATAGACCCTGAAATTAAAGATCGATCTAAATAAATTTCTATGAAAACTATTTCTTACTTGACTTCTGTTCTCAATCCGTTCACCGTATACAAAAAGTTTACAACCATCAATACGAGTATGAACCTATTTATTTCATACAAGAAATTTGTTAAATAACGGAGAAAAAACAAATCTACTGACTTCATTTTGATCAAATCCTTCAATATGAATTTTGATACGAAATTTTTCTCTATCACTGGTCGGATCATAAATCCATTGTGCTGTTGTATCTTTAGAAGGAATTCGATCTTGATAGTTTGAATAATTCGGCGAATGACGCATAGGTATAACAATGCGATCAGTAAACGGTAAACTATAGCTATATGAAGAAGATATTCTCCTTCTATTTTGTATAACTGTGGTGTAAATCTATGAGAAAGAAAATATTTCTTTCATCAATATAAGCTATATATATATATATATGTGTGTGTGAATACCTATTAAAACAACCAAATGACGATAATAACAAATTCATAGGGTTATTAGTTGTAGATTAGCTTCAGAATTCATGTTACTTTTACTACTAATTCAATTGAAGAGAACGAATAAAGAGAAAGAAATTAATCTTTTCACTTTTTTTCTTGTTGTCGAACACACTTGTGTACGATAATCAACGGTATAGACGACCTACGAGAAAAATAACACATTACGATAGTAGATATTTCTCTAATGATACGAACATAAAACAATTTACACCTTGGTGTTTGCCCAAACATTACCAATAAAAGAAACAATACAAGAATATAGTTCCCGTTTCACTCATCTGACAGAACTTCGGTGAAATTTTTACTAAGTACGTAAATGAAAAATGCAGAAAAAAAATTAATGGTATTTTTTTGAACGATTCAGCTGTATAAGAATAACAAATTTCAATATTCGGACCAGTTGAGAAAGTCAAACAAAACAAAAATGCTCCATCAAATGCAATCAAACCATGAAGCCACCGCTCCAGAGCCAGTATCAAACATTCAAATATTCTTTCAACAAATTAGAAGATTTAACAAATTCATGGAATACGCATTTACACTTCCAATGAGTTTACTACAAAATGGTGTAAGCCTTGCAATGAACATTGCTTCTGCGAGTCCAAGTATTTGTGCAGCTTGTATGTGCTTAACAATCACTACAACATTGTCAGTTACAAGTGTTGCCGTGGGAGTTGGCGTAGGCGTCGGCGTATGTTGTACTCAAACCTACTCGACCGTCTCAAATTCTACCAGTGGCTAATCGTTTAAATGTCTACAAGTCCATAAACACAGGTTGAACTGAATTTTTATTTCCTTTTTACTATATAAATCCTATATACGTGAGAACTAAATCGAATATTTATTCAATAAAATGTGAGAACTATGAATTACACAAAATAAATAAATAGTGTTCAAAATATTTTTCTTCTTAAAATTCCTAAGCGTGTACTAATCAGCCACTGGTTGAATTACTACTATTAGCTGCAGTTGTACTATTGATGATGTTTGTGCTTTGCGCAACGCCGTCAAAAGATTTCGGACAAGTCAATCCGACACCAAGTCCGACACCTAGACCAACACCAGCAGAACATGTAATACTAATAAGTGCACCACATACACAAAGAGAACAGAATGCCGGATGTATTGAGAAGCAATGAGGTAATGCTATTCCAAGTTTATCCAATATAAATTTTGGCCAACTGATGACCATGCTATATGTCATTTTAATTATCTTCAAAATCTCCATAATCATTTGCCGTAGAGTTAACTTTTGTTTTACTTCGAACAAATTACTTGTTGGTGCAAAATAATTCATTTTCCTTGTCTCCAAATAAACAATAATCGTTTTCAAGTAATGTAATTTCTCTCTTTTTTTTATGTATATATCTCGTGAATACAAGACAACATGTGGGAGTCAAAACAAAATGGACTTGTTTACCAAAGATCTCAATGAAAAAAATAATTGTCCTTCACACTTGTTGTGTTGACTATTACTAAATGCATCGTTGATATAGTATCTGTCTTTTCTTTAAGGCTATTTTGCAATAAAAAGAAGGAAGAGTTCACTGGTTGAGTTTCGTTTCATTACGAGGTGGAACTGATATTAAATAATTTGTGTATATTTTTCCACTGGAAAAATTAACTGCCTGGTAATGATGATAGTGATCTGTTAATGATTGGCGTCTGGTTTACTTGTGGCTAATAACCGTATGAAAACATGCAACGGCAAGGTAAGGCATTTTTATATTTTCCTATATCGATGCACGTCAATACGTAGCGGAAGCAAAGAAAGAAAAATACCGTGTTTCTTTTTCAATCGTATCTGATATTGCAAACATAATTATATCTTTCAGATATCATTAAAGTCAACATAATTGCTTTTGATGCTATAAAACTCATGATTTTATAGGTATTTTATAAACGAATTTGAGTGTTTTCTTACTACTAAGACAAATAATAAATATTAATTGTCACAAAAGATCGTTTTTATTTTTTTGAGTGACTATTATTTATGATTATTCATGACAAATAACAGATGTGAGACAATATGTGTGCATGAGGAAGTTCTACTTTTATTTAATTAGCACCCTTAATAAATGAGGGTGTGAGAATTATTCTTTCCTCCACTAAGATACTTTTTCAAAAAAGAGAGAACTAAATCATATTTTTGATTCGTATCAACAGAAATCATCCCGTGTACAAGTTATAACGTTACTTCAAAGTAAAATATTCACTATGCATTTACAGTCACTCTACAGACTCACTTTTGCTATAAAATATAAAAATTTCTTTCAGAAAGTAACATCAAATGCAATTAGAGATATATATGTGAGATGTCATCAGATATGAATTAATAAGCAACTCACAAGATAAATTCGAAAAATGACGAGTGTCATAAAAATAATACCAAAGCACGGACGAGACTCGTAGTAGTCAATAATGACGCGCATTCTTTCTTAATGAGGCAAGTGACTCATGACGAAATACATAAATTTCTCAGGGTCCAATTTTACCGTAACGCATGAAAACAAAATAATAGACACTTTTTTTGGCCTTCCAAAGCTCATGAATAAAAACAACTATGAATCCTCAGTATTTAATTTCAAGCCGTCTGGCAAGTTGTCAAGCATTTCTTTGCACACAAAAGAGCTTCAACTATCCTTCGAATTTTCTCACACTACGAAATTTAAACGAACAAGATGCTCCATCAAATGCAATCAAACCATCAAGTCAATGCTCCAGAGCCAGTATCAAACATTCAAATCTTCTTTCAACAAATTAGAAGATTTAACAAATTCATGGAATACGCATTCACACTTCCAATGAGTTTACTACAAAATGGTGTACGCCTTGCAATGAACATTGCTTCTGCGAGTCCAAATATTTGTGCAATGGTGATGTGTTCAGCAATCACTACAACATTGTCAGTTGCAAGTGTTGCCGTCGGAGTTGGCGTAGGCGTCGGCGTAGGTTGTACTCAAACCTACTCGACCGTCTCAAATTCTACCAGTGGCTAATCGTTTAAATGTCTACAAGTCCATAAACACAGGTTGAACTGAATTTTTATTTCCTTTTTACTATATAAATCCTATATACGTGAGAACTAAATCGAATATTTATTCAATAAAATGTGAGAACTATGAATTACACAAAATAAATAAATAGTGTTCAAAATATTTTTCTTCTTAAAATTCCTAAGCGTGTACTAATCAGCCACTGGTTGAATTACTACTATTAGCTGCAGTTGTACNTCTACAAGTCCATAAACACAGGTTGAACTGAATTTTTATTTCCTTTTTACTATATAAATCCTATATACGTGAGAACTAAATCGAATATTTATTCAATAAAATGTGAGAACTATGAATTACAAAAAATAAATAAATAGTGTTCAAAATATTTTTCTTCTTAAAATTCCTAAGCGTGTACTAATCAGCCACTGGTTGAATTACTACTATTAGCTGCAGTTGTACTATTGATGATGCTTGTGCTTTGCGCAACGCCGTCAAAAGATTTCGGACAAGTCAATCCGACACCAAGTCCGACACCTAGACCAACACCAGCAGAACATGCAATACTAATAATTGCACCACATATACAAAGAGAACAGAGTGCCGGATGTATTGAGAAGCAATTAGGTAATGATATTCCAAGTTTATCCAATATAAATTTTGGCCAACTGATGACCATGCTATATGTCATTTTAATTATCTTCAAAATCTCCATAATCATTTGCCGTAGAGTTAACTTTTGTTTTACTTGGAACAAATTACTTGTTGGTGCAAAATAATTCATTTCGAACAAATTCTATTCGTAGTTAGTTTCCGTCCGATATGAAATACTCAGTAATATATTTTTTCGCACCTGCTTTTTATATACGTGAAGGATGAGATAAAATATTATTTATTCGTTTGGTTTTGACTATAGCAAAGTGATCTATTGACTAATTACCTGTTTTTACTGTTACGTTAACTTGAAAAAATGTAATTACATTTTTGTTGTTTTTACCTTGGAATGCCTTCGTTCACTTGATGTACGCGATTTTCAATGCGATGATGCGCCTGCGCGTGATCGAGAATACATCCTATTCCGCAATGTTGAACATTCCGGAACCAGTTCCGCTCACGGAACCAATTCCATCTAATTCCCGAAATTCCGTTTATTACTTCCAACACAATTCCGGAATTCCCGGAATCACTGCCGATATATTCCATCAAATTCCCGGAATTCCGTTTATCCATTCCGATTCAATTCCGGAATTACACGGAATTCATACGGATTCCGCCTAATTCCCAGCGATTCCGGAATTGAGTGATCAATGGACACTTGATATATCTTATACCTCGGTGACGAATGCAATTCCGGTGCGGAATTCCGGGAATTAGGTCGAACAGGAATTGAACGGAATCACACGGAATTCCGTCTAATTCCCACCGATTCCGTATTGAGCTAATTCCGGAATTGGACTGAATTTCGTGGAATTCCGGGAATCGGACGAACTAAGTCCGGAATCGAACGAAGCAGTTCCGGAATCGAAGGAACTAATTCCGGAATCGGACAGTCTTCATATTTGACCTAATTCCGGAATCGACGGAACTGATTCCGGGGCGGAACTGATTACGGGGCGGAACTGATTCCGGGGTGGAACTGATTCCGGGGCGGAACTGATTACGGGGCGGAACTGATTCCGGAATGTTCAACATTGCGGAATTGAATGACTGCTCACGTGACCACCCATGACGTAAATAATTCAAGGAAACACCCCTTGAAACGCATTCCATATTTACTCAGGAACGTTTCAAAACGTTTTTTTGTAATATGTAATGCATTTCGCTTCGTTTCTCTTTCGAAGTACGACGTTCTCGAGCGTTAAGTTTTCGAAACAACGCAAAATGCATTCACTTTCCGGACGCGTTTTCCAGCATTCACAAAAACACGTTCCGAAACGTAGAGCGCCTGACCCTAATTCGATCACATATTTTTACTTTTTCAGAAAGAAACTCTTAGCTTCTCTCCACAAAGTCTGTTTGATTTCATTTTTGGTTTCCGTGGTAGAAGAAACATTTATCTATCTAATCATATAATTTTTACATGAAACTAATTAGTTATTAATTAGCAATAACCTTTAAAGAAGAGCTATTTCGAATTTTTGTTCGTTCTCCTCTTCCCCGAATTCGGTCATCACAGCTATTTTGTGTGGAGCCTTCGGGACAAGCATATTTTCGGTACAAAAAAATACCTCTAATCGAAAAGCAAACTCGACTATTCGATTCCTCAAATGAGAATCTATAATCTCGTGTTTTCTTTATTCTTCCACAATGCACTTTGCATTACGTTTTTTAAAAACAATCAAGTGATGTTCGTGATCGAATTATGGAACTGATCTTAATCCGTTCACTCAAGCTCATGTCGAGTTCCTAATTCGATCACGTAAAGTAAAATACATGGGGATTTAGTGAATGGTGGTACAAATAATGTTCGCGCTACTAGAAGTGCACAATTGATAGTTAGCATTGCTACAAAAGTTGTAGAGTATATGAAAGACTATCTGTATGTACAATATGAACGATTTTAATTCTAATCTAGATGATGGTTCATTCGTTTTAAGTAACAAGGATAGTCGTTCATATTTTGTTTGCCATTTCAATGTCATAAGTATACAAAAACTAAAAGACAATCATTTTATAAAAAAAATAGTTAAATAGTTCTAACTTCAACACAAGAAAAATCAACTTGATGTACAATATTCAGAACATAAACAACGGTTAAATAAAGTCATTGACATTCGCCATTCTTCATTTGAATTATCACTTACTTCCGCCATTTCACTGAAATTAATTGCATTCTGCAAACATTAAATACTCAATTCAATTTCAACATCTTTCGAAATACGACATTCTTGTTTTTATCTAGTAATACGTGATGATGCTTTTTTTCACTTGATTTTTGGCATTACTATTTGTTGAAGTTTTAATTGTTTTGGAAGCTTTTGATAAACGAGCTTTCTTCGTTTGACTCTTGGTTTCTTTTTCTTTCAATTTCATCATGACCTATTCATCTTCCGTAACATTCAAACCAATAGTACTTCTTAATCTTGAACCTCGAATCGGTTTAGACTTTGTAGTTGTAAATGTTTTTTATTGACGTTGACATACAATTTGATTAATTACTTCACGTAGAGCAACTAATATGACTAGATGAAAGATTCCAATCAATGCCTGAAATTATTAAAAACCGCAAATAAAATTATGAATGTGGGAAAATATATATCTTACCTGTGGTAAATAAATGCTTTTCATCATAATTACTTGTATTTTGTTGATTACTCGATACTGTTAATTCAAGACTTCGAGATGGTTCACAACTCATATTGAGTGAACATGGTTGAAGATCACTATAAGATGAAGGATCAAGTAGTGGTGAAATATTACTTTCATCGACAACGATTGGTTGCAAGATTGACGAATATGTTAATGTTGTCATTGTTGTACATGGATCACTTGATAGAATTTTAATTGGTGAAGGTAACAATGCTTGTGTATTAATAGTTGTTGATTGCTTGAAGATAAGATTAGCAGCAGGAGAAGTTAATGAACTCGAAGTATTCATAGATGAACTGAGAATATTTGTTGGAACTGAAGTTGAATTATTATCATTACATGTAGACGAATTAATATTATTTGTCGAAACTTTGTCATGCATAGCGTTTTTGCCAAATGGCCAGATTCCTATGTAGATCAAACGAATAATTATAAAACAACTACAAAAAGAGTTTTGACTATCAGTTCGAGCAGATGACGAAACAATCCTGGCTGAAGAAAAAAAGCTTGATCAACAAATAATTTCTTCATAAGACGAGGAAAATCACTGTTCGTGATTCGTTTATTTCCTTATTTCAGGTGATTCTTTACGTTTTTCGCCCAGTCGTTTTTCACCGAGTTGAACAGGACGATGTCGACTGGATGAAGTGCATGTGTTGAATGCGCAGGGAGCATAAGACATACAATAGTATTATTTATTCCTAAGTAAATCAACAATCTTTAGACTAACATGTGAACTATATCCATCAAGAATCAAAAGCAACGGTCTATTCAAATGAGCAGTTGCTGGTATAGACATATATTTCAACCAATATTCAAACATGCCCGTATCAATCGAGCCCTATGTAATACAAAACAAATAACTATTGGCATCAAAACTCACTTATAGTAGAATAAATATATTCTACTATTCCAAAGAAAATTACTTTATTTGTTATCCCAAAATGTGCGTCATCTGGTTCACCAGCACATCATGAATCCATCAAATGTTTTCCGGAATAAAGAAATAATGGACTAAGAACAAAGCCACCAGCACTAACACAAATTAATGCTGTTCGATCGTCTTTTCCTGTACCACTATTTGCCTCAAAAGCATGTCTTCGACTAGATTTCACGATAACCCGTTCGCCTAAAAAGCAATTTTTTTTATTTCAATGTATTCCAGTGTATTAACCTTTCGTTTGATCTGCAAATCCAGTCTCATCTACGTTAAATATCTGACAAGGTTTATCAAAAAGGGATCAGTGAAAGTTGAGCACGAGAACGATCAGTACGGAATATTCAGCACGTGGAATGAAAAGAACCAGAATAGTTCAGCACCGGAATTTTGAGCACTAAGAGAGATCAGCACGAATATTGAATAGGTCGAATGAATAACACAAATTTATTTAAATATATTTGAACGAAATATTGAACAAAAATTTACAAAGAGATATTATGTGCAATTGAATCGATCTGAGTCAGAACATTTGAATGAGGAGTTGTGATAAGATTTATCAAGCGATTTTCGAAACGTTGATTTACTTTCTTCTTTTTTGGTGGTTGTCCAGTATTGATGTGTAATATATCGGGGTGGGTAGCATTTTCTTCGTCAATTAGTTTTTGCAAAAATAGCCATAGTGTTGGATGAGCACATCGGAAGACAGAGCCTATTCAACGGTTGTAAGCTTCGGCAGAGTTGTTCGTTCTCATAGATAATTGTGTGGTTCTGTCGTGCATATTCCAGAATTCGATCGCAAACATAGCTTTGTTTCGTGTATTATTTAGTCGTAGTCGCCCTAGAAAAATAATATGCTGGAATTTTCTCCATGAAAACCAAAATATCTCTTACCGATGTAAGTTTCTTCAAAGTAATCAAGAATTGTTTCGTTATCATCACCAAGATCAATTGATAAATGTTCGAATCCATTAATGACGTTCGTTAGTTTCAGAAATGCCAAAGCCGCTATTTTATGAATATTATGCGTAAATAATGGATCACTTTCATATTGATTTTGATGTCCTAGTGCCTAATTTAAGAAATAGCATGACGTTAAACTTTCTAATCGCCTGATTATTATAAACATTTTATTACCTGTAATTTACGATGTATACTCTGTCTTAAGTGAAAATGGCATCCTGACAATAACCCAGGTCGATCAAAACGGACCACCGTAAACCGGCGTAGCACTACTGTAAACGGTCGTTTTGCATCGTATTCCGTCGTAAAACGGCTGTTTTAAGCCGAATTAAGGCGTTTTAACAGGGGCAGTATTACGGCCATACACGGGCACCGTATATCAGTCGTAAAAACTCGTACAGCCGGCATAATATTATCGTATTCTGGGTAAATCCGCCAGCTTTCTACCACTTTTGTGGAAATATATTTTTTTCTCCATTTGAACGGTCTAGTTAGACGTATCATCGTCGAAAACGGTCAGGGATGATAATTAAAAACTTTTTGGACACATAAAATAGGGTGATCCAAATCATTTCTTCGGAACAACTGCAGACATTTCATATTATAGATTGATTGTCAAAATATGTTTTATGTAACGGTCAAAAGGGTGTTCATTGCCGTTGCTATGACTCGCCTACGGTAGAATATACCATGAACTAGTTAATTCGAATGTCTTTCGCATTGCCAAAAGGCATTCAACATCATATTTCATATAGAAACTTTACAATTGTGAGGAAAAAGAAGGAAAATATCGATTAATATTTTTAAAAAGGTGCTCATGAACCTTATGCAGTACCATTCACCTCATGTTTCGATATGAGAACGTATTCTTGATGGGTCTAATCTACTTCGACTAGAAAACTCGATATATATATTACGACTTTATTATGAAATATTAACTATTATATCAAATATAGTTCTCATTCTTTGATATGAATATCCCTGAAAAAATATTCGTACAAATATCACAGAAAAATCCTATCGAAAAGAGAATCTTTCACAGTTTTGAGAGCCAGAAGTTCTACGAAAACAAACTGTATTGTTGACCAAACCTTTGAAATCGTGCATGCTGCGAATACCATGAATCGTTCCTTTTACAAAAACAGTAAGATTTAATAGTAAATAGTGAATAATTTCGAATTACCTTTTGATTTTAATTGTTCCTGTCTTGTATTGAGAACGTTTACCTTATTTCTGTGAATTTCCACTTCTTCAAGAAAAAAAAGATCAATAGCAGGTTTTCGCCTTCCAGCAGCTGTAGCCGTTTCCAATTGATGTTTTTTAGAAAACTGGAAGAAATCGTAAGGGTTCGAGAGAAGAATATTTTTACTGAGGGTGATACGTCTTGCAGTTGATTTCAACACTGCTCCGATGCCATCACCGGGCCCCTTTCCATGACCAGTGGCGGTGAATACCCAATCAGCATCCATATTGAAATCGTCTTTATGGTAAGCCAAGTTCAGCATATTAGCATTGTTTTTGAAGTGAGAGCTTGCACCATCACTAAGATGAAAATGACAACTATTTTGTGTTGCGGTTCATAGTTGGATTTCAGGGATATGCAACCGGCTTCAAAATTTCAAAACTAAAAACACTTCGATGACCTCGGCAAGCGTCAAAGAACTCACCGGTAATTACTAGACATCATGAATCTTCAAGATGATTGATGAACAACCAAATCCATTCTCTCCCCTCAATTGAACTACCAAACGAGAATTGTGATTGCTTCGTAGTTTAGTTTAACGTCTATCAAAATATGTTCTAATGTAGTATGAATAGCACCTTTCATTCGTCGAAATTCACAATGCAAGTCTCACACTATTACGTTATGCTTTCGTTTTGAATCAACTTTATTTACCTGACGTAGATGATTTTCTTAGCCAAAGGGATGTTTTTCTTTACATAATCAACAATGATTTGTTGAGCACAGTAAACAAATGCCACGTTATGTTCCATAGAGTTACTGATTATTGCCATATCAAAATGCTCTTTTCCAACAGTTAAATGTACCGTGAATAGAGATACTTGACTTTGAGAAAAGAAACCTTGTTGAACTTCACGTTGACGAATTAGCGTGTAGTTCATTGAGAAATCGATTTGAGCTACTACGAATGTAGTTTTTGTTGACTGCGCACGTAGATCAGAAATATAATCACGTTGCTTTCGATTGCAAAATGTATGTAACATAAACAACGGCCATTGTTCTTCTATTTCAGCTAGGAGGGCTTCAATAGAACCGGTCATCCGTTGAAGATCAAATTTACTATTTAGTTTTTTCCAAAGAGTCCATGAATAGTTTTCATCAAGATCAACATTCATGTTTTCTGTAAGAATGTCGATGATAGATTTCGTTGAGCATTGCTGACATTCACCAATAAAACAATCTTCCATATCATCTTGACACACCATTTGACTAGTAAGATCCTTTAGATCGAATGTGTTCGATCTCATTGAAGAAGATTTGTTTTGTATGTTTTGACGATAATTATTCCACGCCTATAAACATTGTATTATCGAAATTAATTAATTAATGTAAGTAAATAGAAACTTAGATTAGGCTAAATGTCAGTGACGAACGTGTTGAAGATAGAAATAAATACGTACCTTGATTAATAGATTCATATTTTCATGTATGATACAAATACATGTATCATGTGGTGATAGAATTTTTACATCACGAGGTCGTAACGAGTAAAATGTTGTACGAGCGGCCATGTTTGGAAAGCGTTCGTCAAATAATCGAAAGGCGTCTAATACACTCATTTCCATAAAACGAAGAGGTACTGTATTTCGATTAATTTGAATTGTATCTTTTGAATTTGGTGACGTGCGACTAACACCTTCTTCACGGTAGAAATCGATGATAGTTGTAATGGTATCGTTTGAGATTGATGGATTGCCGCTGAAATATTGAGGAACAGCGAGAACACCTTCATTTTGTCGAAGTATAAGTGATTGACGAGCTTGGTGTTCAGTTGATTCAAACCTGATAACAAACAGTGTATTTATAAAGATTTTGTTAAAGAAATTGTATTGAAGTGAAGCGCTCTATAACGAAATTCAACACTACTTACCATTTTCGAAGCTTCTCTCGGCCCCACGCTTCGGGAGCAATAGTTAGAAGACGAACTTGTTCAGAACAGTCGCTATCATTGAATAAACTTTTCAAACCGGTCAAAAGATCATTAGATTCTTGAACGAGAAGTCCATGTGGATCTGGATCGTTTTCTTGTACGGATTTCCCTTCAAGTACATCACATAAACTATGAAGATATTTATAAACTTGATCGATTTGAGAACGAATCGGGCGAGTTCTTGATCTAGTAAGAAAGAAACTTTTATAAAATTAAACAGCCTCTAAAACTTGCTTATCATGAATTGAATCCATTTCCAGTAATTTGAAAACCGCAGACAGCTGCCCTATCGCCTGTTCTTCACGATACGAAAGCTCCAGTAGCATATCATTGTCACTTTGCTCTTCATCAGAATCTTGCTGATCACTTTCGTTATCATTTTCTCCTTCATCATGACTCGATTTATCATCATTTGATTCTTCATTACTGGTATCCATATTATCCTCTTCATTCATTTCATATTCTTTGTTCATCATCGCTGTCTCTACCCTTTGACACTTTGGACATAACCAACGAATATTCAACTCTTCAAAATCATAATGATCACGTAAGAAATTGAGGAGACGACAAGAGATACGACGTGAACCTGTTGCTTTGCTAGAAGAATCCGTATGCCTAGTTGGATGTTGACATAACTTTTGTCTTGGCATCTTTTAACTATTTTTATCCTGATGGATCAAAAGAAAATGAACTATGTTATTCAAAAATACCCATCGACTATAATGTGTGAATCATCTAAAATATCTAATCGGTAGTTGACCATAAGTGACCATAGAGAGAAAATCACAAAGCAGATGTCATTCCGTGTCGAAATTTGTTTCTACTTAGAGATCAAATTGCAATAGCATATATTCTATGAAGCTAGATCTCCACCATTTGTTTGGCACTTTTTCATTACGAATTTCTATCATCAAACTCATGTCCACATAATTATCTGATCAAAGTAGATTAGACCCATCAAGAATACGTTCTCATATCGAAACATGAGGTGAATGGTACTGCATAAGGTTCATGAGCACCTTTTTAAAAATATTAATCGATATTTTCCTTCTTTTTCCTCACAATTGTAAAGTTTCTATATGAAATATGATGTTGAATGCCTTTTGGCAATGCGAAAGACATTCGAATTAACTAGTTCATGGTATATTCTACCGTAGGCGAGTCATAGCAACGGCAATGAACACCCTTTTGACCGTTACATAAAACATATTTTGACAATCAATCTATAATATGAAATGTCTGCAGTTGTTCCGAAGAAATGATTTGGATCACCCTATTTTATGTGTCCAAAAAGTTTTTAATTATCATCCCTGACCGTTTTCGACGATGATACGTCTAACTAGACCGTTCAAATGGAGAAAAAAATATATTTCCACAAAGTGGTAGAAAGCTGGCGGATTTACCCTTCTATAGAACATACGGCCGTATTACTGCCCCTGTTACACGGGGAAAATACGGCACGTAAAACGGGCCGTATTTGTATCGTATACGATCGTTTACTGATCGTTTTCTTCGACCAGGGAAGACGGTAGGGAAAATTGTTTGGTAAATGCCAATGCAAGCTTGTTCAAAGTTGAGCATGATTGAACGTGGAGACCAACGAGACCCAAACTTGAGTATTTTATTGATTAAACGATAATACGTATCCGCATTTTTTCGACGTAATAGGGCATAGATAACTGGAATTACATGATCCCGGTGCACGCCATAATGATATATAATTGATAAAATATCTCTAGTACCACTTTAAATGTACCGTCGACGAGAAATTCTCCTGCATTTTGCAAAATATTAAGTTGTTCATCACTTGCAAATATTAATATTCAATCATCACCTAAATTAGCAAAGATTATGTGGATTAATGAATCTATATTATTAGCCGTATCACGCAACGTACCTGAACCTGTATCGTAACGCAGAAATAGATACCCAAGCACAGTTTTAGTGAATGCTATGGGAACAGGGGCGAACTTTGGATCATTTGGTTCTTTTACTAGCTGATTTTTCTGGTGTAAAATTCTTATTCGGCGTTTTATATTATCGCGCAGAGGTAAACGAGCAATTGATGGATCAGATAGATCTAGAGATAACGATACAGCAAAATATATTAGTAAAATTCGCTGCTGAAAATTTAGTACGTGTACCTTTGTAAAAATTGGTAACGATCGTATCCGGTGTTTCTTGAGTATTTATAGCACGATGAGCAACTTGCTCATCGAATTTTCGAAGTTGAAGTGTCGTACCATCCACTCTGCATATGTGTTCTATAGGTTGTTTGAGAATATTATGTGTTAAAACACGTGTGTGTGTAGGCGAGAATGACAGCGATCTTATGAATATTTAATGCAACGCCAGTAAGTTTTTTCACTGGTAGATCGATCTATTGCATAAGAATAGCTATTATAATCTAGACGTGGTTTTTGTTTTGTTGTACCGTTGGTTGAAATTGTTGCCATGTTGAGACAGTGACAGATTAACGCAACAAACACGAATCATAACATAATTATAGTAGCGAGAATTAATTGGATCGTGTTAACTGTGTTTATTAATTTATGTAATCCAATTATCTTGCTCTATTATATTGATATAAATTATGAGGATGAAATATTCGTGCTGATGTCTCTTAGTGCTCAAAATTCCGGTGCTGAACTATTCTGGCTCTTATCATTCTATGTGTTGAATATTCCGTGCTCAACTTGCCAGTTCCCTCTTCAAATAACAATCGAGATATATAGAATTGCGTATATATCCTGATAGGATGATGGACAAAAAAGTGTGGATCAGTATCAGCTATATATATTAGCCACTGTGTGTATAATATTAACAACAATTCCACACAATCAGTTTATTCTTGTCCAAAATGAGTCCTGTGTGTTGTTTTCAATACAATCGTACTTATTACAAAGCACAACTTTCTTCTAACTTGACTTGTTCAGAACTGAACTGCCTCAATTTCACATAGAAAGCAAGTTTATATACTAGAGAGAGAATAAGGAAAATATAAATAGGAGAGAGAAAAAAAAGATACATAGAGAGAGAAGGGGATACGGAGAAAGAAAAAGATGTCTAGAGAGAAGAGATACACAGAAAGATTACGTACTTTTCAGGGCGCGATTATGAGTTGTTATATGCAAGGATGAATATTAGTGATGTAAACTTAATTACGCCACTGCAGTATGTTCATCAGCTCTATGACTTAGAAGTGGACGTCCGGCGGTTTATATAACCCCTATTTAATCTAGTCCTTTACGAGGGACGTACTTCTTGGCACAAATACTATGTAATAGTGAATACCATGTTTTGTAAATCCAATTTGAGTCGAATCAAATCGAATCGAATTACAATTTTAAAAAACCAGAAAACCCAGGTCGAACATTTCGGCCACTAGATCCCGCAGGATACTCCAGGAAATCTGCGGGAAGGTCACCATATCCTGCAGGAAAACACGGGAAATCGCTGGAACATGAAGCAGTATTCTGGTCAAAAATACGGCCGGACTTTTCCGGCAAGAATTGATCGAAAATCAACGGAAATACCCGGAACCGGCCGTTCCCAGGTCAGGCTGTTCGACCTGGGAAGCCGAATTGAATCCAAATTAAAACTTTGAGAGTCCAGAAAACTCGAATCGAATCCGAATCCCGGTCCTAAAAAGCCGAATCGAATCGAATGGTACTTTTGTCATTCGTTTCGGTCTCTGCTTGATATTTGACATAATCATGCTAAGCAGTTGCAATCTATTGTTATGTTTGCCTACTGGATTTGATTCAATAATTACACATCCGAGATCAACATGTCGATGTAACTGTGAATCCGAAAATGTTCTCCACCTGTACATGCACATCTATTCGAAAACAGGAGACTCTTCAATTTAGAGTTTTTTATGCAGCAAACACAATTACGAAGTGCTAATATTACCCATTTTCGCATTCGCATGTAACTTTGACACATCGCTTGTAGTAAATAGAAATACAAGAAACTATGACTACGGTGACATGACATGCAATACGCTTTTGATATCAGCCAATGGCAAGCAGTGCCTTTTAAACTACAATTGGCCATCTACTAGCATCAAGATTTAGCAAGATGGTTGCCTGATAAAAAAAAGTATATATATATATATATATTATGCATTTTTTACTGCATTCTGTGACATTCGACTAAGTATGTATTCGGGAAGTTTTTCCAAGGATAAAGAACGCGAATCTTATCCCAAATTTTGATTTTATTGTCTGAGTGTGGGTATATTTTTGTATCAATTTCGCGCACAGTGCAATCGTAGCCTCGCTAAACGATACCCACCAATTTTTCTCTCTCACTCCAAAGTCACTAGCCTTTACATTGAAAAATATATTTAGAAAAAACAAATGTTCAGCTGTTCATGTGATACGATGGTCGCGATGAGTAATGTAACTGCTGATGGTTCAATAATATTTGGTAAAAATAGTGATCGCCAAGCGAATGAACCATTATCGACTCGCTACATCCCTTCAACTACACATATCCTCAATTCAAAAATTCGAACAACATACATTGAAATTGATCAAGTTGAAGAAACCCATTCGTGTATTTTATTTTGTCCGACGAATAAATTTGGTGCTGAAATGGGTTTTAATTCTCATGGCGTAGTTATTGGAAATGAAGCTTTATTTACTAAAATTCCGTCGTATTCTGAAGGACTAACTGGGATGGATATAGTTAGATTAGTCCTAGAAAGATGTTCAACAAGTAGACAAGGAAAAGATACAATTGTCTATTTATTAAATAAATATGGTCAAGGAGGAAATTGTGGTTTTACATCAAAATTTTATTATCATAATAGTTTTCTGGTAGTAGATTCCAATGAAGGATGGATCATTGAAACTGTCGGAAGAGAATATGCAGCAAAACGAATAACAAAAGGAATTCATACGATATCAAATATTATTTCATTCGGACACATAGATACATTTGATGAATATTCCGATAATTTAATTCAACAAGCTATTTCAAATGGTTGGTGCAGTTCGATAGACGATTTTCATTTTCAAAAATGTTATTCTGGAATTTCCTTTAATCCTAAAGAATTCTACAATGGTTTTGTCAAAACCAGTTTTGCATCTAGTCAAATACGACAATGTAGATCGAGAGATTTAATTGAAAAATTTTCACAAAAATCTCAACAATTTACTCCTTTTGATATGTTTAACGTTTTACGTGATCATCAACTGTCAAACGACTCTCCGGCACAGGGTCTTACCAATCTTGATCTATGTATGCATGCTGGTTTTGGACCGATTCGATTTAATCAAACAACAGGATCGCTAGTTTCAGTTCTTCCAAAATCATATAATGAACTTCCAGTTCATTATGCAACTTGTACAGCATTACCCTGTTTATCAATATTTAAACCAATGACGTTATATCCGCCGGTATTGCCTCCTCCGTTTATTTCATATTCGGATAGTATTATTTCAAATCCAACTTGTACTTATTCATCAAATAATGTCTGGTGGAAATCAGAAATCATGACTCGAAATGTTATGAAGCATTATCAAAAACTGATTAAACAAATTGAAACGGAAAGAGATTTATTAGAACGTGAATTCGTTTCAATGTCACTGCGTTTATCATCAAGATATATTTCACAAACGGACAGAAACAATTATACGAAATACGCTTTTGACAAAGTAAATTATTTCATTAGTCAAAACTTGAGTGTTCATGTTTTAATAGTTCACAGTTAAGGAAGTCTGTTAGTGAAGACCCATGTAAACAAATAGGAGTAAAATCAGATTAAAATCGATTATAATTGATGCAACAATTTTTCCTAATACTACCGACTACAGCAAACTTCAGTTGATTTTTATCTGTTTTTAATCAATCACAAATCAACTAACAGCTGATTCAAAGTAGCTGTAATGGTTTGAAATTGGCATCAGGCACATAATAACACCTCAACAATTAATTCCAGTAACACTGATTTACAATTAGCAAGATTAGACTTATTTTTACTTTCCTGAAAGTACTTTCTCAAGAATTCGTCAGTATTCTCTAAGTTTCATTGTCCAGAACTTTTGCTTTCACAACAAAATATACTTCTACTTCCTTATTTTCTGCTAAACGAACTGGTGATACTTCTCTCCGAGAAAAAGGAAGAAATCAAAGAAAACAATCGCTATCAAAACGAAAAAGAAGCCTGAACATATTCCATTTGAATCAACGGAGCAAAAACAAAAAAATGATTTGGTTTGAAAACGAAATTGATCCTTAATTTTCGTTTTGAAGCGAAGGAAGAAATAACGAAAAAACAAGTCAGCTTTATATTAAAAGGAAACTCGTACTATAACCCAGGAATGTGCAGGTTTTGTACAATCAATTATTTTTATGGGAAGTACTGTAAGGAGTGTTACAGTTTTTTCTTTGAAAGGGGTTTGATGTTTCTGGTTATCGTGTATTACATCAGATTTTCGGTGCGATTTTCGAAATAATTGAATCGTTGTTCTAAATTCAAACCAGGTCATATATGTTGAAATCGCGTTTTTCATGTGTATAAAGAAATCGAGTTCAGTATCTAAGGTTCTGTCTTGTTCTTACATATATCGAGTTTCAATAGGTTGTTCCATCGTCTTTGTGGAACCCACATATATTTTCGAAGAAAATGGTGAGTGTAAGATTAAAAGCGAGATTTTTGCGGTTTCCCACCCCTCCCCTCCCCATTACAGACATCAATGAGTTTAAAGTTGTGCTAATTAGAAGATTAACTAATTAGGCTGCTATTTCTTCCTTTTTTAATTACAGACTACACGTAACAAGCAATCCTTGCCCATTACAGATCATAGAAACTAGCCTCTGCCATTGCTAAATATGCGAACTAACAATTAACACTTCATTACAGACATAAGCAAATAGGCAATGACCTAATTATAGGCTTTGGAAATCAGGGTAGATTTTTCAGATGAACTACTTTGAATTATTTTAGTAAATCTAAGGGATATATGTGAGTTCCGCACTTTAGTCCCAAAGGGGCTGCGCTAAGAAGGTTTTTGAATAGCAAAGGTCATAGTTACTGTTGTAGGATTGCCTGTGCATGCCGTTCATTGCCCCAAGTACTGAAGTAATAATCTATCTTTCTAAATTTTCCAGGTATCATATTTTTAAGATTTAAACAGTGGTTTATTTTACGCTGTTAAAATGAACAGTCTTTAAATTACTATGATGACTTTAACTTTAGCTTGTATAACGCAATTTAATCAAAAAAAACCATTACAAATGATTTTTTTTTCAAACGTTTTCTTAGTAATTACGAAAAAACAATAACGAAGTAACTCCTGGTCGTGAAAGTTTTCAAAACATATTTTCAGCATGGGATCAGTTTTGCTTGATTTTCGTAAACTATTCTGTTGAAAAAATTGAATAACTCTTACTTGGGTTTTCAATTTAACTATTTTGACCTGCATAAAACTCAGTTCGATATAATGCATTCAAAATCATAGGCAATCGATTGTAGTCGTTTTAATCGATTTTATGCGATTAAAGCAAAAAAAATCGATTATAATGGGTGAAAAATCTTTGATTCCTAATTAACTTTAAAAAAAATCGATCAAAATCTTCAATTTAACCAGAAAAAATCATAATCGCTCGATTTTCATCAATCATTCGTGATGCGAATCGATGATAATCAAGAATATGCTGATTTTTCGCGTAAATGTTTTTACATCGGGGGAGAAGGGGCGAAATTTTTAGCGTAAATAGCCTGTGAGGATTCATTTTCGTCGAATGAATATTAAAGTAGAGATTTATAGAGAACAGACACATGTAATAACTCGATTCGGATTCATAATTAATAATTATCATATAAATTTTTTGTTAGTGATTTAATTCAATTAAAATTTATTGGTTTATTAAGGCTGATATATTAACTAATGAATGGTTTTCAAGAGCGTATTCCTTATCATTCGAAGTCGAAAGTGAACTATCTTTCTGGCAAGAATTAACTTGGAATCAATGGAGAAAGTCTGCTGAAATTCCGAAACATATGGTCACATATTCAAAAATACAAATTCGTCGAGAAATATTATTTGTGATGTGTTTATTATTAATTCTGTATTATTTTAAGAATGATAATCAACAATTTTTCATATTATTATTCATTTTTTCAAAAATTTATTTATTTATACGAAGAGTATTGTTCTATAAAACAAACCCAAACCCAGAACAACGACATTTAACATTACCAAGATTGAATTTTTATGACTAAAATTAAAAACGTTTTATGAAAATAATACTGTGAGTGATTTGTTGAGAAATTATTCACATTGATGGAACTATAAACGACCTAAGGAATGAGTACCACTTCCTGCAAATGGTCGCTCTCTAAATAAGTGCCTAAAAAATCTGCATGTGTGGAGAATGACACAATATGTTTTTTCGGGTCACTAAATGAGAAGTTTTATTGCGGAATTAGAAATTCATGTGATTCGAACCGAGCAAGTACCGCCCATCGACAAACTATACGCTATACCGCCGTTTTTTCTGGCAAAGAAGCACGCCATCGTTCTCTAAGTCCGTTAAAATAGTCAGGAATTACTCAGTTTCTATGCATCTAAATATTGTCTATGTTCCTGATGCGAATATCAGAAAAAATTGATTTGTTGAATAATATATTTTTGAATTTTCGTTCGTTTTATTCAACGAATGCTAAACTTATTTTTCAGAAAGTAGAAGGTGTGAGTGAAGTAATCATAAACACTAACATCCTGAAACGTTTGGCCGATTCAATTAATTAGCAAATATAGAAGCATTTGCTGAAGTTTCCTAAACATTATTTTACAATATAAAATTGTTTTTGCTCGAATAAAAGTGAAATTTACATGTGCGTTAATATTGTGTGCTACTTTTCTTTCCAGTTCTTAATGACGTCATTTCATGATTGTATGTAATACTAGTTATCCGCTGTCGACGCCAAAAACACAATACTTCTACGGGTTGCCTTTCAATCTCATTTGATACCGCCAAATAAATATAAAAATCAGTACAATATAAAGATTGCACCGTATTTTCTTGATCTTGAGTGTGAGCTGTTTTCAATGGTAATGATCGATAAAGATTAATTATTGCAAATGGAGCGGATGCAGTAGTATTTGTCAGGATTTGAAATAAATACATTCGCGTTATTTGTCTATCGAGACGTCGAACTAAATCTTTACTGTGAACATTTCGAACTTGTTTTCTCGTTAACAACCAGAAAACGACGACTAAAATAAACGGTAGAATACCTTCAAGCATAGGAAAATAAATCATTGCGACACATAATAAAAATCGATTCGATCTTGATGTACAAATATATGATCCATTAGGCCCAAGTGGAACATATTCATAAAAGATAGCTGCTGGCATTCCAATTAAACCGAAAGAGATACACAATCCAATAGTAATAAGTGCTTGAGCAATGTGTTGCGAACTATACGATCGTATACGCACAGAGCGGGATGATATAGCATAACGATCAAAAAATATAAAACAATTGATAATAAATATCAATGTTATTGTCAACCCTGCATAGTTCGATTGAAATTTACAACATGAAGTGCTAAATGCAAGCACGTTAATTTGAAGACCATGCGTGAGCATTGCAGGTAGGAAATAAAATGGAAGAAAAAAATAATGATTGAATAGCATTAGCTCGAATATATTTTGAACGTGGATTTTCCTTTAATGGCTTTCGTCTGAATATTAATATGATCATCGCTAAACCGAATATTCCAAATGAAACCACTGATAATCCTCCATAAACTAATATTTGACGGGATACTATTAACGCTGAGAATGCCATTTCTTCTTCCACAAGATGCAAGATATCGGAAAAACAAAATTTAAATAGAACTGTTTTTATTTTCAAGTCATTCCTGACGAATTTGCCTACACGTCGCTTTTGATGTTGAAGCTGAGTTGTGAAATTTGAACTACATGAAAAAAGCAGAAGAAATAGGAATTTTTATAACGACAGTAGAGCTTCGAGAACACTCAAAAGTTTTCTCCTTAAACCTCATTTCGAAAAAAAAGGTGTATACACTCTTGATCAACTCGTCTAGCTCTTTCGAGCTATGTACCACAAAAATTCTTCTTTAATTTTGAATTTCCGGCGCTGTAAAAATGTTTGTCAATGAAACTTATTTTGCACATGGCTACTCTCATAGAATGCTCCAGTAGGCGGATAAAAAGTCCTGAAAACTCCTTTGTGCTAAGGATGATTACATACGAGAATAGGAAAAAAATACTTGCACGCGGTGTTCTTTTCTTCTTTGAAGTAATTATAGAAGCATTTTCGCGATTTTATTTTGTTAATAATCTTATGTTTAATGAAGCCATGCATGTCATATTTCAATTTTTGTAATCTCATTAATTGTTAATCGAAACTATCATATTTCCTTGAAAAAAATCGTCTCTTGTGAAGATGATGTGTGGGGTCTCTCATAAAATGCTGAAAAGTAAATATATTTATGTTATAAATATCGAGGCAATGTTCGAACAAACTGGAGTCAAATTGTGATTATTCACTAAAACGGGACATTTTGTTCATCAATGATAAATTGATAACTAATTAGATAAATTATAAAGGGTTTCTCAAGTAAGCTATGAAAAAGCATGCGATAGGCTCGAAACTGGTTGAAAGCTTAAAACGTAATGTTTATTCTGTTATGATTCTGAGTCTCTCAATAGCCATCATACGTTTCATCTAACACAGTTTTACTGACTTGACTCGCGTAACACTGATTAGAAAATAACTTAAAACATGTTTGGTTCGAATTTCAAGTTTTTAGAGTATATAAGTAGTTTTGTTAAGTAGAAATTTCGTTACAAATAGTTCGTTATCAGCGCAGAAAAAATGGAAAGGAAAAAGGATTATACTTGCGTAAAAGACCAAGAGGGATAAATACAAATAGGAAAATCAGTATCCAGATAAAAAAAAGAACTTATTGTTACGTGCAGGTTATTTTACGCAAGTTAAGTAATGAATTAAACGTATTTTCATTTAATGTTTGACTAACTTCGAGCATCTGTTAAAAATTTGTTTTGCAATTAATCTCTCGTTTCTAATCTGATTCAAGCCTTTTTCTTTTTTGTTACTTTATTTAACGTTAAATGTTCCTGTTCTTCTTTAGGATGATAAAAAAATTTTAAAATTAGAATTCAACGTATTTGTAATTTTTATAACAGACATTTGTATGCTCTGTGAAACTAGCCAATGAAATTCGTCTATTACAAGTCAACATTTTCATTTGGATCTAGTCGAAAAATCTATTATACTCCTCTAGGTTTCTACGAGGCAAACTAGTTTTGTATAGCTGGTCTCTTCAATGAATCCCTATTAGAAATGTTAAGCCATGAAGTGTTCAACGGTTTGGAGACCTTTTCAAATGTAAAAATGCTGATAGAGAACGAGTAGCTGCCGAGTTCGACTTCGAATATAAACGAGCATCTGAACCATTCAGTTGTAGTCTAACTTTCATATAAATAAAAAAAGAATATTTCGATCTCTGACAAGAGAGACATGCACTCTTCGCCTGATCAGGTTATGAGTGTTTTTCAGCTTAAACTAATAACAAATCTATTCCTAACTTCACCAACTATTTTCAAATGAATATCAGGCGATCAGGTCGCCGTTTATGTTCGAACTATAATTAAGCGTATCATGATATTTTCTGACGACGCCGCACTTTTGAAACATATAATAATATTTGAGCAACGTCCACGTCATACTATCTTCCCATACATTTATCTTAATTGCAACACTGCTGATGAAAACTGACTTCCGTCAAATGAACGAGGCTTCACTCATTCGATGATGAGGACAGTGTAAGAATTTCCTTTCTTTTTTCTTTTTTACCTGTTCCACCGATTTTACTTTGAAAATAGTTTCAATTCCTGTACCTGAACAATACACGCCATTAGAATTTCGACACTGACTATATGTAAAGACAGAGGATTACATGTTATCAACCATATTTTTATCATAGTGAAATATTCACTGATTTCTGTATAATAATCAAGTAAAAACTTTCTTCCTAAATGTTACTATAAATACAACGGGTTGTCAAATGAATGTTAATTAAATATCCAAAAGTCTAGTTAAACAACTTATGCTATTATACACATCCCGTGGCACATAAATTTAAAAAAATTTCTATACTCATCAGTAACACTAGATGGATCCACAATTTTCAAAATAATAGCCATTATTTTTTGTTCAGCAAGACCTAAGGACTCTATAGGCAGCCATTAACTTTATTGCATGTTTATCATTTAAAGATGTTTCTTTTCTTTTTTACTTGGATCATTTATATATATATATATATATACGTATATGAAAACGCTGATAATCAGTCAGATTTTTATTTCAATTATTTGTTGCTATTCGCCTTTCCCTGGAGTGTTACTGTGAGCATCATAGTTCAAATTAGTTGTATCGACTAACTAATTTTTAGATTAATTTCATTTGTGAAATCATTACCATCAATCGATACCTGTATTTATCACTAATGGTTGTCTAATGTATCACTAAAGTTTCATGCACTTTTTTAAACGCTGGGCTTTTCTGAATTTTCAGATTTCTTTTTTTTTTAACCTTGATTTTCCTCTACGGTCAAATAAAAAACCAATTCGACAGACCCCATGAGTTAAGCTACTATTAAAAATAGAGATGAGCAAACAGGTATCTTGATATGCCCGTAATCAAATATATGAATCAGCGTAAATAAAGATGAAATCGACTGCAAATAGGCGTGCAGCTATCTTGGCAAAATAAATAATCATTGAAATGTGATTGCCGAGAGAACGATGTCTCGCTACGAAAAATTATCCTATGTAGACCTATAATATGAAGGTAAAAGGAGCAAAACAAAACAAAATATGTTTTGCGATTATTAAAAAGGTAGCAAACGTATACTATGCTCGTTTGATATTATCGGGCTTCGTCGCTGGACTCTTTCCAACATAGGTAGATACAAACAGAGACGCCTGTGAAAATATTTAGTGTTAGAACAAATCAACAGAGTGTCAAAACAACAAAGTCAAGTTTCATTTTACTAGTAGAAAACGCACAGCTTAGAAAATAATCAGCCTTGAAAAAATGGAACCAGCGTCGCCATCAAACGTCGATGTCTTCTACAACGTACTTGCATGGTTTAACGACCGTGTGGAAAAATATTATTCCCGTCCAATGAGCATACTACAGAATTCTGTACGGTTGATTAGACACGGTATCTCTTCAAATCCTTTACCCACCGCATGTTGTATATGTACTGCCATCACTACAACGGTATGTGTTACCAGTATTGCAGTTGGAGTTGGTGTTGGTGTTGGCGTAGGTTGTATCCAAACATAATTATTCCATTGCTTCAAATTCTTCTAGAGGTTAATCATTGTAACTCTACGGATATCATGAACAGACAACAAGATGACCCTTATTTTTATGAACCGATGAATTCGATTAGTGCATTTTGTTTGTTTGTTTGTTTTTGATTTCGAATAAATAACGAGATTTTAAAATATTTTTATCAAATTGAATACAAAATCTGAACATAATTCTTCTCGAATTATAATTATCACCAGAAAATTTTCTTTTTCGAAATTCCAACTGATTTCACTCGTGTGTTTTTCAAATCCAAATAATCTTATTTTCATTATTAAAATTAAAAATAACTAACTATTGAACACACGAAAACTAACACAATTTTATTAAAATATTATCGATTTAAAATAGAATAAAATAGAAATCTTATATGTTCGAAAAATACAATAAATATTGTCCGCTGCCTTTCTTTTTATTGTCATTGGTAATTTTAAGGTAACACTTTCAACCAGCAGTTACGCTAGTGTTGTTGCCTATAGTTGAATTCGCGATACTGCTTATAGTTGAAGTTGTGATATTGCTTACATTTATATTACTTGAAACAAAATCAAGAGATTTTGGACAGTTCAATCCAACACCAAGCCCAACACCTAAACCAATGCCGACAGAGGATGTAATAGCAAGAAATGCAATACAAGTACACATTGAACACAATGCTGGACTAATCGAAAAAAAGTTCGGAATAAATGACAATCCAAGTTCATTTAATATAGAGTTTGGGTAGCTAATACCAAAGTCATACGCCTTGCTCAATAAGTTATACAATAATCTGCATCTCGTTTTTTTCTTTTGTCTTTCTTCCGGTAAGCGGAAAATACTTGTTGGTGCAAAATAGTTCATCGTTGATATCTATCTACTGAAAAAGTAAAAATTAGAATTTACAGTTAGAAGAACGGATTCTCTTCATTGTTAAAAATCTGTAATGTTCGATTAAAAAATTATGAGCAAAGGAAAATTATACTTTTTTGTTCGACAGTGCCGAGACAAATAAAAATACGTCAGCATATCATGCTGATATTGTTTTGATGTGCTTTTAAGATAAATTACCTGTAGTTATGTTACATTGAATCGAAAAGAAGGACGAAAAATAGTAGAGTGTGCGATTTTCACGAAGTTATTTTTCGATTTATTGATGGCTCGAATGTGTATTACTTCCTTATTCTGATGTAATCATTAAGCTTCAAGGTAGACAGAATCGAAAAACCTCTTTTTTTGTCAGAGTGTATTTGACTTAGCTGTAATTGATTTTATCTTGTTTGAATCATTAAGTATGACATGTAAAAACCACGAATACATGTTTGTTTTGTAGCAATATTTAATATCGATTAGACTATACAGATGAATTCTTTTTTCTAAGTTAAAATTTTGAATAGATTTTTTTAGAAATATATTCGATGAAATAATAAATTTATCTTGAGTTGATATCGATAAAAAAATTGAATGTCTTTATTTTCTTCATATCTATGAAGGATTGAATGTTGTTATGAAAATCGGAGAAAAAAAGGCAAGGTTTTTTTTTGTAAATTGGTTTATTCCATTTATTGATGACACAAACAAATGGGTTTACATTATTGATCAGATGTTCACAAATAAGTCCATGACGCTTTCTGTTCGTAATTTACACACTAATTAATTATGCATTACTATTGATAAAAGAGTAGCTGCCTAATTCGAGTTCGAATATAAACGAAACTTTCGAAATTTCGTTTTTAGGAAAATAGAAAAGCATTTTTTTATTGAGGGTGAGGGTGTGAGTGTGTGTCTTGCTTATATACCCCCACACTCACACCCATTCTCAAGATTAAAATGAAAATTTCATTCTTACTGACTGGTATTATTAACAAAAATTTGCGCAAATTATTAGCGACTTTTTCACGTTAGTTACTCATGAGTTTTATCATCAATGAATGAATTCTGTTTTTTTCTTTAGTATTAAGATCGCCCTTCAAGCCAATTATTGAAACACGAAGAACGGTGTTGACTCGTGACGGTTGTCACTTGTCTGTCAGCGTAAAATGCAATGTAACGATCATCGTGTAGATTAGAATTTCGAAATACTCAACCGGCAATAATTAGAGTCAAAACAGAGTCCGAAAAAAATAACAAATTAGTTGAAAATGAAAAACTTCATCTAGGTTATTCAGATACAGGCTAAAATGGCATGCGGGTGTATGTACAACGAAATGATCGACTTATAGTTAGAGAAAAAAATAGCAAAATATACGTTCATAGATTTATCCTTTGTTTTCATAGTAATGCATAAGGATTTATCGATTTTTTACTATGTAGCTGTATTCCGCCTCATACTTATTCATCGTTCAAAAGATAAGATTGTCTGCTTTAGTAACGGAAACTCCAACAGGTTCTTCACGATGATCGATACATCATCTTCGTTTAGGAGAGAATTCGTTTTTGAATTTTCAAGATATAACTGTCAATTATGATTGAGCACCTTCGAAAAAGGTAATCTTGAATTTGCTTGAAAGCAAAGACAAAAGGTGCGGGTGGGAGTGGCGAAGATTGTCACTTTCATAAACTATGATTTTGAACATATTTACTAGACCATATCTGTGCTGCTTTTAGTTTTCGAACAAATTCAAGATAATCTCTAAAAATTCAAAATGGATCCATTAAACTATTGCTGAGTTATTCAATATACAATGATACTCAACGTTTTTTTTATGAATATACGTATTTAAAGTAAGCATGGTTTATCTCATCAATAGGACGATAAAATTTATATCAGAAGTAGCTTTAATTCAATGATATAAAATTAAGGGTTGAACGACTAAAAGGATGTTTTTTCTGTTCTTGGTTTCTGAGGTTCACAACGATTTTGAACGCTAACTATTTTAACTCCATTGTAGCTTGAGAGATTTTTGGGCGCGGAGACCACCGTAATCACTCACATTCTTTCTGTGTACAACTTGAATGGAAATTTTCAGAATTTCAGTTCTCATAAGAACTGAGATTCGAGGAAGGGATGGGGCCTTTGGATCAATAGTGTTCAATAAAAAATTGAATCAATCTGTAGATCCGTATTAGATTCGGATTCGTATCGTTAAACGAAGAGGGAACAGTGGATTTTTACTTCAAATGCCTGATAATTATCGAACTAATATTATCATATTAACTTCAGCAATGGATATGTTAATGAAATTTGGTGATGTTGAAAAGGCAGAAAGTATTTTTCGGTCAATCAAAAGGAAAGATGCTAATATTTATGGTGCTTTAATGAATGGTTATAATCTTAATGATGAATCATGGAAATGTTTCAAGATTTTTGAAGAAATAAATAAAAACAATATTGTCGTCGGTGATATCATATGGAATATAATTATTGGTGCATGTTCAAATACTGCAATGCTGCATCGCTGCCAATATATTATGGATCGAATTCCATCGAATATTCAGAGGAACATTCAAATTCAAAATTCATTGATTGATATGCGGGTAAATATCGATTTCTGATGTTGATAGATTAGTTTACTGCTTATTATTTTTTTCTGATAAAGGGTAAATGTGGTTCAATTGAAAACGCAAAAAGTGTATTTAATTCAATTGATGATTGTGGTACTATTACATACAATGCTATGAGTAATAATATTTTTTTTCATTAATGCTTTTATTTTAAATATTGGAAAGTTTTCTTTTCAAGTCAATGCATTTGGTCTAAATGGAATGGGTTCTCAAGCCGTTGAATTATATAGACAAATGCCTAGTAATCCACGTGATCGTATTTCACACATTAGTGTTCTTAACGCATGTTCCCATTCGGCACTTCTTCATGAAGCTCGAACCATCTTTGATGAAATTCCTGTAAAATCTTCATCAATCATCACTACTACGGTTTAATATTTTCTTTTTAAGATTGATTGTTTAAGTCGTTTATTTGTATTTGATGAAGCACAAAAGTTGATCGATGATTATGAAAAGACAAATATACCAAGTATTGCTATGTATAGTTAGTATTATGTTAATAATATAATATTGTGATTTTACTTCTTTATTTTTATTTCAGTGTCTCTATTATCCGGCGCACGTAATGATCGAAATAGTAATTTATCTGAAAAAATATATAAACGAATGAAAACTTTATTTCCTAATGAAAAAGAAAGTCTTGCATCAGGTGTAGTTCTTCTGTCAAGTATATATTCCTCGCTGGGCGAACATGAACAAGCTAAAAATTTTCGATCTAATCAAATAAAAGAATTGGGAATCAAAGTAAAAATAGGATTATCATAGAGTGAAATAAAAGGCAAAATAGTGATAAAGTACCTTTTTTTAATTTAATATTTATATGTAAAGAAAAATTGTTGATTTATTTTTAGCGACTCAAAGCTCATGATCATTCTCATCCGCAATCAACTGAAACCTACGCTAAAATTGGTCGTTTAAAGTCAAAAGCGATTGAATACGGCTTTACATTTGATTCATCTTGGATAACTCGCCAATTAAATGAAAACGAAACTATTGAATCTGTTTTATGTGGTCATAGTGAGATATTAGTAATTGCATTGAATTTTATTCAAGTTGCTAAAAATCTTCGAGTTTGTGGTCATTGCCGTAAGTAGATATCCTTTTTCTTTCTGTCTCAATCAATCGTTAAGAATTTATTGGTTTTATTTAAGATGAATTTACAAAAATTATAGCAAAAATTGAACAGTGTGATATTGTTGTTCGTGATGCTAATCGAATTCATCACTTTTATCCCGCTGGTCAATGTTCTTGTCAAGATCATTTCTGATAAACTTATAATATAAAATGTTGTTCTTCTAGAAAAATATGTTATTTTTTTCTGAAATAGATTTTACTTATCAACGTAAAATTAAGGAGATCATCATTCATTCTTGTCATATGTGAAAGCCTTTGTTTTCTCTGCCTCATGTATGGAGATATAAAGACGCTAACGGAAAGGTCTCTATATGTTGATCCGCGTATCTCGATGAAAACTATACGCGGTTCTCAAGCCAAGTATTCGCATCCCAAATATATTGTAGTATAATTAATACAATGTTTTATCCCATAATGGTGCAAACGAAAACGCAATTTCTTTAACATTAAAGACAAAAACAATAATAACATCAAAATGTATCATAGATGTCCATGGCGGCGCGGCAGCGGTGGTACTTTTTTCTTTTTTCCTGAAGAAATCTATAGTATTTGAAAGTATAAACCAACTGTGATTTAGATCAGAGTGATTTGTTTTCTCAATCAGTACCTCTACATTACTATTTTATCGTCTAACAGAAACCACAGCCCTAGCATCATTAGGTTACATGATGACTTTCTGTGAAAGCATGCTACTAAACGTTCAAAAATAGATATTTTATGTCATCATAATTGATATACATGTAAGTAGTTAATTTTTTAATAGCATGAATATTTTTGTAGTGTTTCTTTTTTCACTGATAAATGCTGAATTATTTCTTACAATGAAAGTCTGTTTGATTTACATATTTCACAAACACAATAGAGAAATATTTTCTTATATCGACAGGCTACGAAAACGACAGTAAGAATGTTTGAAATGATATTCTTTTGTTCATGTTAAATCAATACGGATTTTATCTAGACATATGATCGTTGATAAACTCCAATTATTACGCTTGTGCATCGGTTAATATTAAACATATACTTTAAGTTTTAACGTTGTTCAAATCCTATCATTGTAATGAATTTTTCATTTGTAAAAATACATTTGTCCGTGTCCGTACCCTATCCTACTGAAAATTCTGACACTGGCTTTATATTTAAAATATCATATTTCTAACGAATTTATGACTGCTACGAATTTTTTTAAAAATTAACATTCGACGTAATAGTTTATATCAGTGACGGAGCCAGGGCGAGGCTAGAGGGTGCTCAGCCCCACAAAGGAAATTTTAATAAATACATTTTTTTCTGCCAATATATATTACTATTTGCAATTTCATGTTTTAACTAGTGTTGCTAGATATCAAACTCAAAAACCTCGCAAAAATCTAGAAAAATTTTCTAAATCCTTCAAAAAATCTACAAAAAGGGTTCGAAATCCTCAAAAATTTTATTGAAATTTTTTATATCCACGAAAAGGCCAGATGAATTTCCAAAATCCAGAAGATTTGGCAATATTGTACCTTAAGCACGATTTTATAAGGCACCCTTCCCGAATTTTGGATGTTCGCGGCAACCCTACCGAGCTGAGGCACCCTAGCCCAAAATCCTGGCTTAGCCACTGGTTTATATCAATTGTATGATGCATAAGCATATTTTTTTATTAAAGGACAGAAAACCTTCTCTAGATCATACTCATGTCGTGAAAATCGCCGCGATTTTGTTGATTTATCAAAAAACGAACGTAAAATCGTGATTAATCGAATTACGTAGAAAAATCGTGATTAATCGAATTACGTAGAAAAATCGTGATTAATCGAATTACGTAGAAAAATCGGGATTAATCGAATTACGTAGAAAAATCGGGATGATTAATCACGATTAATCGTAATCATACAAAAATCGGAATGATTAATCGGCGATTTTTTAGCGATTTTTCCAACATGGGTACTTTTCATAAGGTCGCGACGGCGGCGGCACATTTTCAGCCGCGATGGACATCTATGATACGAGTATAATGACAGTACATTGAAATACACGATCATCAGTGTTGAATTATATATGTTTATTTTTGTTAATAGGTATTTTGACTAGAATCTATGGTATTTTAATCTTGCCGACGAATAATCAAAAATCTGCATTGCAACACAATTCGATGTGTCCTATCCGCATTCACTGACCCATCAGTCCAAAGTATCTCAACATTGATAAACACTAAAATAAGTTGATTTCGAGTTTACAAGCGTGTTTTGTTTTTGATTTCTTTTTGCGCGAAAATAATAATAAAAAACAGAAGGACGCACACGGGATGTTTTTGGAAAACAATGAAGAAAAACACACAACGCGTTGTCTAAGCAGAAACAAAAAAACGAGAATCACAAAGTCATATTAGCCATTTGTTATAGTTAAGTTCAACTTTATGGCCGTAGTACTAGTTGACATTTTCTATTGTAAAAAATCGCGTACATCCTTCATTGACGAGGATTCCATTGTTACTGTATCTTCATACATATCCATCGACATTGGCGATGCCGTTTGTTCATTGATAGTAAGATTAAGTGGTAAATTACGATGGCGATAAAAAAGAACGTAAGCATCAGGTCGAACCAGTTCTTTCTCATATGATAATGATGATACGCGTTCATCGTCGAAATTTCTCCAACCTAAGAAGAAAAAAAGAAAACAATTCAAAATTATCAATAAAAATTGTTTCGTTACCAATTTCAGTCTTAGCTGAATCGTTATAAGACAAAAGTCTTGCATAAGATGTATAGTGTCCAAACCATGCACTGCCACGATGATTCACAATACTAAATAAATCATAACGAGCTTGCAATGAATTTTCTTTCGATGAACAATACGGAGCCATGTCAAGATCACTAGAGAGAAAAAAATTAACCAAACTATTTAGTTTTGACAAATTTTCAAATACTTACTGTACTGGATATTTAACATTGGTATCGATTTTAACTCTTGAATCAGAAAAATAGCCATATGATGCACCATGAAAATACTTAAATCGTTTCAGATGTATGATAAGTATTGGTGGTAGACGCCAAACTGACATGATCTTTTCAGCTTGCATATGTTCTTTACAGTACGGACAATACCATTTATCATCAGGACCCAAAACTTCAGGTTCAATGAACATTTGAAGACATTGTTGAAGTGTTATTTCTTGATCTAAATTACAGTGGGAAACTTAATTTGAAATTAATCACATTTTAAAAATTTTCATACCACCAGAAGATGCGTTAAAAACACTGTCGTCGTCAATAAGACCGTTTATACCGTTACGATGCTTCGATGGTATAACACGTAATGGTGCTTCAGGTTTATTATCGGTAAACCAATCAATGGAAAATGTTGTATAGCGACGTAGAATTTTATCGGCATCATCGCCTAATTACAACGAAAAAACATTTAGATGTCTTATTGAAATTTAATTCTAACCTGGTTCAACGATTGATTCAGCTGGCTGCATTGTAGTATTTGAGGTTTGTGGCATTAAACGAAATAATGGTTTATTTCTATATATATCATCGAGCATATCAAATTCTTCTGTGCTACTGTTGCTATCACTGTTCGATCTCGTTATTTCAGCGTCGTTATTATTTTTAATCATTTTTTCTTTACGATTTTGTTGTTCGTATTGATGACGGCGCTTATTTTTAGTTTTTTTAACAAAATAATCACCCAGACGACATATAGACCACGAGTCCGACGACGAGAGAGTATTTTTTATTGTTGGCCAATCAACATTTTCAATGTCACTAAAGCTAAAACAACAACATAAATTGATCGATTAAATGAGCAATAAAATAATTTCGCTTTGCTTAATAAACTACTCTTTTCTGGTCAATTATAAAAATCAAGGCTGAAAGTTTCACTACCTTGACAAATAAGAGGCGAAATTTTGCTCTAGTGCAACTATGCCCTTTAAACTTACGTATCTTCATCTTCGTTTCTGTCATCATTGTCTAAATCGCTATTTACACGATCATAATCGTCATTCGATGTCAACGACCGTCGGACACCGTTTGAACGTTCTATATGAATATCTACGCTTCGTCTAAATACAGAAAAAGATTATCTTTTAAATTCATTGTCTTTCGAAACAGAGAACGAGAAATCCTTACTTAGCATAAATACTAATCTGTTCAAAGACACTCTTACATGTTAAATTCGATTCTGGTAATGAAATCACAAATGGAAGTCCAATTATTTCATAATTTTCTGATGACCGAAATCCGCAATAATTTTTATGTTCTTGCGCGTGAAGCTTATGGCACGTCCTATCAGAAGTAAAAAGATAAAATTGAATATAATAAATCTATCTAACTTACTCGTCACAATACGATATTTGATAACAATTATTACAGAATTTCGATGAACTATGAGGATTCGGTGATGCTTGACAATAGCCACATGGTAAAACATATTCATGTAATTTAAATATACGTTGAATAAAGGTCAAGTGAACAATCGGCTCATTATTACATTCAGCACTTGTTAATGTTTCCGTTCTAAAAAAATACAAGAGTTTTCAATTTTCTATTGTTCAGGCTTTAATTTATGAGTGATCTCTCTAATATAAAACTTTACTGAATATTTCTAATAGAAACTTACATATAAATAATATCATTATTATTCCATGAATAGCCCGTAGATGTAAGTCGATCGTCATCTTTAAGGTGATCTACAACACGATTGTTTCGAATTCTATACGCTATCATCTAATATAAAATGATGCAGCATATATAAATTGCTACACAAAAGAAAATAATTTAATTAGACAAACTTTATTTGTTGGTAAACCGCATTTATTCGATAAATTACGCTTTAACTCGCTAATTAATCCATCGGCTGACATAACAATGCGATACTAAGTAAACATAAAATTTTTATTGAAATTAATTAAAAAACACGATTACAAACTTTGATCGGCGGTTTTTGTTCATTTCTATATGTAACAATTGTATCCACAGCTGTTCGTTTTGGTAATGGTACAGAAAGTGTTGTAAATGGGTCGAATGTTACGGATTCCTATGAGAATTCTCGTGGGGAAAAAAACTGTCTATTTTTAATATTCAACTAACTTTATGGCATTGCGGACATTTTGTTTTTGATTTAAATTGACCCGTAAATAGTTGTACAATAATAGAATCATTTCGCCTTAAATAACCACGCCAATATTCATCAGCAACAACCTATTTCAATCATATGAGTGTTTTTTTTTCTTTTAGATAAATACTAAAAGAATTTTTACATGATCAGGTCGACCTTGATCTTCTATTGGCGGTACTTGAGGTTTAGTTATTACTCGATTAAGATCCTATTGACCATAAACAAAAAGAATAACAACGATTGTCATTAGAAAACAATAGTTTTACTTCGTGAACAGCATCCAATAGAATTGTTAATAATTCTTGGGCGTCATGTTGACCGTTCCCAACAAATTCTTGGTGTCTCTTAGCAGCATAATTCTAAGAAAAAGGTAAAATTCAAATTTTCTTCATTACAAAAATAGATAAAACAAACTCGTAATTTTTGTGCGTTTGTCCAATTATATTTCCCACTCCATAAGTTTTTAATCAAGTCACCGAATTCTTCAGCAATAGCACCTTTCATACCAAGTGGATTCGTCCGATTTAGTTCAGACAAATGATACGATTCTATTTAATAGCTAGATATATTTAAAAAGATTCAAGCAAAATAAATTTCTTACGAAGAAAATAATCTCGTAATTCTCGTGTATTCGATAAACATTGAATAGCAGCGTTCATAAAACATGAATTTGCTGGATTATAGATTCCAGTAAAACCAATTGTTGATGATAAAGAAGAAACAGTTGACGTCAATGTAGTGTCTTTCTGTTGAATTGATGATGTAAATGCTGATGATGTAGGATATTTCTCTGTCTAGAAATATTTCTATCACGATTTTGAATAATATAAAAGAAATTTACCTGTCGATCCAATGATGAAGGAGGAAGCGGAGGTGGTAATGGAATAGCTAGAAGAAAACAAAAAGCATTATATGATCAATGTATTGATCGCAATCGAAATGAATTCTTAATTCCGGTAGTGTCAAGCTGGAGAAAAACTATACAAACGCGAGATCGACTGTTTTGTTTTTTTGCTTCGAAGGAGTGTCTATATTAATTCATTTCATTTCTTGTTAGTAGACTTTTAAGAACAGAGCGTATCAAGATTCGTCTGAGATAGTTAATGAAGAAACTCCAACACATATATTCCGAGTTTCTCATTTATAAAACTATAAGATTTTACCTTTATTTGAATTAAGCACCGTGGAGTTAATAGTGGTTGATGAATTCGAAGTTGGTGACGATGGTGGTGTAATCGGTGAGATTTGTTGTATAATTGGACGAGATTCTGAATATTCATTTGGCTCCAGACGGCCCCATCTAGTATTTGGATTATCCTTGGAAAGTTTTAATTCGATAGATGCTGACGTTAATCTATATGAACATTTCTCAGGTTTAATACGTTCTTTAACGCGAACAAATAATCGAATGTGTCTATCCGATGATATTGAATTAGTTCTAAGAAAAAATTCGTCCCTAAAACAATAAGAAAAATGAAAATGAAAAATTTCTTTAATTTTCTTCTTTATACTTCGTATGAAAAGTGGCTGTAAAATTTGTTTCGGTAAAATTCACTTGACAATTATAGACTTGTTTAATATAGATAACCGACGTAAAAGTTTCGTTTGTTTCGAAAAAATCCTGTTTTAATTTCTTCAATGATAAATCATATTGTTGCCGATCGATCATATTCATATCAACACATTCACTCATTGGCTCATCACGTTGTGGTAGTATTGGTTTTGAAAGATTACTATATAATTGCGGCCAAGTTTTACGTGGTTGCTGTTTAATTAAACGTATTTCAATTGATGTTTGCGTTCGTGCTGAATTGATTTGCGTTCGAATTTCAACTTGATCAGTATAAATATGTTCCCATAATTGAAAAATCCATGTTTCATTTGCTTCAAAGAAAAAAAACGAATAGAAAATAAAATAAAATTTGCATTTTCATTTACCTGGTGTCCGAACGTCAAGTGAATCTGTTTCGATAGAAATATCAATATCTTTTATTTCGTATGCTCCATTAGCATAAAGTGTAACAATAATAGCATTCTTGGCATCGCAAAATTCGTAAGATGTCGATAGAGGTTCTTCGACAATGTCGGTTGACATTGAAAATTTTTTTCCTATCTTAAATAGTAAATCGTGAAAAGAAAAACGAATCTTGAAATATTCAAAAGTAAACAAAAAACGACAAATTGAATCAAGTATAATATAATAGTGTTATGTTTCTTTCCTGCATTTTGTTCTTCTTTATTTCAAATATGACAAAAAAATGTGCTTTACTTTTTTGGCAATGAAAAAGTACCGAATGAGGAAAAAAGTGAAATAAATTAATTCGTAAATTTTAGTATACGATGAATGATGATGAAAATGGAAAGAACGTTTCGATTTGCCGACGAATTGCACCAATCATATTGCACACATTTACCTTTCTTCCTTCCTTCCGAGAAAATTATTTTTTATTGTTAATGAAATAGAACATATATTCTATCTGATAAATTGATAAAAGAAATAAATGATTAACATCACTACTAAAATCAACCAAAAATATATATTTCTATTTTGACATGCTCTCCTTCTGTATCCATGTTCATCAAACCATTGAATCGATTTTTGCATGGCTTCATCTGGACTGACTTTCACTCGATAGCCTAATTTCTTTTTGGCTTTTGTTATATTTGCATAATGCGTAACGCCAACTTTTAACACTTCAGCACGTGTCATCAATGGTGAAAAATTGTAAATATATTTGCTACATATATTATGAATAATTTCAATCATATAGCTAAAATAGAACATAATAATAGTTGGTATATAAAAAGCAAAGCAATAATCGTAGCCTAATCCTTTGGTTAGTAGAGATATGAATTCAAAATTATTCACCGGTCGATCATCGGATATAAAATAAACCTCGCCGGAATGTTTTGGCAGGGATTTTTCAGCGAGAACTAATGCATCAACTAAATTATCAGCATAAACCCAATCACATAATGTCTTTTTATTACCAATAGCAAAAAATGCCAGACCTTGTCGCACTAAATTTAATATACGTGGAAAATGTCGCTGTTCGCCATCACCATAGATCCCTGCGGGCCGTATCGCTGCTGTATAAAGATTCGTTGATGAAGCTTTTAAAATCTTTTGCTCAGCAAGAGATTTTGTTCTACTATAATTATCACAATATTCATCTTCGTTTGGATATGAACAATCGTCTTCGGTCACATTGAACAATTCCTGATTCCCTGTATATACAGCATTGTACGTTGAACAGTAGATAATTTTTTTAATACCGTGCTTAAGACATGCCTGTATCATATTTTCAGTACCGACTACATTAACGTCGAATATCATTGAAGTATTCAGCATTTCTCTACCTGACATTCCGTAGCTTGCTAAATGAAAGACACATGTAGCGTTCGATAGAGCACTATAAACAGAATCATAAGATCGCATATCACAAAAGCGATAGACTGAACGATTCGAATCTGAAATATACTGTTGCTCATCGTTCGACGGAGGACGGATGTCAAGTAAAAGTACGCGAGTAGAAGAATCTATTTCGAGCAAATAACGAGCGAGACGTAAACCGATAAAACCACAACCACCGGTAATAGCGAAACACGGAGAAGTCATATGTTTAGTTATTATCAGGTTATAATAAGTTTAAAAAATATATTAAACTCCTATTTTCATATTTAAGATAGTTGTCGCAAAAGAATTTATCTTTTTTTTCTGATGATACACAAGGTGCTTGTCAACACCTGTGTTATCATTTCTATACATCGGATCATCTGAGAACATGAATTTTTGTTTACGTTATTTGATGAGATGTAATTGAATAAACGTCGTCGACATGTATCATTGTTTACCATAGATCATAAAATGAAATTTATTGAAAAAACTTTTCATATTAGCTGGAAAAAAAAACACGAGTCACGTTTTCTACTCATAGTTACAATATGGGAACAATAATTGCGTGAGACGATACAATATGATTCACTTGCGCCCATAGATAATAATCTGTCAAACAAAGAAAAAATTGTCATCGCCATTACTTCGTGTATATACATAGTCACTGGTGTAACATAGGTTTCACCGTTCTGACTTTTTTTTATCGTTGGAGCAATAGATGACTTTATGTTGTTATTATTTTCAAACAAGGTCAGCCTGTATTACTTTCAGTATAGTTTCGTTAAATATTGTCTATTTCGGCTAAGCGTTACTTCATTAAAACAAAATATACAGATAAGTATCAATTAATAACAAATCCTGAATTTTATTTTAGTTGAAAAAGCAAATATATACTTCAGCAATGTTTTTTATTACTGCGAAATTTCTTTTGATGAAATGTAAAATAAATTTTCATACAACTTTTACGATGTGAACTGCGTAGGCTAAATTTTATGCAAAGAAATTATTGCATATTCAATCCGACGTTAAAAAGGCAAAATATTAATCATCGACGTATGTGACTATTAAAATTCTTTTGTCCTTATTAAACAAATATGCGACATCTAGACTTACGCACATTTCGTCATAATATTGGCTTCGAGCCATCATCTCGCACATATCATAAAACTCATAATTGAATGAGAAAGAGAGGAAAGAAGGAATATTTCTTTTTCTTTTTATTTCTACTCTACGTGTGTGTCAGTCTGCCTCTTTCTTTCTTTGCGTTCTGCACATGAATGAAAGACAAAATGAATAGAACCAGCACATCTATGCATTATACTGCATGCTATGATCGATGAAGGCTCATAAACAAAGGAAACAATAGGGCGATAGTTCTTTGTTTCAGACAGTTTGTTGATTTTTTTTCTGGCTGAAGAATAATAATATCTGTCATTCATCTAATGTGCTCGAACATGTATAAAAATCTCACATCTAAAAAACCCAAAACAAAAAAAGCTTAAGAAAAGAAAAGTAGATTTACGTTTTTAGATGAAGCCAGACGATTATAATTCATTATTATTGGCTCATCGTTCACTGTCTTTTTCTATTGAAAATTAATTGTTTCTCTATCATATCTCATCATGAAGGTGATTATTAAATATATACGAAATTGAAATTCTTATCATATTTTCATTTTTGTAAACTCCTAGACAACAACTACTATTCCAATAAAGCTACCACATATTTCAGCATCTAAGCGTGGTCGTCAAACCAATCAATTACAATTTATGTCCAAAATTTTATTTAAAACTTTATGGAAACATGAATTTTCGTGGCCATTTCAAAAGCCAGTTAATGCTGCTAAATTACAGTTACCTGTATGTGAAAATTAATATCGAGAAAATAATTTTTATTTTATTTGTTTCATCAATTAGGATTATCATAAAATCGTCAAATATCCCATGGATCTTGGTACAATAAAAAAACGTCTAGAATCGAATTATTATTATAGTGCTAAAGAATGTATCACAGATTTAAATATGATGTTTACTGATTGTTATTTATATAATAAACCAGGAGAAGTAATTGAAAAAAATCGAGAAAAAATGAAAAATATTCTGTTTTTTTTCTTCCTTTTTTCAAGGATGTTGTCATTATGGGTGCAACACTTGAGAAAGTTTTCTATGAAAAATTAGCTGAAATGCCGTCAGATGTAAGATTGAACGATCAATTTTTATTCATACAAAAAAATGTTTGTTAATAAAATCTAGGAAATCGAAATCGTACCTCAGACATCGAAAACAACTGCTTCGAAAGGTCTTGGAACAGGAAACTTGTCTGTTTCGATCATTTCACCATCAACACCAAGCGAAAATTTGAATTCTCCATGTATGTAGAATATCACCTTTTATTTTTCTTCTAATTGAGAAAAAAACAGTCGTAATTGCATCAGTGATAGAAACACCTATTTTTGTTTGTTTATGTATCAGAAGTAATAAAAAAAAACGTGCTTGATCATCCTTTTTCGATTTATCTGTTCCATTGATTTTTAGTGTTTGCTGAAAGAAGTGGCCAGTGTAACTTTCCATATTCTCTATGAGTGCAGTTGACTACAATAGAATTCCTCGGAGGGTACCGATGAGAAGAAAAATCTATCCTCAGATGTATTTATACAAATTTCCATAATTCTAACTGCTTCGATATCGAATCAATAAAACGAGACTACGTTCAATTTAGTAGCATCACCATCAACTCCATCAATGGCAACACGTGCTGCCGCAGTCAATCCTACACATACGGGTAGTGCAAATGCATTATCTCGACATCGTTCATCGTCAGCGACCAATCCAAGTGGTGTTACATCACCGTTTTCTCCGTCAAATGTAAATTCAAATCATATTGATCATAGTGGACAGTCAATGTCTCCACCGTCGGTAACACGATCTATGCCTAATACAGCAATACGTACAAATCCACCAGTAGCCGCTAAAGTCATAAGTGAAACAACGCTCGATACGTCCACAACAGTAAGAAATAGCGAGAATCAAATTGATTTCTAAAATTTTGCTGTTTTTATTGTCAGAGTTCAAAACGGAAAGGTGATATGACAGATGATTCAATAGCTAATGATCAAAATAAAATCACTGCTCGACGTGATAGTGGAACACGACGAACGAATAGTGTCAGTGGACCATTCAAAAGAACGAAATACGATAGTAGTATTTCGGTTGAATCAAATGATGTAAGACTATTGGCGGCTTGTTTTTTTCCTTCTTGTATTCCAAAGAAATCGGTTTTCCGTTTAGCCACAACTTAAACGATCAAAAAATCGTATGACGGAACAGTTAAAATATTGTGTCAGTATTATTAAAGATTTATTGAATAAAAAGAATGTGGTAAAAATAAATCATTGCAAATTAAATTTTATAGCTTTTATATTTGTTTTATTAAGTCATTTGTTTGGCCTTTCTCTAAACCTGTTGATGTCGAAAGTCTTAATCTACCAGATTATCATCTAATTATAAAAAAACCAATGGATCTTGGAACAGTGAGAGTAAGTTGAAGGCTCTCGGGTTCTTTTTTTTTAAAGCGAATTTTATTATCTTTTTTTTCTCTTTAGAAAAAACTTGATAATCGTGAATATGCAACACCAGACGAATTTGCCACTGATGTTAGACTTATATTTAGCAATTGCTATCTTTACAATGGACCTAATACAGATGTCGTAGCAATGTGCAAAAAAGTTGAGGTAAACATTTCTATTCATAATACTACACGTTGAATAGCAACAGTTCTTATCTTAAAATGAGTCATACAACAGATCAGAGGTTACGGATTTTATACGAGAGAGAGAGAGAGTGTGTGTGAGAAAACTTTTCTTACTACACGCCAGAAACGCTATTCGAGAGTTCGATAAGAGCGTAATCCCTACGAGAATAAAATGTGAAACACGATACAGTTACTGAGGAAAATCATCAGGAGATTGTTTAATTCGATCTATTTCAGAACGTATGTATTGACTATCTTTATCTTCTACCGATACGATAAAGGTTTTTGTCACATATTGAATAGAAATGTAAATTTTATGAATTTTTTGTTTTGCAGCAAATGTTCGAAAATAAATATGCAAAATTACCCGATGAGCCACCACCGATGCCAACTCTTGAAATTGATCCACCACTACCGCCTCCACCACCAGTGCCGTCGTCTTCATCAGTTAGTACCATACGCAATAATGGACCATTACCATCAACGGCAACACGAAAACATAGTCGCAATCCATCAAAAAATCATACGAATATCAGCAGTAGTAGTAGTAGTGTACCGCAAACATCTATGATGATAAGTTCAGACGACGGTGCGTCGTCTGACGAAAGTTCAAATGATGAAATGCAAACGAATGATGAAAATACTCTACGACAGTTACGTGTTCTTCAAGATCAATTGAAAGTTTTTGGCGATACAATAAATGGATTGATTCAACGAGAAAACGATCGTCTTGTAGTAAATCGTAAACGTAAACCAAAAGTTAAACGAAATAAAACAAAAGTTCGTGGTCCTCGTCAAATGTCGAATCTATCGAATAACACCTCAACACCTATGAATTCAAATACAGTCAATGATACAAATCGTTTTAGTTCTTTAACATCCACAAATCCATCTCTATTGCCACCAAATCCACTTACCAATACGCAGTCACAAATGCCGCCAACAGCTACACGTAATTCAGCTGTACCAACGGCTAGCAAGAAAAAAGAAAACTCTGCTATTGCAGGCCTACTTACATCAACACCATCAACTGGCTATTCAGCAAGTAGTGGCCTTCCAGCTCCCAATGGTACAAGTCAATTTAGTAGTACTCATATGAATCAATATCATGTTAGCGATGCAAACGTTTCTAAACCTCCACAAGCAACGAAAAATGTTACACCTATGACTGGAATTAGTGCCGGTTTAGCTAGTCGAGGTTCCGGTAAAGGTAGTCGTGCTGGTGGTGGAGCTGGCACTGGGCCAAAACGGTTTGTAGAAATTTTTTTTGAAAAAGGAATAGGAAAAAACCCAAGATAAAATTTTTCATTTTATTTAGAACACCAAAGAAACCTGATCCTAAAACAATACAATCAACGACGAATGTTCCATCAGTGATGTCAACACTTGATATTGAAAATGAAGAAAATCCTAAACCAATGACTTATGAAGAAAAACGTCAACTAAGTCTTGATATTAATAATTTGCCGAGTGAAAAACTTGGTCCTGTTGTTGAAGTTTGTCTTAAAAAGCAGGCAATTAAAAAATTCTAAATTTTCCTTTCGTTTCTCAAGATTATTCATCGTCGAGAACCATCGTTACGTGATTCAAGTCCAGATGAAATGGAAATCGATTTTGAAATGCTCAAACCTTCAACATTACGAGAATTAGAAGCCTATGTCAATCAAGTTATTAAACGAAAACCACGTAAACAACCGAATACATCTGGTAATTAACTCTGAAAAAGAAAACATTTCTCTTACTTCTACTATTTTCATCTCCTTAGAAAAAACAACTTCAAAAGCGGCAGCATCAGCAGGTAAATAAATCTGAATCAATTTACAGTAGCGCCAGAAATAAAATCTAATTTTATTTTAGCCAATCCTGAAAAACGCAATCTTGCCAAAGCTCAAAATGCTCAGAAGAAAGAAGAAATTCAAAAACGTCTTGAAAAAGTGCAAACACAATTAGGCACTAAAACCAAACAACCATCCACTACTTCATTAGCAAAACGAGGTTTGTGATCAGAAGAAAATTTTGTCTTTCTTGTTATCCTATATTCGGATGTTTCAGATTCTTCAATTTATAATTCAACAAGCGGCGCTTCAACTGGTCAAATAAATCCTCCTTCATTATCGTCGACGGCTCCTGCTGCGCCAATTCTATCAAAACGTTTAAGTGAAAGTTCACAATCAGAGAGCGATTCTGATTCATCACACAATGGAGGCGACTCTGACTCCGAGTCAGGTTAGATGATCTGCATATAAATTAAAAAAATTTCCTTTGCACTCTCTCTCTCTCTCAATGTTTTTATTCATTTTCTCTTTCAATTCATATACATGTCTATTGAATTTTGTTTTTCGTATGTTTTTGTTTTTGTCCAATATTCTCATGAGAGAAGAGAATGAAAAGAGAAATAGTCTGCTGCTGTTCGACAGATCCTTGTTCAGAAATGAAACTAGAACAAAATAAAAAAAAACGACGACTTTTTCTACTTATCTTTTTTCTCTTCTATCGCTCTTTACTTATATAATTGCGCTTATGGATACTAATAACTAAAGCAAATAAAACTTCGTTTTTTTTTTTACAAAGGATAATATAATACGGTTATTAATTTAAATTGTTCCTTCTGTTCGTTTTGTTTTTGGAACACAAGCAACTATTTCTCTTTCGTCTTCCTCTCTATGACTTAGAATGATGAATTTTGAATTTTTGTTTTTTTCTTGTTAATGTGTTTTTCTTGTACAATAATCTCTTTTTGTTTTTTCTTGTTTCTATATACATATACAGTGGCAAATTCTATGTATTCTTGAGATCACATCAGCGTGTTCTCAAACTTATGTACATTATCCCTTCCGCATCTAAAAACATTTACACACAAAAGAAACAAACTTCTTCCTTCTCTTTTTTTTTGTTTTTTCGTAATTGTCGATATTCGACATTATAATTATTCTTATTCAGATCCGAATTCATGCGAATCAGTATTCTGTATTACTATTAGTGTGTTTCGTTTCTCTCTCTCTCTCTTTCTAACCTTTTTTTACGTGTCGTACATTAGAGCTCAACAAACTGTATACACTGCGCGTATATTTGTAGCTCGTTTCTTTCTATATCTATCTCGCAAAAAAAATCATAACCCAAAATTCAGTCGAACAAAAGGAATAAAAATTGATTGAAAAAAAAATTCGGACTAATAATGATACTGACAAAGGCTTGCGTTTCATATCTCAAAAGGATCTGTCGATACGCTCAGCAAATAAACATACATATATGAATAGCCAACAAGAGTAGTTGATCTCTTATAAAAATAAGAATGATTTATTTAGGCATCGACGATATCAAATCAGCTGCTAATGGTGCTGCTGTATCAGCAAGAACAAAAGATCAGGTCAGTACATCCTATTCGTGTTGGGTTTGATAATTAACGATTTGCTTTTTGAATAGACATCCTCAAATCTTGACATCAATGTCGATAATCTCACGAAGAGAAAAGGTACGCATAGATTTATAGAAATGATAATTTAGAAAGCGTTTTTCTATTCAAGATGATATGGGTAGAACTAGATTTGAGAGTGGCAATAATGGTAAATAAAAAATTTCTAATGCTTCCTGTTCGTTTCTTAAATAAAACTATAATATATTTTAGCGAACGATTTAACTGAAAGACGACCGAGTTTTCACCTAGGTGGAAATGATGATGATCTTTCAGATGACTCCATACCCACGACTTCACCAGCTGCAAAACACACGGGAGACGATGACTCATCGAAACGAGTAAGACAAATGAAGTCATTTTATTGAATTCCGATTTTTTTCTTCTTGCTTCAGGATTCAAGTCTATCGCGTTTAACTAGCGCTAGTTCATTGAGAAGAGATAACTTTTTATCGCTGGCTGCTAAAACTGCTACCACATCAGCGTCATCATCAACAGTCAAACCTGATGATAAAGTAGCGCAAGATCGCTTTATGCAATATCAAAAACAAGCTAAACTCAAAGCTGAACAAGTAAGAAACTTCGAAAAATCGAATTCTTTAAATTCTATTCTTTTCTATTACAGGAAAAATTGTACAAAGAACAAGAAGCGAAAAAACGAGAAGATGAAGCGAAACAAGCACGATTGTTATCTCGAAAGTAAGTCTCGAGACCTATCTCGAACTTTGGAGTACGAGTTTGTTTTTGTAGAGAAACGAATGGTAATCATGTTAATGAAACATCATGTCGTAATTCAACAAAACAAACTGCATCAACCTTGTCGGATGCATCTCCCTCACCGCCATCAATGCATCAAAACTCATTATCAGCATCATTGAATCCACAGCAAGAAATGAATATGGACGATGAACAACGACAGAAACGAGAGATTGCTAAACGACGCGAAGAAGATCGTAGACGTCGAGAAGTAAGAATCTAATTGGAAACGAAAAACATGAACAAAACTTATTTTTCTCTTCTAGTGTCAAGCCCTCAATCAATCATTACCATTTAATCGTCATACTGATGTTGATTTTTCATTTATGAACGGATAATCATTCAGTATTTCTTGTCCCCCTCTTTTCTCTTGTAATCTCGCTCGTCGTTTTCTTTTCTTTTCTTTTCTTGTTGTCATATGTATAGAACATTGTTTTGTGTGTACGTTTGTTTTGTTCGTATATACTGGATTAAGGTCATTTGTTTTCGAGTGAGAAAATCAAAGAGAGAAAGAGTGCCATTTTATTTTGCAAAAAAAAAGAGAAAAAAAAACAAACGCCTAACTTTCCCTCAAACGATGAATCACTATTTCCATAAGATATATATACATATATATATATATATGCACACTCAAAAATTCATGTCCATATACTTAGCAAAAACACTTGACTTGCTGGATACACATGAAAGCAATTTATTGTTGTGTTGACAGTTGATCGTTTGTGTATGTGTAACGCTACTCATATCTTTTCTTTGTTATTTGTTTCTCCGTTTTTGCTTCTATATCATAGAATTACATACACATTACTGTATGTTCATATATGATGATTAACTCTTCATTTTCGTTTATTGTTTTCTTTCTTTTTTCTTGTGACAGATTGTATAAGTTTTTGCTTGAGTGTGTGTGTGTGTGTGTATGTCATGGTTTTTCTTCTTTTTCATTGATTAAACTCAACAGAGAGAACTTGCTGATCCCGTGAGATAACACAAATGTTCTTTCGTTTGGTTTCTCTACTCGTGTTTTCTTTTTTTTCTTTTTCGTTTTTTTCGTTTCATCAACTGAAGAAAAAAATAAACTTGAGAGAAACAAAGGATTGTATATGAACTCGTTGTTTTGTTATTTTTTTAATGCTATCGAATATTACAAGACGAAAAACAAAATTAGTAAGTACACTTGATTAAAAACGACGATAGTTATTGGGTGTAGTTGTATTTTGCAGTGCTGAATTAACATGTGGTTGTGATGAAGCGCCGAATTTAACGGGTGGTCTTGAGGGTCGAACCGCAGCGAGTTGACCTCTAGGCAAACAAAACGAGAGAAATTGTTCATTTAAAAAATGATGACTTCATGTTAATCTATGTGACAACATACCGTCGCACCGTCAGTTGTATTTGTAACGCATTGCGAAGTAAATTTTCAGCATCCTCATGTTTCATAGAACTTGCATCTTGACCATTAATAGCGGTAACACCATCGCCTGCATATAATTTATTGTGTGATGGTGTATTCGGTGAGACCTGAATATAACGAATAATAATTATTAGATTAGTTCTTATGAAATCGATATACTCACTTTTTTAATTGATAGTGGCAATCTGTAATCGATTCCACCTTGCAGACGAAAACCCCAACTTTGATCTAAACTTGAACGATCCAAAAATACAGGCACTGTAGGAAATAGAGAATTATCCATTGATCGTATTGCTTAAGTTGCCTGGAAATAATATTTGATTCTACTCGACAACAACTTCCCGTTTTTCTCTCTCTCTTTGCTAGTCCGTTTGGTTTGCCGCTTAGTTATGTGTTCCATATTAGTCTCAAAGGAGAAAACGAGCGTTCTGTTTCGTTCTTTAGCAGAAAAAACACCGTCGTCTCTTCTAGTATGTTTTTGCACAGATTAATCATAGAGTTTGTGCCGTGATAAATTATCATGATTGTATTTTTTGGTGATACTACAGATGCCGAGAAAACAGCAGCAAAACATAGTGCGTATGTATCTAGCATTTGTTTCTCGTTCTGTCGTTCGCCTTCCAGCACCTATACCAAAAGGCAAAAATCAAAGAACCAGCCAGAACTGTTTTTCTTGCTTCTATCATTATACACTCATTGATAGTACTAATGATGGCGATCGAAACTATTGTGCGAACAGAAAACACTTATAAGATCAACTGAGTTGACTTTCAGAACAAACCTAAACAAACACTTTCCGATATCGGATGGATCCATAAATATGGCCAAAATTGCAATAAAACTACTATGAATACATAGTGCTGTTTGAAAATAATGACGAAGATGATTTTCTCAATAGATGTCAGTCGTAACAGAATTATCTATTCATTTCGCCCGGCAAGCGCATTGGACATGCTGAATTCTCTGTCTCGTATGTTTTTATGTTCGTTCGTTTCTTTCAAGATTTCGATTTTTTTATATAGATGTTTATTTTTACTAAATTGAAATTGTGATTATCATTTCTTTTCCTTATTTTCTAGACATGTTAGAACCATCATCTAGCCATCAGTAGTTCTAAGCATTCTCTTGTATTGCCAACAAGACAACAAACCAAAAATAATCAACCATGCGTAATTTTATTGCACTTGAAGAAAAAGGGAGTGTTCGTGAATTTATTGCCAATGATCTTAACAATGCTGGTTTACGCATTGATACAAATAAATATCGCAATATAATCATTAATCAACCATCACCTCATATAACCAATAATCCAAAACAGCAGCAACAAGGTTCACGCGTATTTAATGTGCCTCTTCATCAAATGGACACAATATCAGTCAAAGTAGAGAATGTTGATTTAACAGTACCGATATTTTTACGTTGGTGTTTCGATTGTATACGTCGTTCAATAAAACATGAAGGTCTCTTTCGAAAATCAGGTGGATCACAACGTGTTAAAGAACTTATGGTAAAAAAAAATCATAGGAATATTTTTCCTTCGACATAAAAACTATTTTTTTTTTCGTCTTCCAATCCTAGGCTCGAATAGAAGATGGTCCACTTACGCCAAGTTTATCCCCGTCGAATACAGTATTTGATGTTTGCTCATTATTTAAAGAATTTCTCCGTCGTCTAACGTACCCATTAATAACATATCCATTACAAGATCTCTTGCTCGATTGTTTTTCTATGCGTTCATTATCATCAGATAAAAAAGTGGATATTTATCTTAATATTCTTCTGCTTTTGCCCGATGAACATCTACATGCATTGATATATATCTTACGATTTCTACATGAAATTACCTTGAATGAACGTGATAATAAAATGAATGCAAAAAATTTAGCTATCTGCGTTGGTCCTGGTATCATGCGTACAGCAGTCGAAGGTAAAGCAAGTGTTATGACTGAACAATGTGCAACAAGTGTTAGTGATATTGTCGAAGTTTTAATTATTAATGCGGCTAAGCTTGGCTATGTTGCCGATTCAGTCTACGAACGATCACAGATGCTTTTAGAAATGAGACAAAAAGAAGCAGTAGTGAATGCAGATGAAAGTTTTGCGATTGAAAATGGAAACGACAATGGTATTAGCAATGGAAAAATCAACGATCCAGCGAATGCCAAAAAACGTCGTAGTGGTTCTGTGAAAGGTAATTAGTTTTGGTTTTTGAATAATTTAATGTGATTGGGCTTTTAGAATTTCTTGTTCATATGACAAATCGATTGCGGCGTCGATCTGGCTCGAACAATGATAGTCGCGATCAAACCAATGCTTTTCTAGACCAAAGCGGAAAATTATCTTCGTCTCATACACGTGAACATCGTTACCATTATCAACAAAATAGCATTAGTGGACATTGTTTATCGTCGTCATCCAGTTCAACGACGACAACAAAACGAAAATCAAGCGACGATCCAAATGGTGGAAATTCTAAAAGAGGGTAAATAAATATTCATCGATGAAGTTATAACCTAAAATTTTCTTTTCTTTAGTAAAACAAAGACAACTCAAGAAAAATCATCCCTACCCGATATGAATCGTTTTACAAGTCCAATATCAGCGTTTCGTCGAAAGAAAAAAACTCCTGGCAGTAGTAATGATCCAGGTTTTCCTTTTAAAATTGAACATTCCCATTTACCACAACTACTTCATTTCACCGATGAAGTGCCACTACGTTTTACAAATGCTGTTATTAATACAGCATCAGCTGCTTCGTCGTCATCATCATCATCATCAACAACAACACCAAATGGTTGATTGACAAACTAACCAGTGTCAATAGCTAATAATAGCTTTTTTTTGATTTGTTTGTTCTAGTTGCTCTTCAACCATCCGAAATGCAGCCTTCACTATTAACGAACGCAGCACCTGCTGCGTGTATCAATAAATCACTCGATGCAAAAAAGTAATTCGATTTCTTCGAGAAAAATTAATTCATTTGTTTTCTAATTTAGACTCAATCTGTTGGATTCATGGAAATGGCCAAAATCGAGCCGAGTTAGTTTTTCTCGTATCCAACCTTTCACAATCTCCTTTTTGAATTTTTAGAAAGCCGAACGAAAACCTCTAGTTGCCATACATGCACCTATGTTAGTAACATCAACAGTGGGTTCCTCGTCTCTATCTCAATCTCCTCCATCTCCCATCAAACCAAACAACGGATCCACTCAATCGTCATCTCAACAAATGGCAGGATCCTCAATGATGCATTCAAGTTTCGGTGTACCACGTCGTCACTCCGATGACGTTGTTAGTACATCACTTTCAACAACAGCCTATCGGCCACGTCGTTCAATATCATCCAGTGGTGGTCAACAACAAACACGCCATGTCGTTTGTATGCTCAATAATTATTCTCATTCGTTGCCATCGAGTCAACAACAAAATGCAAGTGATGACGACGAACCAGATGAGCAAACACAAAACATTGAATCGATGCCAAGTAATCTCAATCTCACTCAAGAATCGTATGATGACGAGGACGACATAGCCAATGAACTCAATCTAGCTGTTGTGGTTGGCCATGAAGATATTCAATCATTACGAGCATTTTCAACTGAACAAACACATCCAGAAAATGGCTCATTGGATGTAGCATTTATCGATGAAACAGATGTAGAACGTCAAAAGAATCACGTTGAAAATGAACAACGCGATCAATCGAATGCAATGGATATACCTAATAATGACAATGAAACTTTATCACAAACTATCGTTGCTCCTGGTGAACAACAATCAATTGAAATGCAAGATGTTTGTCAAACAAATGATCTCGATGAGATTTTAAGGCGAAATGAAAATCGTTGTATTCGATTAACTGATTCAGACGTAAATTCGTTGTTGATAGAAAACAAAACTATTTTCTTTTCTTTTCTTTTCTTTTCTTTTCAGGATGAAGAACATGTTAATTTCAGCTTATCAATGAATCGTACGACACCTCCAACGATAAAAACAGATGAACTAAAATCGACAACTCCTAAAATGCCTGTTCGTTTATCATCATCAATATCAAATTTAATTTCGACAAGTTCATTAACATCCACATGTAAAGAACGTTCATTATCTTGTTCATTGTCTCAAACCACTAATGAATTATTTCATTCGAAAACACTTGGAGAAAACGACGAGGTAAACATGATGCAAACATAAAGAGTTTAACTTTTTCTGTGGATTTAATCTTGACTTTTTGTTTGTTTGATCTATACTAAATAAAATATATATAATCTTTTTTCTCATGGATGATAGTAATAGTATTGAAAAGCAAACAAATCTATTCTTTCTTTTTTTTTTGTTTAGAATATTGGTGTACTCAATGGTGGTCGAGAAAGTATTCTTCAACTCAAAGGTGAACTGGCAGGTCGTGTTCTAAGACAAGTGCGAGCTTTCGAACAACGTTCATCGGAAAATATACAGAATCGTTCGATTGTACCAACGAGTACATCAACAATATCATTACAACAGAAACTTGATGATAGTAAAACTGAATTAACCAGTAAACCTTCGTCAACGATCCTATCGACACTATCATCATTAACAATCATAAATACACCTGAGCAGAATCTCATTGAACAAGCATTAAGAAATTCGAATAAAATTATTTCATCGTCGAATGGTACCGGTGAAGTAACACGTTCAGTGAAACGTTTACAAAATACACCTATACGACGATGGAGAGAACGTGCTCGAGAATTCGAACGACGCCATCAAATAACACCACCATATCGATTATTGAATAGAAAAAGAAAATGAAGCCTAAAATTAATTGTTCGTACGCATGATTATCGTTTTTTTTTCTGTACATGTTTTTCTTATGTGTTCCAAAAAAGGAATGAAACTTCTGTATTTGTATATAATTTTGTCTTGTTTCAATCTTCGAAAAAATATAACATATGTGAATATATTGAGTGAATTGAAATATTGACTCCGTTCAATCGTCGTCGATTTCAATGCTATTTAAACGTACGTAGGATATCTTAACTAATGTCATGAAACAAATTCGAAGAGAAGTATCGAAAATAGATCATATAGAGTAGTCAAAGTATATTCTTGTGGCTTTAGGTTTCGATTATAGTGGCATCAGAACTTTCAGCTACCAGTGTTACAACAGAGTATGAAGTTCAATTGATAGCAACCGTGCATATGAAATTGACATTTGGTTTGAAGAAAACCAACCTTCAATGCAATACGATTCAGTAGTATCTTCCTGATCTTTCACCAAACAGAAAAGAGAGTCAACGAGCTCCAGAATCTATTTGATTCTACCAAACATTGCTCACAGCACCGATATCGTCGACTCAAACGGTACGAATCGACACATTTACGAAGGAATTGTGTGATTTTTTTCTTGAAGAAGAATAGCTCTGACGATAAGTACCTTCGATTGTCAGCTCATATGAACAGTCTCGGAACGCTGCTGCGCATCGTCCATGTGCAATTATCGTCATTGTTTCATTTGACGATAGACGCCAGCAAACCGTAAGGTCCGCAGCTCAAGAACAAGTTTGAAGATTGACTATTAAAAACTACCACTTGAACTTATTTTATATTCCCTCTAATAGAATCAAAGTGTGTTTTCCTGCACGAATACTTTTCAATTCTTTTGTCTGTTTAACTTTAATTTTTGAGATTATTTATATACTTTCTTCCTTCCATTCGAAATAAATAAGAGTTCCCAAATAGCATAGATTTTTTAATGAAAAGTGTATTTAAATCAAAGGGTGTGTCAATGTGGGTGCGGTTTGACATGGATTTGAACAACCAGAACTTATACCCACGCATCAATACCATACACCAGTGAAACCCATCTTAAGTTAGTAGCAGACAGCAACACCGATCGAAAACCGCAGCTAATCGAATTTTATAAAAAAAAAAAACGCTGTTAACTGATTCTTCTCGATTGATTTGTGCGACATGGGGAGATAATAAGTATAATAGAAGTGTAAATTATGTATAAAGAAAATTCTTCAGAAGGCACAGAGATGTCATAATATCCTAACAGTGGGTATCGTCGACATACCAGTCACGATATCCATTCAAGTGGATATCTAAAATGGATACTAAAATGAATGCCCATGTTCCTCAGAGCTGAGGAATTTGAGTGCATTTGGTGTAACGAGAATGGGTATCGGAAACGGACACCCTATTGTAGAAATACGTGGCTTTATAATTATGAATAAGGGAACGTGATGCTATGTTAAAATTTATTGTATTCATGTAGTCAGCTTTATGCCAATGCTTATCGATATGTACAGATTTGTTTAATGAGTATTGCAGATAGCGTGCAATTCCAGGTAAATGTTCGTTGAAGAGCTTCATTTTTACCTGATAACAATTTATTACGACTTTCATCACAATGGCTCAAGGAAGTCGGGTAAAAACTGTAGCATGCTGTGTAGTTGGTGTTGTTGTGGATCGTCACATGTATGTTATTTGAATTGTGGCTTATATTAATTTGTTTGAAGTAGGACCTGACAGTAGGAAAATTTCCGATACCCAATCTCGTTACACCAAATGCACTCAAATTCCTCAGCTCTGAGGATACGTAGATATCCATCCAACTGAGTATCCTATCTGGGTATTCATCTCGATACCCTAGTTGTGGATATTATGACATTCCCCGACACCGTATATCAGCCGTAAAACTTCGTAAAGTCGGCGTAATATTATCGTATTCTATAGAACATACGGCCGTATTTGTATCGTATACGACCGTTTACTGATCGTTTTCTTCGACCGGGGTCAGGAACTACAATTTTTTGTAAGATTTCGCCCGTACTCCAAGATCTTGTATGTGCTTCATAAGATCTTTTGCCAGATTTTTCGACCTGGATACGTGAGAAAAACAATATAGAATCAATCAGGTGATTTATTAGGAAAAAAGTCGAACTCTATTTGTTCATATTATATACGCAGGTGACGTTAGCACTCGGTTACAGTAATTCCAATATTCATTCACCTGAACATTGTTTTAGGTTGGAATGTCGGCTGTCCATTAGCATTGAAATTATTTAATACTAATTCTACAAATGACAGTGTAATTATATGAATTTTAATTGAATTTGAACAGCTTTGTATCGAATTTTTATTAATGTAAGCTAGATTAGAAAACGTCTATTAAATGCCAAAAAATATTAAAAAGTTAAATTTTCAATATTTTACTTTAAAAGAAATTAGAGTGCTTTAAATTTATTTTTGAATTTATTAATCTTTTTGTAAACGCCAATGGATCAGTGTTAAGTATAATTTTTGTTGTCAGAATAAATTTTGTTTAATACAAATAGAAAATTTAACACTTCAGACATATGTAAGTGTAGTTCATTCGGATATTCACTACTTCGAAACTACAAGTTTGTCTGGTCGAAAAAGGCGTCTTCACAACGAAATCTTTTATCTCGAGAACGCGTTATCGTCCGCTCTTTTTTTAATTTATTTTTCATGGGTAGTGAACGCATTCTTTATAATAAAAAAAAGAAAGAAAGCATATCTAATTTGAATTCTTTAAGAAAACATATCTAATTTGAAATCTTCAAGAAAACATATCTAATTTGAATTCTTCAAGAAAGCATATCTAATTTGAAATCTTCAAGAAAACATATCTAATTTGAATTCTTCAAGAAAGCATATCTAATTTGAAATCTTCAAGAAAATATATCTAATTTGAATTCTTCAAGAAAGCATATCTAATTTGAAATCTTCAAGAAAATATATCTAATTTGAATTCTTCAAGAAAGAAGAACACACCTGATATTTTCTTTGCGGACAGTAAGTTACGGTTGATGTAAATATGCTGATAAGTATTTTTACGATATAAAATCGTATGGCCGCCACTATACGTATTTCAGTCTTCCTATCCTCTGTTCTTAATTATTTTATTTACTGCCCATTGATAGCGCTGTTCATACGATTTTACTTTTTATCAAAAAACATTTGTATTCTTGTTGATATCAACTTAGTTTAAAATATTTGTCAGTGCAAGCAACATGGCCTTCCATTGAACGAGTATTTTTTTAAAGCTGTTTTCTTATGCACCCTCATCGAGCATCATTGACTGCAAAAAATGTTTGTTTACTCACTTTTCTTCAATGTAATAAGTTTTTGTTATGGTTTAATTGCTTTGAGCACGATAATAAAATATAATACTAGTCATGTTTTGATATTTTCTCTTATAATAAAGGGTGATCCAAAAGTCTTGGTACTACATATAAAATTTTATTTTCTCCCTTTTTGGAAATCAAAAAATTCTCAAACTTGGGTATATAATAACTAGCAACTAGGTGAATATTATCCTAAATTTTTACACTTCTAGTTCTCACTTACAAAGAATATTTATACACTCAAATACTAGTGAGGATCTTTTTTCCACTGGTGGATCTACCAGTTCGACTACCAGGCGCTCGCCATCCCCTGAGAATAGACGGGACAACGAAATATTTTTAAAGGCTTAAATAATATTAGAAGGTCGAAAATAAAATGAATAACCGAAGGGAATCGTAAAACTATAATTGATTGCCATCATCTTGAATATTACATAAGTAGTAGATCAAAAAATATAAATAGCGTATGTTCATTTTCAGCTTCATTTCTGTCTTTTTTAAAGTGCTACCCGAAATATTTCTGCGATTCTTATATTCACGAAATCATATCTTTCAATAAGAAAATAAACCACAAGATGTTGGTGTCAAACGGTCGAAGCCTGTTTTAGTTTAATAATAAAAGTTCCACAAAAAATCATGAAAGTAAGTAATTAGAAAAATCTGGTTAATTATAACTAATTTGCATGGATGAATTCGCTAAGTTCAGCCATCGATTAGTTTTTAGATTTTATTGCGCAACTTTATTTCTAAAAAAATTGTTTTTTCCATAAAATTATACATATATTGCGCAAAAATTAAATAAGCAATGGAAAGAAAACTGTAGTACTTTGCTTTATAAATTTTCGAAAAAAAACTTCTCTAGGTCGTATTATATAATTTAGAAAGCGCCGTCCCCTCTAAAAATTCCTAGATTTGCCACTGGTTTTTTTCCTATGACGTGGTAGATTGTTTATTGATAAAAACATCTAGAATAATTAATTTTTATCATAAGTACAACAATCAATAATATAATAAATTATATTTTTATACGTTGCCATATTCTTTTTTGTTGATTGAATAGCCGTTTTTCTTAATCAAAGCTTGTAGTCGTCTGGGCATTGAGCTGATCCATTTGGGACACATTGGTGCAGTGATTATATTCCAGATTGTTACAATTCTTTTTTTAATAATGGTATATTTTCAAATTCTTCTTCTAATTTCTCTTTATTATAAGCCCATATGTTTTCAATGAGCCATATATCANTTCCTCAGCTATGAGGAACATGGGTATTCATTTTAGTATCCATTTTAGATATCCACTTGAATGGATATCGTGACTGGTATGTCGACGATACCCAGTGTTAGGATATTATGACATCTCTGACGGTGTCCGTGTATGGCCGTAATATTGCCCCTGTTACAACGCCTTAATACAGCTTAAAACGGCCGTTTTACGACGGAATACGATGCAAAAACGACCGTTTATGGTAATGTTACTCCGGTTTACGGTGGTCCGTTTTTATCGACCTGGGGAAATCTGAGATCAATTCGCACAATCAGATTCTTGAAAGATCGTATTAATGTGTAAGATCTTTCAAGAATCTGATTGTGCGAATGCGAATTGATCTCAGATCTCAGGAACTACAATTTTTTTGTCAGATTTTCGTATGATCGTGCAAGATCATATAAGATCAGATGCAAGATCTTAACAGATCTTAGAATATGATTGCTCGACCTGGGTACTCTTCTGTCAATCTTGAAAACAAAACCATATAAATGAAAATTAAGCTAGCTTTACATAATTGTTTTTATGATTAGGACTGAGCGGTTGAAGTAAAATTATCGACTTTTTGCGCTTTCAGATACCATAAAAATCCATATTGATTGATCGTTGCCCTGGAATACCAATTTCTTGAGGGTGTGAGTGATATTGAAGAGAAGATACACTCACGCACACACATCTCTGGAGTAGTAGATTTTAATCCATTCTATATCAATTATTAACAAATTCCTAATCGATTATAGTCAAACTTAATCGGTTTTAATCGGTTAACAACTGTGAGCCAATGTTTTTCTGATTATAATTGATGACTTATAATTATTAATCAATCATAATCTGATCATTTTCCTTTTTTTTACATGGGACAATGAAGCAAGTAAATATATGCATTTCGTGCACACATAAATTGGTTAATAATCTAAGCAAAGCAGTCGTGTTCGTATAAGAACGTGCTGAGCTTCTGCTCTGCTCAAATTTCATAATTATCGAGATCACCAAGAAATTAGTAACATTGTTCGATGATTTCTAGCTTTTGAGCTCATTTGTCTACCCATAAAAAGAGGGCTACTGCAACAAATATGTTTTCAAAGGATAAGCAATCTTATTGCGTGTGGGTGCGTAGTGTCACTGAAGAAAAATCATTTATGACTGCACTTTACCCCTACGCTCTCTTTCGATTATTTTTATTTTCGTTCAAGCTCAGGTTTAATAGCACGCCATCGTTGACATTCAAAGGAAGCCGACATATGCATCAATCAATTCGACGCAATAGACATCAAGAAAAAAATATATTTCGAACAGCACAATTAGACTATTTTATGTACAACTTTTTTCTATGAAAATATTGATTTGAAATTAACAAACTATCAGAAAATCGAAGAATCATTCTTTTTTGTTGGAAAAAAGCAGTTTAAGTAGGATATACGTAATGGAATAGGAAGAAAAAAATCTTTGCATTCTCTTGTGTGTAAAAGAAAAAGGTCAAACACTTTGATTTTCATCTGACGCACAAAATTATTTTGCGGAAAGCAAACAGACGCAGGTGAGTATTCGAAACAGTATAAGGCACGTTTTTCTACTTTTTACTACTTTTTTACTCCATTAAAGATGCCTTCAATTTTTTCCAATTTACTCATACATCTATATTTATGTGTCAGAGTTTACATTCACTGCGATATTTTTTTACCGTTTCTTCTTTTGTAATTAGCCATAGTCGAGATTGCACCAATGAAACCTATTAAAAATGAAACACATTTCCTCGTAACATTTCATTAAATAGAAAATATACGGCAGACTCAATCTTTACTGGATATAATAGTTTTATCATTTCATTTTGATACTAATTTGTTAAGTTCGTAAATTAAATTGCAATCAATGCTGATTGCAATTGATTCTAATGAAAAATCAATTTCATTAAAATTTTATTGAGACAAGCAGACTACTTAAATTCACCTTCAACGTCATTTGTGCAAAGACGATTACAAGATTTTGACCGGAAAACGGGATATCTGAATTTTAGTAGAGAAGATCTTCATATATCAAGATCTGATCCTATTATGTGTTTATTGGTTGACATACAATACCTCTTCCTAGATATCATATATCGGCACAGTCAGAAGTATTTTTCTAGCATATTATTAATGGAAGCTCATTCGTGAAACTAGTTATATTAGACTAAACAACATTTCAGACATTTTAGAAAAATTGCCTGGAAGCAGTGTGATCGAGATCCAATCGATTCAAGACGACTATACTGTGAGATCTTAACATCTGAATCTCCAAATATCAGTATTATCTATCCGCATCAAACTGAAAAAACAATAAGCTGCCGAAAAATAGATTTGAATGTCGAACCACATTTTCAGAAAACGTCGCACTTTTACTGTAGTGTGTATCTTCAATCATCTCTATTGTACGAAATATTCTTTATTGTTATACTGTTGTTTTCAGATATTTGTAATTTCGAGTCCTAAACTAAACGAATGGCTTCTGAAATTCAAAACGTTAAAAATGCCGTAGCTTTAAATAATGCACTGATATTTATCGGTACAGGTGTATCCAGTTATACAGCAAACCACGAACAAAATTTTTCTCATTGGAAAGGATTATTACAACATGGTCTTCAACGATGTCATCAATCAGGATTGATCAGTGACAAAGACTTTGAAGAATTCAATAGCACATTTCAGAGTAATACCGCAGAAGCTGATGACTACGTACATGTTGCCGACCAAATAAAATGTTGCTTCGAAAAGGAAAGTGGTGCTGCAAAAGTTGATATTTACAAATTATGGTTAACGGAAACATTAGGAAATTTGGTCGTTAAAGATTCGGAACTGATAAAATCTGTAGGAGAATTGGAATGCCCTATTATAACAACTAACTATGACTGCCTGCTAGAAGATATACTTGATAGAAAACCGCTAACTTGGAGTAAATATTGCACAGCAGACATTCACAATTCATTAAAGGATCTAAAAAATTACATTCTTCATGTACATGGATATTTTCGAGAGCCAGATACTGTAATTTTTAGTAGTGATGATTACACTCGAATTCATGAAGAGCAATTTGACCAATCAAACTTGGGATCACTTATGAAAAGAAAAACTTTATTATTTATTGGATTTGAGACCGGATTGTCAGATCCACATTTTTCGAATTTATTAAAATGGATATTCAGCGTGACCGGTAGACGATCATTGCCAATGTATAAACTTGTTACGTCAAATACAACTAAAGGATTTAATCAAACATCAGATATGCTATTATTGGAGAATATGAAAGAACTTCAATATGGTAACACTCCAAAAGATTTATTAGAATTCATAAAAAATCTCAAATCATTTAAACCGTTGATACGCGAAAGTTTATCTCTGGCAGACAGACAAGAAAATATTCGCCAAAAATATTTGAACTATCTTATTCACGAATATGGCCACGTGTCTATTTTAGGATATTCGAATAGTAATATCAGTTTATCATTGCAAAGCGTATATGTTGAATTGAAATTCGATCCAACACATCCGTCCATTAAAGCGATGAAAACAGTAGAAATTAATGAGCAATTCAAGCGTAAACTGTTATCTCACGATTTTTTCGATGAAAATGAAATGCGAAAACTAACTCGAGCTATTATGGAAAGAAATGAATACAATTCTGCAAGTATTTACAAAGACTTTATGATTGATCAATGGCTAAATGTTTTGTTGAGTAACGAAAAAATATTTAACAAAAACGAAGCAACTTCTATCAAAGACAAGGTGAAACAATTGAAGAAAAGTATTCTAGAGAAAAATTGTCTTAAAGAAGCAAAACAATATCAAATCCAGCAGGCATACAATTTATTTAAGCATTTTATAATTCTAGGTCATCCAGGTTCAGGTAAAACTACTCTATCAAAATGGTTAGTAACCAACATGGCGAAGGAGAGCTTACAGGAGGAAAATACGTTGTTTGACGGTAGTTTTTATATTAAGGAGAAAATCCCGATTCTTATTCCAATTTGGAAATATGTTGATCAATTGAAAGAAAATCAAAAGGAACAAAAAAAAACTTTGCTGCAGTTTATCTATGAAAATCCAACTTTCAATTCAATATTTTTCAATGATGAAGAGCGAAACGGACTGTCATCTTTCATCATGAAATCGTTAATACAGGGAAATGTTCTAATTATTTTCGAAGGATTGGATGAAGTTCCTGCTCATGCAGATCGATCTGAATTAATGAAAGAAATCAATACATTGTTAGAACGAGGAATTGATTATGACGTAACAAATAATAAACTTACGTATTCAATTTATGAAGATAAGGAAATCAATAATACAAAAGATCCTACGATTGGAAATCGATTTATTGTAACAAGTCGTATTGAAGGGAATTATTTTGAAGAAATTAATTTTTATGTTCCAAGATTAACTATTGAAGATATGTCGAACGATGCTCTGAAATTATTTTGCAGTTCATATATGGAATGTATCAAAGATATTTCTATTAAAACAGGAAGACGTGTCAAAGAATACGAAACTAATCGATTATATAATAATATTACGAAAAACAAAGATATTTTTCAATTAGCAATCAATCCGCAATTAGCGAGTGTAATTGTTGCAGTGTATTATCAGTATGAAGGTAAACTGCCAGAGAAAAGAATTGATCTATACGAAATAGCGATTGGACAAATGATAGAACGATTAGTCACTTCTGATATTAATGCTTCTACACATCATGTAAGTCGAAAACTTGGATTGAATGCTAATTTTTTATGGTCAATAATGCAAGAGGTAGCTGATTATTTGCATAGTAAAGTTGAAGGCCTATCGGAAAATGTGCTAAAAGAAATAATAAGAAAATGCTTGAGAGATTATCAATCATCGAGTGATCTTACAATAGATATTGATGATTCAATCTCGAAACTTGTGGATATGTTTAAATATCAAGCAGGTTTGCTTAATGAATTTGGTCATGATAGCTTTCGATTTATACATCGTACATTTCAAGAGTATCTTGCAGCTAAAAATATTGTTTATTGCTATGGAATTCCACGATCTGCAGATACGATTTATGAAAGTATTAAAACCAAAATTGATACTCCCAATTGGAGAGTTCCTCTCAGCATGACATTTGGAATATTAAGTAAATTCAGTGAATTATTTAATAGTATCATCGCAAGATTGCTAAAAAATGAAGAAGCTCCGTATAATCTACAATCTTGTTCAGTGCTAGTACCATTTTTTATTATTGATTCATTGAATGATATGTATTTTTCATCGAACGAAACAGAACACGAACTGATTCGAAAATTAGCCGATATGCTATTGTTTGACTATAAAAATATGTCCGGTTTTTCGCGATTAAAAGAACATCAAGAATTAATTCATTCCTATTTCTTGAAATTGAAAATCAAATATGTTCATATATTAGAAAAATGGTTCATTGAAAAGATACACAGCGAAGAAAGCATTTCCGCATGCGCCAACATTATTTATCAGCTCAAATGGTATAATTCAACATTTCATGAAATATTTTTAAAAAACTTGCATAATGATACTGATATTTGGAATTGGTCAATCGATTCAATTTTAAGATTTTATTCAAATGAAATTAAAAATCAAGTAGTTTCGGCGCAATTGAAATTTAAAGATACGTTAAAGCAAAATCCAGAAATTATCAAACATATCATTGGGACTACTGATTGGTTATGCGTAATTACAGCTCTTTATGGAGGATATAAAAATGATAATAGTCCATCAGCTATTTCAGAATATCATGAGCTCGCTCAATTTCTCGATTTATCTGACAAAGAGAGAGCACCATTTATACTTTACTATCAAAATGTATGGGATAGAGATGATCCAGCATATGATATGGCCGTACGTGCCGATAAATTATATAATGAAAAACATTGGGATGACAAGCCAATATTTGACACGAATGAAATCTATAAAGAATCATTTTTGACAAGCAAAATCATTGAATTTCTCCTTGAAGAAAAGTCTACTAGAGAATTAACCGAAGAATTGCGAAAGCAAATGCAAAGTCAAATATTGAACAATAGTGAAAAAACCGACGCATTAATTGCTTTAGTCGCTCTCGGGGAATTAGATTTTGTAAATAGTTTTATTAACGAAGGTGAAGAATTAATTATTAGAAGCTTCAGGAACAGAATACAACAATTAATTTATACTTTAAAAGATCCAATTGCTAGATGCTCATCACATATTGCGAAATATTTACTAGCAAAGCGTTCATTGAAGCATAATCTCAATTTTTCTGATTATTGCAAAATATATTTATCTTTAATAGCCAACAGCGGAGGATTACCAGTTGATACAATAGCTTTAGCCGAAGCTGTGGATAATGTGGAAAACAAATACGATCTCTATGCAGAATATTTTGCCTATCAATTCGCTGGTGCTACCCGTGATAAACGATATTCAATTGCAGTGCTTTCAGATGTATTTAAAGTGTCCGGTAAAACTGATCAAATTGTAAAACCATTTTTAAAAATTAATGGCGCAGTTCAGATGCATAGGCCGATTCGAGCATACCCATGGGCTACCGATATATTTGTTTTTAAATCAAATGATGATGATAGTGATATTCCAATAGCATTTTTCAATTGCTTAGAAAACATCAATACAAATATCGTATTTGTAATAGAGGTCATTAGTCACATCTTCTTCAAAGAAGGATATTTCAAACGAAACCCTGAATTAGTTCCATTAGCTATATTATTAGAATTTGGAATAATGTCTAAAGACTTAGATAGGTCTAAGACTTACAAGAATTTACTACCGGAATTTATTGATGTACCAAATATTAAAGAATTTTTATTGGAAAAAATTCAATCAATGTGCAATCCTTACTATAAATCTAGAGCATTATATCAATTAGCTGAATTTTATGATGAAAGAAGTTATGGCTTATTAAATGAATCTTTTGCATTGACAAAAAATATTTCCGAGGCAATTTTAAAATTTCAAGTTTTGGAAAAGATTTTTAGCATTGCTCACTATAAGGAACCAGAGCACAAATCATTCATTGAACAAGTAACCGATGAATTAGTCATAACATTTAGTCATATCGAAAGTTTCTATAACCGAATTATCGCATCAGTAAGATTATCATTTTATGGATCAGGAGAATTTCGAAAAAAGTACTTGACGATTGCTATAGAAACACTGATTCAAATGGATGAAGATGATGAGAAAATCAAATTGATTATTAACTTAAAACCATTGTTTAGTATTTATGATGACCTTCAAAGCAAACTGAATGGAATTATAGGAGCTCTTAGAAATAAAACGCACAATTATTTTATCAATTCTTACTATGGACGAGTATTATTTAACGAAAAACTGTATGCTGATACTACGAAAGTAAGTTTAGATACAAATAAAAATTCTAATGACGAAATCGTCGATACTCAAACATCTACTGAACTGGAAGGTTTATTTTTACTGTTTGCACAATTGAATGACACAAAATTATTAATTCATAAAACCGAGAATATAGACCAATTGTGGATCGATCTTTTGAAAGACGGTGATAATCAATCTAATATTGAAAAGATCTTAGAGATTGGTTTGCACAATGAAATATTTTTGACAGCACAAGTCGCAATTATTATCGATGAGTTAATACGAAAAGAAAAGGCAGATACTATTTCAATTCTTTTTCCATATATTATAAAACCATCCAACGAAGTATTACCCATTGTTCAGAGATGGTTTACTGATTATGAAAACAACCAAATCAAACAGCTGGCAGCTCTTTTATTGGCAGAAGCAAAACACATTTTTGAAACAGCCATTGATACAATTGTTGAGCTATTAAAAGGTGATAATGATCAAATGAGATATAGAGCTCAGCGAATCATTCAACATCCAGAACGAGACGTTGAAGTGCCCAGTAAGAGAATATCTATAATAGGAGAAAAAACCTTAATGAAAATTCTCGAAAAAGCATCATCAAAAGAGCAAGTTCTACAAGTTCGAACTTATTTTGGTAGCTTCTTCTACGACTTGCTATGGGATGATCCTTTAGTTTTTCGGAATTTATTGGAAAAAGTAAATCAATGGAACATGGGAAACTATAACAGAGAAAGAAGAATCCGGCTTCTCTGTAGAATTCACTTTATAAATCATCATACTTGGAATATAGTAATGAGAACATTAGAATCATCAATGGATGCATCGCATATAGAAGACCTACTTTGTTCAACAATGTTTTTAACACAATATGATACATTTACACCAGAAAATTGGATAGAATTTGCAAGAATATTATCCGTAACAGATACAAGTCAATTTAGGGATCAATTATTATTCGTACACACAGATCTAGACAGAATTGAGTTTATAATCGATAATATTTGTGCATTAACAAATACTTACGATGAAACATATATTGAAATTCTTGAGTCAAAATTAATTAGCGAAATATCTCTCAAAATGGAAAATCTCCCACAAAGTAGTTATAATCAAATAAAACATATAGGCACTTGTAACTATTATGTCTCACGTGATCTGAATGAAAGAGTATTAAATGTATTAGGTACTGTTTCAATAAGCATTGTCCTAATGGAAAATTTAATTAAATGGTTAATACAAAAAATGACCAGTTTTAAAATTTTTGATAATAATAGAATAGAATCGGTTTTGTGTGAAAGTTTATTATCGTTGGTTGCTGCCTGTGTTCAAAAGGACGATTATTTATATCGAAAAGTAACAAATTCTAGAAATTTTAACAAAGTTCGAATGATTCAACTGTTGGAAAAAATGCTTAATCATCATCCATGTTTTCCGGCTAGAGGTAGCGCTTTTATATTACTTTCAGCGATGAATCAATCTGATCACAAAGTAATCCTAAATGCCATGAACACATTACTTGACGAAAATCTTGTGAAAGGATATTCTATCAAAGGAATCCCTCTAGTACAATCGTCACCCAATAAATTTGTTGATGATCTATTGGAATATTTAAACAATGAAAGTGCCATAAAAACTTATGAAGTATTAAAAATATTGACAGAATTTGGTTTAAATGAAAAAATGGATACACATGGAAAATCAAAAATCATAAATTGTTTAGCGAATGAAATTTCACAAATAAAATCAAAGAAACCTGTTAATTATTTCTATACAGATATAAAAATTCCTTTTACAACAACACTAGAAAATGAATTATATAAAGCTTGGATTAAAATACAAGGACTTTCTGGCAAAACTCAATATTCTATTAAACTTGAAGAATCATAATATTCAATTTGAAATGATGATCTACTTGTAATATCGGTTAATCATGGAAATTATATTACACGTTAACATTTACCTGTTATGTTCTCATTCTAATAACCTCTTATATTTCTATTAACAGAGAGTCTCATTTAAATATTTAGAAACTGTTCAAATTGAAACTATTTTTTGTTTTGTTTTTACATAAGCACAGTTAACAGTCATCGATTAGTTTTTAGAAAAAGACGGGTGTGGGCGAAAAGAACCATTACATCGAAACCCACATCCCACATCCTAGCAGAGTGGATGGTGTGTGGTGTGTGGGTGGTTGTCAGAGTGTGCCCATAGCTGTGGGTGTGGGTGGCTGTGTGAGTGTGCGCGTGGCCTCCAGCGTTAGCTTCAGTATCAGTGCGGAAAATGCTGCCTCAACATCGTCGTCCATATAGCACCCTCGTAGATTTCACTGCAGGTTCACATCTAACCATATCGGCCTGCGTAACTATGTGACGATGCAGATTCAATTTACAGAATAGGTTATTGGCAATACTGCACACTCAACGGAGACATTAACCATCAAACCATTATAGTAGCTTAAAGAAACACATCCAATCCCGTCCGACTTGATCTCAACCATATCACGATACTCATGTGAAGGTTCTTTCTCTCCTTCCGCTGTATGTATATTGAAATAAGTAAACCTAAAAGTGTGTCCCTACTACATAACTAACTAGCTATATATAGCTTCATAGAGAACACAGAGAGAAAGAAGATAGATCACGAATAAAGATAGTACAAATCAAATAACAAAGGGAGAGAAGATAGACCATGAACATAAAGATAGTACAAACACCTGGATATCTCTCGAACAGGGAAGAGAGAGAGAGAGAAAGAGAGAAGATAGATCATAAACATAAACATAAAGATAGTACAAAACACCTGGATATCTCTCGAACAGAAGAGAGAGAGAGAGAAAGAGAAAGAAAGATATATCATGAACATTAAGAGAGTACGAATCAAACAGCAGGTGAGATGTAGGAAGAATAATAAGAGATACTATAGATGGTGGGGGGGGGGGGGGCGAAGCCCCCCCCCCCCCCCCCCCCCCCCCCCCCCCCCCCCCCCCCCCCCCCCCCCCCCCCCCCCCCCCCCCCCCCCCGGCCCCCCCGACGACCTAACCGGAGAGCAGGTCGTAACAACTTATTCCAACCCATCTTGACACCGATCCCGCGAATTCCGTAGCAGAATTGCATTCGAGACTGGACGGTAGCTGATGTGGATTATCCATTGTTCACTCACTTCCGGAAGCACACCGAATTACGGGAATTCCTAGGAATCGGTAGGCCGTGGTTCCATTAATTCCAGAATCGTGTCGAAATGGATAAACGGAATTGGAGGAATTGGTTGGAATGGGATGCAATTGACTGGCAGTGATTCCGCGATTCCGGAATTGGTTGTTGGTGATTCCGGCAGTTCCGGAATTGTGTTTGAAGTGATTCCGGCAGTTCCGGAATTGTGTTTGAAGTGATTCCGGCAGTTCCGGAATTGTGTTTGAAGTGATTAACGGAATCGGAGGAATTAGAAGGAACTGGTTCCGGAATGTTCAACAGTGTGGAATAGGACGTATTCTCATAATGGATTCTATCCTTGTTGAAATGAATAGGGGTATTGTAGTTCAGTTTTAGTTCCGATCAAAAGAACTATTCGCATAGATCTCATAAGAGACGCCTATGTCGACATCGACACCATCCCAGTGTAGATCCTAACAGTTCTTAGATATGAGAACTGTTATACCCCTAGAATTGAACGATCGTTTTTCAAAAAGCAATATGAAAATTCTTTGTGATATCTCATCTCTATCACCCGATAGCTGAATATTTTTAGAGGCGGAAGAATTAAAAGATATATTTATTATGTTACAATGTGATATTGTATCATTGTCTAATGAAATTCAAGTATTAAAGCCTATGCACAAGCAATCAAAGTCAAAAGATATAGTTGATTTATGTTGTGAAGTTTTACTATTAAAACAACCATACACCACGATTATATATCCTGCTATCAGAGCTTTGACTATTCCTGTGTGTTCAACCACAACAGAACGAAAATTCAGTAAATGAAATTAGTCAAAACTATTGCACGTACTAGTATGTCGGACGATACACTAAGTGATTTGTCTTTATTAGCTATTGAAAGATATTTTGTTGTTGATGATGAAAAAATAATTGATGCTTTTACCATCAAGCACAAAAACAGTCGAATATTGTTGAAATAATTGTTATTTATTCATGTATCTATTTGTCATCTCTTCTCTTTATTGTTCGCATAAATTCATTTAATATAACAGTATAGATACATTGAGTTATCCTTTTTTGAGAAAGTAGAAATTCAGAATCTGTTTTTGGTCGCCGAAAAAATCTAAGCTTTAGTGGTGGATGGAATCTTTAAAAGTCGTAGGGCGCCGCCCTACCACCAGAGAATTCCTGGTTATGCTATTTTGATGGGACTCGGTAACCTGGCCGCTAAAACCGCCGATTTTCATGCGGTTTTTATTACATGGGTTCAAAAAAATTCTGTTCTTTTTGCGCATGATCATCAGTTGCCTTCTCCCGTGAATTGTCTTTCAATCGCCATGACAATCTTTATGTCATCGATATGAATAGACATTATTTTAAATGGTTTTCTATCCACTAAAATAGCGTTGCGATAAAAGACTATCTTTGTTTCATATGAACTCGATTTTTGCATGCGCGAGAGTGATCAGTGTGTGACGGTGTTATGGTATGACAAGTCACTGCAATACTATTCGCATATCATCATTACTGATATTAATTATCAAGTGGCAAGTATCTGTATAAATGGTTCTAAAAATTAGAAACGTTTTTCAACCAAATATAAAATTCGATGAGAAATTCTACTCACAAGCAGACAATCGAAACAAATTCCTATACATATGGCAAGTTGACAGTGGATGTCGATAGGTAGCAATATCATAAAAAATGTAAAGCTTGATATGAACTTGAGTGTGAACATGACTTCTTCAACCAAAATACACTAATATAACGGGTGCGGCAGGATAAATGGCGGTCTCAGTATTTCGCCGATATCTCCCTTAATCTTAGCCCGAGTTGGCTCCCGTTTTTTTCAAAAGAATCGTCTTTCAAAGTTCTACAAAACAATACTATTTTTATTAACGCAAATAACTTCCATCATTTTGGTAAAGACGATACAATCGATTGGTCCAACACGCACAACTTTCAAAAACAACAGATTCAGAAATTTTTTTAACCGACAATTTTAATTCCATAATGAGTGTTGTTTTTGAGTAGACTTTGTTCCAATTGATGTTGTTGACCAGCTGATCCCATATTGAGTAGTCCAGTGGGTTTAAATCTGGACTATTTGGTGGCCATCTGTCTTTCTCAATAAATGTTGGAAAATTGTCTCGACACCATTTTTGTGATAAATGATGCGAGTGAGGCTTGGCGCCATCTTGTTGAAAGACCCAGTCGCTGCCGAAAAATTGATTCCCATATTTTAAAGCAACAGGAAGCACTTTTTCGATATAAACAGTGTGATCGACTGTTTCTTCATCCAAGATTACCAAGGGTGTGAGACCCTTGGAACAGGCACCGAGCCAAACCATTACTTTTTGTGGGAATTTTCGTTTCTGCTGAGTGCCACCATTTTTATCGGCATCAGCACGATCTACTGCCCACACTCGATCATTTTGGGTATTATAAACACGGTCAATGTCGAACATCTTTTCATCCGAAAAGAGGATTTTCAAAGTGTCTTCTTTTCGGAAATTTGTTCGAACCCAATTTGCAAATTGTTTCCGTTTGAGCTTTTGATCATCGGAAAGCAATGGTTCGATTACTTTTTTTTAGGGATATAACCCTAAATCGTTTTTCATTATTCGCCGAACACTTCTTTCGGACATGTCAAGCTCCATTGATATTTTTCGAGCTGACACCTTTTTCTTTCGGCGTAACCGGTTCTTTACCTTTTGAATGTTCTCCCTTGTTCGAACCAAACGAGGGCCACCTGGTGGTTTTGATAATGTGATAGTTCCCGACCTCCGGATCATTTGACACCACCTTTCGATTGTTCTTAAACCGAGTCCACCGTTTAAATCATGATAAATTTGTTTCGGAGTATCACCTTTTTGGTACTTTGAAAGTACCACCTTTTGAAGGTCTTTACTTTTCATCTTCGGAAAACCTGTATTTACTTTGGATATTTAAATGAAATATGGGGATTTGTAGAGCGATAGACGGCGCACATTTCAACAAAAAAAGGGACGAATTGGATGGAAAATAAGGAAGATGTCGCGAAAACACTAGACCGCCATTTATCCTGCCGCACCCGTTACATTGTAATACGCTCATGTTCAAAACCATATGCACATGCACTCACACCACACAATTTATCCACACCTGACATTTATAGCACATATACAATTCAGTTTCCATAAGTTCTTATCTTTTACTGAAAGACATTATCTGTATAATGTTATTTCATTTTTGACAGGATAGGTTATCTTTATCTTGTAATTTCAAGTGGTTAAAAAAAGTAACTTGAATTAAGATTCATTATTGCAATGCTTTTCTCAGAAATATTCTGTATAAGGAAAAAGCCAACATAAATTTCATGAAGATCAAGATAAGAATGAGCATATGCTTATATGTAAGGTGACATTGTCTTGTAAAAGGACAGAGTAACGTAGAGAAAATATTATTCTCACAATGATTGCTACTATACTCATCGCATTTTGTTTGGTTGCTGTATCAGCCACCGAAGAAGGTTTGTTGATTAAACATGAAATTCAACAAGCAATTAAGTTTCAATAATTGCAATTCTTATTCATCCCGATTTTAGTAATTAACAGACCACAAGGCGTGTGCCTGATCTTCGGCGACCCACATCTTCGTACATTTCCTCCACGACCTCTAGGCTATAGACCACAACTTTGGTGCAAAGAGGCTGGCAACTATGTCATCATTGAAAATCAATATGTTAAAGGCGTCATTACAGTAACAGACGCGCCATGGATAACTGAACGGGTAATATTTTTTGTAGATAGTGTATTAATATATGCGCAACTGTTTTCAAACTTTTTCAGTTTCAATTTACTTTTTTCAATGGCAGCAAACTTCTATGTACTATCAATGATAATAATAAGCAGTGTCCTGGCCAAAATGGTATAAAATACTTAATTTTCAAATGGTGTCTGAATAACGCTTACTGTTTATTTAGACGTCGAAGTGAGTGGAAATCCCAGATACATCATTATTATGCACAAAGATCTCGGTTTCAGGATTGAGATAAATCAGATTGGCGACGTATACCTCTTTTGCGATCTTTTCATGAAATTTAGTTTATCACCTTGTTTTGTGTTTCAGACTCAATACGAGAATATCAACATTCACATGGATTTTGACTTGATCGGTGTATCACACGGTCTTTGCATAAGTGCCCCTCGCGGTTGTGTTTACGAGGCTGGAAGACGTCATCATGAACTGGCCATTGTGAATCCTAGTCTTAGGCAAAGATTGACAAGTGAACTTGCTGTACCGATTTGTGAAGAATATCTCGAAAGATCTATCCAAACAGCGTCCATGCTCCAACTGCCAGCCAGTCCGGATATGGTTGAAAACATGCGTATAGCATGCGAAAATGATGTTCAAACAACTGGTGATCCAAAGGTAACACATCTTCAGTAGAAATTTATGGCCATGAAGTTGAAGAACTATTTCAATTATTTTTAAGGCAGGTGCAGGCATCATAGGAGTACTTGTATCGGAGGGTATGAGCGGTTTAGTAGTAACAAATGCTCAATTTCTTAACATGTCGATGCACAATGCCATTATTGTCGAGGAAGCATTGAATAATGCAACTGTACATATCGATGCCATTATTGCTCAGGCCATCACAGCTCAACCATCTATACAAGAGAGTACTGCATACGAACTATTTCCAGGAGCATCCACTTCTATTTCTACTAATCCAATATCTACATCAACTCTAAGTAGTGCAGATTCACCATGGAAAATGTTTTAAATCATTCTATTTCTTTCATCTTTTCAGTTGCAACACCTGACGTGAAAAGTTTACAACTATGTCATGTGTGGGGTGATCCGCATATTCTTCAATTTTCTCAAAGGCCAACAACAACACGCTATCAATATTGGTGCAAGGATGTTGGCAAACAACAATTACTGAAAAATAAATATGTTAGTGCTACAATAACAGTTCATACGCAAAACTGGATTATTGATGAGGTAAATAACGATCGAGAGAGATTTCTTACTGATCAAACTTTTCAAAATAAATTCAGTTTAAGTTCACATTTTTTGATGACGATGGAACCATTCTTTGCTCCATGGATAATAGCCAACAAAGTTGCAATAGTTCGAGTAAGTCTATATAGTGTGGATATGTGATATATCTGCATCTTTCCGATTAATTCGCGACTACTTCCTTCTGTCAACATACGTTTTTCGATGATGTTATGATTTGCAATGAAGAATGAAAATATGCAGATTTCCAAAAATTCCACATAAAAATTGAAAACTTCTATTACAACTTTCGAAATAACTAGCTTAGCCTCATAATTTCTTCTCTACAACCACATTCAATAACGAATCATAGTAACATTACAGTATTTCAGCCTAAATAACTCAGAGGAATTCACCAAGTAACTCGAGATCTGATGAACTGATTATAGTGATCAGCTTCTTGAATATGCAGAACATCGCATTTGTCTAATCAACATTTTTTAGAATTCCATAGGCACACTGTATAAAAATACCATATCAAGTCATAGTTCTCAAAAAGTAAACGGCTCGATGCGAAATAACACTTCGTCAAGCTTGCGCTGAGATATTTTTGTTTCTATTTATTAAGTTGTTTGAATAGATCGAGCCCACTCTAGAATAGGTCATACTGGACCAACTTCCAAAGATCAAAATGCTTAGAAAACCTTCATGTACAACTGAAGTAGTTCTATCAGATTTCACATTTCAATACTATAAAAATCTCGTAAAATAGATTTATCGACCTATTCATATTTTGACATTTTACGGTTTGAAGCAGGCGACATCGGCCACATTTTAAGATTATCGTTATTGAAAACATGATGATAATTCAATTTCATCATTCTTTCCAATCACTTGAAATTGTGATGGGCTGTTACGTTTCCCAGATCTTGAGTGTGTGGGTGTGGATGACTGTGGATGCAACTCATATTTTATCTCACACCCGACACCCTCAAATTCACACCCATATCCGAGTCTCTTCGAGTCCTGACTAAGGCCTAAAAACGATCCAATAGGTAATTCACAGCAGGAGCTATTTCTTTGTTTACGAAAATATTCAACAACTTATAATAATTCTTTTACAACAAAAGGAATCGGTATTACACGACCAACACTGGAACAAATGGACATTATCTATTATACAACAGGCATTCGAATATCTGTCCATCAGCTTTATCTGGTAAATGTAATATTATTCTTAAGCATTATCTTTACCTAATTTTATGTTGAAGGCTCCTTGGTATGACATCAGTATTTGGATGCCAGCCGAATTCACAGCACAGTCGTACGGACTATGCATATCTCCCTCACCAACTTGTGAATGGGAAGCGGGGATTGAACAATTGCAGCGACGTTCGCTGCCCAGAATACCGACAAGCAATCGATCCAAGATTGTACAGAAACTGGCCGATAAATTGTGTGAAGAATACATGATGGCTGGCAAGAGCACTATTATTCAACTAGGCCTAACCCCTAATAGTGTTATTGAAAATGCTGCAAAACTTGCATGTATCGACGATTTAAAATCATCCGGGATAGAAACTGTAAGACAAATAGGAGACTCAATACCATATTTTGAATCTTTTCATTGCTAATAGTGGTGTACTTAGATGTTAGTATTTAGGTATCCCTAATTATTTCACGTTTGTTTTTAAATGTATATTCGGTCCACCAAACACTTGAAAAAATTAAGTGTACGTAACTTCATTTTCTGGTCATAGAGAAGATACTGCAACTAATCAAAGAAAGAGTGTTTATATATAGTTTGGGGTTCCACCAGGGAGTTGCTGATTGCAGAATTAAGTAATTTCGAGATGTATGACTAGTTTTCCAACGAGCATACTAGATTCTGTTACTGTGACCTAACAATTTTTTCTGCGCTCACAAAGCTATCCCTTTAGTAATGAAGATTAATGATTCAATTATAATTCTCGACATAGGCCACATTCCAAAAACAAGAAAGATTTAGATCATAATAATTACGAACTTCCTTTTGGAAAATTGATCTTTTTCATCTTAATAAGCTCTGAAGTCTAGCACAATCAGTGCTTCTTTATGTGAGCATTATGGACAGTAAGGCTCCTAAAAATTGTTCCTCAAGGTGTTATTTAATGTTGTTAGCACAGGATCATATGTATTTTTTACAGAAGGAACTACCGAATAACAAATTAGAGAACTGAGTAGTAGTTTTATCGAGTTACTTCTGGATGTGACTCCATGTTAGGGTCTGACATCTTTATCTATATGTTGGAGGTCAACATTCTCTTGTTTGTTTGTTTTCTCTCGTTCTTCTCCCTTTTTGTTTATTGTTATGAAACAGTTATGTCTTATACGTAATAAAGAAAGCCCTGTGAACTCAGGACATAACACTCCAGCTTGTAGTTTTATCTTCACTTTAGTTTGGTTCTGGTATCATGCATCTTATGATGTCAGAAGCGATCAGTGGAGCACGTCCTGACACATATGCTCAGCTGGACGTTTTAATAACAAATGGAGCAACAGCGTTATCTCCGACAATAGCAAATGTTTCACAGCAAATTGACAATTTGATTACTGAAACGCTGGATACGACTGCCCAACCATCTACCACTATTAACATAGTGACAGAAGATTCCAATCCAACCACGCCTCCGTTTTCGAGTGCAAGTGGCGATTTTCTGCATATTGGATATTTCTATTTATTTTTGATCATTCATTTGCTCAATATTTTCTAACTGTTTCTTAACTGATTGCGTTCATGGGCAGTCATTTTAATGAGAATAAACCAGAAAAATTGCTTCAATCGCCACATTTTGAAAAAGTTACAAAGCTATAGTAGGATCATTTCTTTTCAGTGAAAATTAAAAAAGGAATATCTTATATCAGAAGTTGCAGAATGTCTACTCAGGAGAATTCAGAATTCTGTGGACTTATCGATTTAAAGAAAAAACGATGCTTATAGAATAGAATTCTATATTATTATGATTAAAGTATTTAAATGTGGGTGTTCATGTGATATTAAAATTCTACTCAGGGTGGTTTAAATTCGGTTTAGAATACGTAGAGTTCTAGTTTTTTGCCGGATCTTCTTCAAGCGAAACAGTAGTCAGTCATATAATGTCCTTATATTAATTTCAATGTTGATTGAATGTAGGCATGCATCGAATCCGGGTAGTACCGAGATCCAGGTAGTTCGGGTTCGGTGAATGCCTACTCACAACCGCATCCAATGTTATACTGTTATTAAACGTAGGGAAATTAAACAATACATTCGTGGAAATTAGCAAGCACAAACTTGCAAAATTCGATTGCTAAAAAGTATGAGCTGAGATCAGTAGATTGAACTTGTTTTTTCTTCAAGAGATCAATCAGTTTGCTTGTGATTGATTCGTGTATGATTATCCTTCACTATGAATAGCAGAGATCAAACGATGATAGCTATTATTCGGTTTTTCGCCAATATGAGTCCTTTTACTGACGGGCGTCACAAGAAGATCAGCTTACCGAAAACTTTTGAAGCAATTATTAGTTCCATTGCGTTGCCATTGTGTGCACTATAATGGCAATGGGGTATTGGTATGGATGTACTGATTTCCATTTACTTCATCTCTTTAGTGGCACCCCTCCCTCATTAGCGGGCATAATTCAGGATTATGTTATTTATAAAATGATGATTTATTACTTTTTATTACATGTAAACGATATAATTGGCGATAAAAAAACATAACAAGTTTCAATTCAGTCAACAGAATTGACACTTGATGAATGTAGATTGAGTAAAGATAATTCATAGGTGAAATTGTTTTGGGTACCAGTGTGGGCGAATGTATGCCTGAACGCCTAGATGTTCTGGGTATAGAATTTAAACTCACACCACATTCTGTAACTAACTATCTGGTAGCTGCAACTTTCCTTCCCTAACTTCTTTGTGTACTCACGGATGCTTCCAATTATCCATCAAAAAAAACAATGGTGTTTTTCTCTTGAATATATTTATTTCTATGAACAACAAAAAAATCAATTACAATTTCTTTTTTACATTTTTGATATTCCTCTGCATTGCTAGAAGGTTAGGATGCTTTTCGTATCCTAAATTTAGTAAAATAGCTTCTGCACATTCATAAAATGATAATGCATTCATATTAGTCACCTATATTCGAATGCATCACACCTATGTTGTTGTAGGAAGTGGCTAAAGTTGGATGATTTAAAGGAAGAGCTTTTTCTTCGATTTCCAGTGCTTTTTGATGAAAAAAACGTGCATTTGAATAATCACACATGTTGGAATGCGCCAAGCCGATGTTGTTGTAGGAAGTAGCCAAATTTGGATGATTTTCAGGAAGACCCTCTTGGCGAATTTCTAATGCTTTTCGATAATACGAAATTGCATTATAATAGTGTGCCAAGAAGTACGCCCCTCATAAAGGACGAGATTAGATAGGGGTTATATGAACCACTGGACGTCCGCTCATAAGTCATAGAACTAATGAACATATAGTCGTGACGTAATTGGACTTATAGTGCTAATGGACATCCTTGTATATGACGACACATAATCACCCACTGAACAATACGTAATCGTTCCCTGTATTTTTTTCTTTCTCTATATCATTTTCTCCCTATATATCTTTTCGTCTCTATGCATTTTCTCTCTTTGTTTCTCTCTCTCTCCTATTTATATTTCTCCTTATTCTCTCTCTAGTATAAAAACTCGCGTTCCATAAGCAGTACGAGAGTAGTATAAGACGAGTAATATTAGCGTAGTGTGTTGGGCAATTGAGTCGAGTTCACTTCTAAACAAGTCAAGTTAGAATTTAGTTGTACTTTGTAATACGTACGATTGTATTTGGTTGTATTGAAAGACAACACACAGAACTCATTTTGGACAAGAATAAACTCATCGTGTGGAATTGTTTGTTAATATTATACACACAGTGGCTAAAATATATATATAGCTGATACTGATCTACACTTTGTTGTCCATCATCCTATCAGGATATATACGCAATTCTATATATCCCGATAGTTATTTGAAGAATATTTACGCGACCTAAATATTTTTCCGTTACAGGTATTAGCACAATTGTTGATTTTAATCTCATCAATGTTGCCATTTAGCCACACTAGTTGAAATTTTTGAATAAAATGAGTACACGCTGGATGTTGGTGTCTGATACTTCTTTGTTCAGATGCTCTAACAACAGCATCGGTACTTTCTGTCAATGCTTTTTTAATATCCATACTATGTGTTGTTTTATCAATGAAAAATCTTTTGAAGATACCTTTAATTAATATACAGATGTTTGCAAAAACAACTTGAAAAACATTTATTTAAAAAAAATGATTTCTCTACTATTACAAGTAACTACAAAATCCATTTTTGAGGGCTCAACCCTCGACAGATATACGACACGCTGCATATACAGCAGCGTAATATCTCTCCCTTTCAATACATATTTATTCAATTGTATGATCGACCAATAATTCGAAAAATCACAAAATTTCAATATTACATATGTGGAACAATAGCATACGATCTGTTTCTCGTATTTATCGTGAAATAAAAATCTAGTGAGGCCTATCTATTACAATATTGACAAATTAGAAGAAGCAGGTTCTCTTAAACATCGAAGTGAAAATGGTCGAGAACGCGCCCTTGGTGAAACAGAAAAGAAACCTATCGCTCAATACATTCGATGTGACAATGAAATAACCCTTAGCTAATTAAAAGAAAATTTATCCAACCTGTACCACACATCAGTGTCGACATCAATGGTTAGCCGTCAACGTCATGAATTTAGTTATAAATATGTTTTACCACAATCTACTCATATGTTAACACCGGATGAAAAAGAGCGCCCTATACAATGGGCTAAGAAACATAAAAATGATGATTTTACTGATAACGAAACTGCTATACGAAACGTTTGAAGAGGGCTCCTATTTAATCAACATTTTTCACGTGGAGAAGTCAAAAATGTTGAAATTTCGATTATAGATATTTTTGTTGGATACAAGAAAAAGAGATGTTTGTCTCATTTTTCTTCTAAAAGTGATAAGTTGGCATATCAAATTATGGTGTCGTGTAGTACTCATCCGATGCTATCCACCAAAGTATAAAACAATTCGAAAAACAATTTTCTAGATGATGATATCTGTAAAAGAAGTTATGCAGATTGTTTTGCAAACACCTGTAGCATACTAATTTTTTTCTGTGGCTTGTTGCTCTCGCTTAAGCCATGTTTTTATTTGTTTTCGGCGAGTTTCTCCTTTTGTATAATGTTATTATCAGTAAGTGTATGGGTATGGGTGTGGGTGTAAGAGGAGAGGTGAGGGTGGTTTGTCAGGAAAGAGATGAAGGTGGAGTGATTTCTCTTCTACTGATCATTCAGATCCCGAATTATATCCTCACACCCTATAGTGTCTGGCCACCAGATTGATAATTAACTCGATGTAATCAAGGTATCTTTGAAAAGTATTCTTTATATTGAGGTTTAGCCTTTGGGGTGTAGATATGTGTGTAGGTCTCTGGGTATGAATGAATAAACGAAAAACACCCACACTCACCCACCCTCAAGATTTGTCTGTAGTTCGTGCTTTTCACAATCATTTTTGAAAAAATCTCTACCTGAAATAAAGATGAAAATTTGCGACGTAGAAATTTTATTACACAAGAAACAAGTCAACGATGCGTTAGAAGTATGTACATTTGGATGCTTTGTCTGAACTCAATGTTTAAGTAATATATTTTGCTAGATATTGCTTGAAATTATTGATGAGGGTGCGTGTGGGTGTGGGTGTGAATTCCACATCCACACCTAAAAAATCCGAAGAAATTAATAAACAAATAGTTTTTGACAATGATCTCAGTCTTATATAGAAAAGCATGTTCAATCAACTCTATATGTGGTTTAATTATTTGACCAAGTGATAACGCCAAAAATCATTTTTAGATTGATAACCTCGATTTTGAACAAAGCGCTTAATACAATAAAACCTGATAAGTTCAGAGGAAACGTTTTTTTTTCCCGAGAAATTGGATACGCAATTGAAAGGGATGCGTATTAATAAGTGAATACTTTTTTAAATTAAGTATTGTGATATTATTTTACCAATTTTAAACTTAAAATTTAGAAAGAAATCGACACTATGTTCCTTAATCATGGCATTGAATGATTTGACTTTTTTCGTTTCCTTAAATACTGTAATTTTCTTTTTCCTTCGTTCTATTATGGGGATTTACCGGTGTTAAAGCCTGATCATTTTTCTTGATAACGTTCGTAATTGCTGTTCAAACTATGCTGATAAATGTCATTCCAAGCTACCCAAGTCAAAGAAGTATGGTAGTCTCTGTTAAATTAGACTCGAGTAGTGCCTCACGCCTCATATTAGAGGGTGGGCTGTGAATTTGGGGTGAAATTATGTATATTCATTTTATCGGTACCCACAACCACAAAATGTTTCATCAATGAATCAATAACACAATTAATAAGATTAGAAGACAGAATAAGGTATTTGAATTTTTACTCTTAGTTTGATAATAAACGAATATGATTTAATTATATTTAGATTGAAAATTGAAAATGAACAAAACATTGTGATTGATTTTTGGAAAAACAAACTCTCTGGTCTAATCGTCATTGTAGCTCGTACATGACTCCATCGATATGGACATAAATACAAACAGAATTATTTAAAAAATATTATCAATTAGTTTATTCGATGATAATTCAATTGAAAATATAATAAAATATATCGTTTTGTCGAAATCAAAAAAGTCCTTTACTGAAAGCATATTTCGATGGAACAAATTTTCTTGGTGATACATTCGTTTAATTATTTATTTTTCGATTAGACTCATCTCGCATAATTAGACTAGACAAGTACTGAGCAACTAAATCGATTGGTTATAATTACGAAAAAATATTTTCATATACGAAACTGAAATACATCAAAAATAATACCCGTTTCATCGTCTCGGTTGTCACTTTTTCGGGGCTGGGTGTAACCGTAGGGAAGACTACAACGCTCACATTATAATCTGCACCCCCTCACACATTCAGGTTGTGGGTATGGGTCTTGAATGTATGAAAGTCACATACAGTCACAGACCAATTCTTAAAATCTTTAATTGTTATAAATATTTATTTGATAAATTTTGACTAGTCACTTCAATTTCTATTACATATAGGCTAAAAATAGAAAAATGTCTATTTCACCATTGAAGTATATCATAATAAGTTTTTATCCATGTTAGATACCTAAATTCAGATTACGAATTGATGTTTCTTTTACGAAACTGTATTAATTGATTATAGGAAAAATAGAAAAAGAAAGAGCAATTATTAAAATGATGTTAAATATATAATAAAAATGGAAATACATATAGAAAATGCATATTTTATATTCATTGCTGTATTTGTTATTGTTTCATCTGTTTTTTTTATTCCCCAAAGATTATCAGTTCCGAAATATTGCATAGCTGCTTGTTTACTTTTTATTGTTGTACCAGAAAAATCAATTTGACTTATTTTATTTAGACATGAACGATCTGGTTCAAATTTTGGTGATATGACGAATGTTGCCGCTAAATTCCAGCCACAATTTCCTTCTTCGCCTGTCATTGGTGCTGCATCTACATTTTTTATTATTTAAATTTTTAAAAATTACGTAGAAAGAAAATTTACTTGTTGCTGTATGTCCTGTACGTGGCATTTCAATATAGGTAAAGTTTGAATTAATTAATGAATATTGTTTAGAAAAATGTCGGGCAATTGGCACTGGTAATGCTTGGTCCATATCACCTTGATTCATTCGATAGAATTCTTAAAATTTAGCTTTAAATATAATTAAAAACCTACCATGTAATAATAAAACTGGTAATTTAGTCATTTTGGTTGGATATTTTCTATAGTATTGATCAGTCGGATATCCTAATATTTGATATTGTTGAATCGGACAATAAACATCAGGCATTACATGTGTTGAAGCAAATGTATTCATTGATGCTCCTTTTAAATAATCACATGATGGATTTGTTTCTTCGGGATTGAAAGGAGACCACAATTCAGCAAAATTATTATTTAGTTCAACTAAAATTGAATATCCTACTGCTCCATCTTCATTGGGTGGTTGCGTTACATTTAAAAAATGTCCTAGAACATTTTGATCATCCAAATTACATCGATTAATTCGATAGATCAACGCTGGAAAAAGTTGCATCATATTTGGATAAAATATATACGACATCTAAAGAAATAGATTTTTCTAAACGTTTCTTTTTGCTGTTATTTTACTTTTTTTGCAATATCTTCAGTAGTTGTATGTAATAAAGAAAGACAAGATGAATTCGTTTGAAAATCTTCTTGCATTTTATAAGTATAGAGTGCGCGCATTGGATTTTTATCTTCGAAATATTGGGCACATCCTTCTTCATCTTGCGCACAACGTGTAAATAAGTCTAAAAACATGTAATTTAAATATTTATCCCCATGAACTAATCGTGTTATATCAGTGGGTAATACAGAATCAAGTATAACTCCGTCGACTTGTTCGTTATCTTGAGTCACATGAAGATATCTTTGTAGAAGATAAGTTCCTTGACTTGATCCCATTAAAATAACACGTTGATTTGAGTTTAAATTTTGACGATTACTACCCATAATTACTTTTAAAATATATTCTAAATCACGTGCTGTATTTGTGTATGTATTTTGTTTTAAACGATATTCATTATCTCTTATATACGGTAAACAAGCTGTGAAATTTTTAACAATCGATGTTGGACATTCGATTAAACTGCTTTGGCCAACACCACGTTTATCTGTCACATATATTGATACTGAACCATTCAATGCACTAACAACACCAACAGCTTCTAATTCTAAACTAGTCACTGGAATACCACCGCCACCTATCAAAGAAAAATTATTTATATATATATAATTTTATTTAATATACCTGGTATTCTCCATAAATGATGAGATTGATTTTGATATCCCAATAGAAAATAACGTTTAACAAATACTTGTATAGTTTGTGTACATGTCGTGAAATTCGTTGTATTCCAATTGATAGGAACATTTAAAAACATACATTGCGCATAAATATTATTTATTGTTACAGGCTAGAAAAGTATTGAAATAGTTTGCAAATATATATATATGAATATATTAAATAAAATACTCCATCTGAAAGAACAGAACAACTAGACCAATTTGCTTCAACAATCGGCCAAGAATTTAAAGGTAAACAGCTTTGGCCATTGGCAACATTTGAAAATATTTCAAGTAAAAGTATAATACTCGATAGAAACCATTTTGTAGAATACCAACGCAGCAGCATTGTCAATTGATAATTACTTGTATAATTTTCTTCTTAAATATATAACTTGTTTTTTACTAATAGATGTAAAATAATCTTTTATTTGTCAAAAATAGTTTGCGTTGCGATGAATGATTCATAAAAACAGATCCTTGTGTAAATATTATTATTGGCGCATATACTTTGATAACGTATACGTCAACATAACATATAGAGTTACCATTACTTCTTTTTTAATAGATTTTAAACGTACACCTTTATCGCTAGTCATCGAGGCATTAGTGATTAACTAGAGTACGTTTGTTTTTTTAACTCATATTTTTCTGTTCGATTCTTAAGAAACAGTTCACAACTTCATAACTATTCTGAACATTTTATGATAAAAGGTGACTAAGATTACTATAAATATAATCTAATCGCAAATTGAATATGAAAATTAAATATCAATAGTTCTTCAATAGTTCGAGCGATGGACTATCTATGTTGTATGACTTTATCTGAATAGATTGCTACTCATCCCAAGGTAACACCGGATCGCCCTATGCGATATGAATAGTAAAATCTACTGCAATAGAAATCGAGATCTTAACTAATCAAGTCTGTTTTTCACCATCATTTTAAAATATGTAACAATTGTTTTTTAGTCATGTTTATTAAAAGGAGTTCAACGTTATTTCTTACATCCTAAAAGCATAGTTGTGCTAGATCACGCGATACCGAAAATTTCTTCATGTTGTTCGATTTTCCCGATCAACTAAACCAATTAACAAAAAATTCTAGTGATGATAATACACCACGAGGAGCATTTTCAATCGAATAAACAAGTATATTGATATTAAAAATAGTGGTAGTTTAAGTTTTGGACAAACAGGAAGATATTATTATTCTAGTAAATGAACATGATTTTCTATGTCATTTCAATTATATCCCCTCGAGTTGGTGGGGAATTTGATTTTGCGGCAAAATCAAAATGCTTATACCGCAATACCGCAATACCGCAAATGTTATTGCGGTATTGCGGTATTGCGGTATAGTGGCATTGCGGTATAGCGGCAGTGCGGTATAGCAGTAGCTAGATGTTACATATCCCTTACAGAGACAAAGCGGCAAGGGGGAGAAGGTACCACCCCCGCACCCTCACTAGGTACCCCATCCCCACACCCTCACTGGGTACCCCTCCCCACACCCACAGTAGGTACCCATCCTCGCATCCACACTAGGTACCCCTCCATACACCCACACTAGGTACCCCATCGTATAGTATAGCGGTATACTAGTACAGTTTTTATTTTGTCACAAATAGAGATGATTTTAATGAAATCGATTTTGCCGCAAGTTCAAATTCCCCATCATATGATCCCCTCGTACTCCTTCTTACTTATAAAAAATTGAACTATGGAAGTAGCGCACTTTTCCTCTTGGGCAGTCGTCTATATCACAGAGAGTATTTCAAAGATGAAGAGTTATCATATTCGGTGTGGGTGTGTTCTATTGAAAACGTCAAATATACCTACACCCACCCCCTCGCACCCACACCCTCACCCCCGTCCACCCCCNCTGCATCAGCTTCTGCATTCAAAATATGACCACGACCTTCAGGCAATACAAGAACGTGAGGGTGTGGGTGTCATTCTTCTCTTTATCCACATGCTCACCCACACCCACACCCTCGCACCCACACCCACACCCACACCCTCGCACCCACACCCTCACCCACGTCCACACCCTCTCCGCATATAATGTTACATCATGCATGAAATGGACATAGGATGCATGTAGCTGGAAGAACTCATACTCACACATGCAACATCCTGTTTTCTTCGAAAAAAAAATGCAACACACGGCAAATTACTCAGACTGTGTTGCGCCGTACATTGTTTCATCAGTGATTCGCAGAAAAAGTGAACTTGAGTATTTTATGCACCTACGTTTTCTCGGAATTTTACGCTGTCAAAAGACGAAGGCATATACTTGTGTAGATGAGTGTTTACAATGTAGCCTAGACATAGTAACTATTGTGCAGCGTGGTGCTTCGATCGACAAAGCATGGAAAGTAAACACCTATATAAAGCAGTATGCATACTGTGATTTTCTTCATTGTACAGTGTTATTAATTCAAGAAAAAATTATGCGAACGATCACCCTTCTCAGTATTTTTCTCCTACTTGGCTCCACAGAAGCATATATATGCTATTGCTATTATTACTACTCTAGCATGTCCTCTAGTACTTATGCGGGCACAACAACAGGATCATCAACCTGTAGAACCGGCTCTTGCGATTACAATTGTATGTCTGCCTATTCGTCAACCTACGGTTCAAGCTACACATATTACGGGTACGTAAACTGCACTTTATGTTTTCCCTGAAGGAATTAAGATATACACTCATCATTCTCTTTTGTAGTACTTGTAGTGGCACACTGACAACACGAGCAATATCGGCTTTGGTATTGGCACTTTCTTCTATGACACTTCTCCGTCACCAACTATTCTAAAAGACCATTATGAAAAAGGCATATCATCCTGCTTTTATATTAACTATTCCATCTAGATATCTTTGCTTTTTCTATACAACTCTTATTCAAAACATTTTAAAAAAAATCGTTCATTCTCACACTATGAGAGTCATATTTGTAAGATTAAAGCGTATTTAGTGTGGTTTTAAAGAAGTTTCATATGAGCACACACATGCAGACACTTCTTTTTTGTGCTCCTTTCGAAACACTTGATGTGCATAGTAACTTTTGTTTCGTGCTCATGATTTCCGAGTTCGAAAGTAAAAACTTGTAGTGCATTCGTTTAACAGGAATTAAACCACATATTCTGTGTATGTGTGTGTGTGGGTAAGCATGTGGATAAAGAGAAGAATGACACCCACACCCTCACGTTCTTGTATTGCCTGAAGGTCGTGGTCATATTTTGAATGCAGAAGCTGATGCAGATGAGGTGTATGACAAGTATATCAAGGATGTTATCCCATTTGTCCTCAAACATGTCAGTAATAATTAGTTGAAATAAGTCAGTTTTTATTTAAAATAGTTACATCAAACTTATGCTATATTCAAAAAATTCTGATTCAATCACATTTTCTTGTCTGAGATGCATTCCCAGACTGTAAAAAAATTCACAGAATAATAAACGGAAAAAAACGTTTTTTTTATAGGGTATTTAACAAAAAAAGGGTTTATGAAAGTACAACATATCACAGAACCCTTTTTTTCCGCATATGACGAACATAATAAACGGTTTTTAGGTTGATGATTTAGAAAAAGGGTTTATCGGATTTTTCAAAAACGGAAAAAAAGCGTATGTGACACATTGCACTTTCATGAACCCTTTTTTTTACAGTGCAGGTGCTCATTCTCTTTTGAGGCAAGACTATATGCAAAATGTAGAGTGTGAGTGGGTATCTTCTAATCAATGCAGGGACGACGCGAAGTAATAAAAGTATAGGGGGGTTACTTGAAAACGGGAGGTTTTTTTTCAAAAATCGGAGGAAATCAATAAAAATCTCTTCTATTTTCTTCAAATCGGAGTAAACTTGAAACAAAAATTTCCAAAGTTGGAGGGGGGAACCCCCTCCCTCCCCCGTTCGCGCCGTCCCTGAATCAACGACATCTACACTCACACCTCGAAGATGTATACATCACAATGACAAAGTACAAAAGCAACATGTGCAAATGTGAAAGAATTGAAAAAAGACGCCACTGCGCAGATTTTTTTGTCCTTCTTTCTGTTTTATTTTGTCGACAAAACGCAAAAAAAACAGGGAATTATTTTCTTGTCTCTATATTTATTTCATGAAGAAAGGAAGTGTTGCTGTTAGTCATTTAGTGTATAAATGCATGCGACAATAAATTTCTTGTTATTTTTGAATGTATCGGCTTTTATTCATTGAAAAATAGGAATCACTTTGTAAGTGTCTGAAAATTCTATAATAGCCATTGCCTTGAATTCATTCGAAGATTCTCAGTGTGAACAATGAAAATGGCAGATGGATTAGATTAAAATCTATCGTCTACCCATGAAATGGTGTTTCATCTTCGAAATGTGAAGATGTCATTTTAGCTTTAAAATATTTCAAATAAATAATAGTATTTGCTGAAGTATTCACTGAATAACTGTTCTACTCAAGTTTATTAAATACAAATGAATAATCATTGTGTATGATAAGTTGAGAAATACATTTGAAAAACTTTCATTAATATCCACTAGTGTCTTTTTTGATATTTTTCATGCTGCTATCTTTTAAAAAATGTATTAAAATAGTTCTCGAATAAACATCGTAACACTGGCGTCATCATGAGGAAGAAAAAGGTGAAAGAGACAGAACCAAAATGTTTTCTTTGTGTTATTCTATTAGTTCTACTTTTTCCTCATACGCGCAATCATGAAATAATTCATTTTCATGTTTAAAATTCTATTTGATCATCATATTCCGTTCTCTCCACTGTGGATTTTTCCCACTAAAATACCCACTGCTGTTTTATATATAGACTCATGGTAACAGTAACATATATGATCAAATTTTCTTTGTATTTTTCTTGCAGCAACATTGTGCAACAATCTAACGTAAGAGAATTTTTATTCTTTTAAAATTTATTTCATGGTCTAGAAATTAGATCATCACATTGCTACCTATCATATTGTCAGTACATGTTATATCTATTTCAGATTGTAAATCTTTCAAATATAATTCATACTCGATATTCATCTATTTTTTCATATAAAAGTAATTAATGTTTCTCTATAATGTAAAATGTTGTTATCAAGACTCCGGTTCTTGAGAACCAATTTTCAAATTGATTGTTTTTGTCTTGTTGCTAATCTCATGTCTATACTGCACTATAAATTTGAAATCTCGAGCTTGTCAGTCTGTCGAGATATTCTCAGTAAAAGTAAAAGTAAAAGTAAAAGAACAACATTCTTCGATGATTCATTCAAAAAGAAACTGATTTTTCGAGAAAAAAAAAGAGAAAGTACATAACAAGTCTTGTAAAGTAACTTTCAGGCTATATGGATATATATAATTCATCTATTTATTTTATTTTCTCTCTCTGATCGTTTAGCAGAGGAGTAGTTTTACACAAAAATGTAGCTCCAGATGAAAACTGGTTTTCGAGCAGGATTTCGCCGAACTTAGTCTTATTATATATCATGCGACTCTTCTAAAGGCTGCTCAGAAAATGACGAGGAACGATATGTATTGCATAGTTTCTCTCTAAACTTGCTTTCATTTTTGTTTTTATGAACTGCACGATTAAATTGCAACTGATTCATAAATATGTATATCAGAATTTCGAATGAATAATCTACTTCGTCGTTTCTCTTGTTCTACAGTTTTAATTAATAGAGTTCGTTATTCTATAGGCTCTGACCCTCAACAAATAAAACATGCCACGACGTAAAAATCGAAAAAGTAAGTTCCTAGGTTTCTATTCACGTCCGTACTACTGAACGTTTATTTCTTGATAATCTTTTCGTGTAGCTCGGATTGACCCGCAACAGTCAACAGTCAACAACAACAGTGAGCTTACAGATACGACATCTAATTCTATACCCTCATCATCAACAAATGAATCTCAAGCATCCCTGCCATCGCATACGTCTGCTGCACCTAAACAATCTTGTGATCTTCAAGTACCACTTCCACCTGAAGCATTGGCTGTGCTAACTTCGGCTTCAAGTGCTCGAGTACAGCCTCCATCTGAGGCGTCTGCTGCTCCAAAGTCTGCTTGGGGTGCTCGAGTACAACCTCCATCTGAGGCATCTACTGTGCCAAGTTCGGCTTCAAATGCTCGAGTACCACCTCCACTTGGAGTATCTGCTGTGCCAAAGTCTGTTTGGGGTGATCGAGTACCACCTACATCTGAACCACCTATTGTGCCAACTTCTGCTTCTATTGCTAGTGAACCATCCCCACCTGAGGCGTCTGCTGTTCCAAAATCTGCTTGGGGTGCTCGAGTACAACCTCCATCTGAGGCATCTGCTGTGCCGAAATCAGCTTGGAGTCATTCATCTCGAAGTTTTCATCCAAAAGAACGCTCTTCTAGTGCGCTACCAACGATGAACGAGTCGATGAGAAATTTGTCTGTGAACAAAACTACTACTTTGTCGAGAGAACCTCGTTCTGAAAGTGTTCTTCCAATGAAGCGTCGTCGATTATTATGCTCTGCAGTACCCGACACAGCTGTATTATGTCCAATTCGCCGTCCCGATGATGGTGGCTCGAGTGGTACAGCAATATCGGTGTACACTAATCACTTTCGTGTTGATATTGATGATGCGACTATCAATCAGTATGATATCGACATCGTGATAGTTGATTCCAATGGTAAATCACGTCCAGCACGCAAAGATGACCGTTGGGAAACGATGCAACGTATTGCCAAAGAAAAGAAGAATTTCCCGCTTGCATGGTGAGTCTATTTCTTGTTTAAACAGGATTTCACCTATCTATATCTATATGACATTTCTTTTCTAGGTATGATGATGGAAAAACATTGTACACTCGAGCGTTGTTGCCTGATTTAACAAAACCTATTGAAATTAAGATGAAGAAAGGCGATGAAGTAAAAACATTCCAATTGAACATCAAAAATCTTGTACGACAAGACAAGATTCAAAACATCTTTGATTTTATTCAAAAGAACATCACGATTCGACCACGTGAAACAATTCGAATCATTGAGACGCTTTTCAAACAACGTGCTCGCAACGATCTTGTCTGTGTTCGAAATCAATTTTACAATAGAAATCAAATTCTTGATGATCTCCGTGAGTTTTTCTTTATTTGAAGCTTTCTGTACAGTATCTGTCGTTCCTTTTCTCATAGAGGATGGCCGTGGAATGGCAAAAGGTTTCTATCAAGCTTTATTTCTTACACGGTGTGGACCAACTCTGAATGTCAATTTAACATTCACATGCTTTTATATGCCATTGAACTTTGTTGACTTCGCTCGCAAATATCTACGAAAAGATATAACTGCGAATTTTACCGAATACGAAGCAAAAATATTCAAAAAACTTATTCGAGATCTACTCAGTATGTTGATGTAATCTTTCGGATCTTTCACACATTTAAATGTTTTGTTTTTCAAATATAGTTGAAACAGAACACACAGGTCGTACGATTCGCTATAAATTCCGTGGTTTTGGTCGTCCTGCCAATCAACTGATGTTCGCTCGTGGAAGAGTTGATGAAGAATCAGCAGATGCAGGTATCCCAGAACAGATCAGTGTAGCCGATTATTTCGAGCAACAATACAAAAGAAAACTCGTCTATCCACATTTACCTTGTATTGATGCCACAAACGGTATTAACAAGAGAGCAAACTGGCTACCAATGGAACTGGTTAAGGTTAGTTTCTTTGACAGAACATCGCATTACCTATAGGGAATCAGGCGATTTCTTTGAATTTGAGTAGAGAAACGGAAAGTGGAATGCAATATAACATTTTTGATATAATTATGTGATTTGACTTTAGTTGGTCGAATGGCAACGTTCTTTAAAACCATTAGATGCAACACAACGAGCTCGCGTTTCGAGCAAATCCATTATTAAACCATTGGAACGCTACAATCAAATTATGAATATTATGCAAGGACGTGATTTTGAAACGGATGTTCATCTAAAAGACTTAAATATTCGTGTACACAAAAACGAAATGCTCCAACTAAAAGGTATTTGCTCTGTTATTTTTTTGATCTCGTCAATTAATATTTGTCGATTTCTAAGCACGAATTATTGCACCTCCCGATATTCGATATCGTCATCGTCAAGATAAAGGAGAAGTGATTGAACATGTCGATGTTGGTAAATGGCGAATTAGCAATCGGTTTTATACAACACCCGAAATTAATAATTGCGGTATCATCTACTTTGGTCATACGCCTGATCAAGAAGTCAATGGCATTCTCAATAAATTCAGTTCTCAATTGCCAGAGGTAAAATCTATTTTCTTCCTTAAACTACAAATTTTTCATTGCGATCCTCTTAGTTACTGAAACACAAAGGAATTATAATTAGAACAAAATTAACTCCCATAATTAAAACGGCTACAAAAGAAGATATTGAAAACACTTTGACCGACGCTAGTCAAAAACATTGGCAATTAGCCATTGTTATTCTCAATTCTAATTCGGATCAAGTACATGATTATGTTAAACAATTAGGCAATCAAAAGTTAGGTTTAAGAACGCAGTGTGTCGACATGCAAGCGTTGAGGAGCAACATAAATAAACTACATATGTGTAAGTAACGACATGATCAGCATGTTATCTATTTGACATGCATTGATTGAAAACAAAACTATAATGAAAAATCGGATCTATATAATTTTAGATGTCGATAATCTTAGTCAGAAGATCAACGGAAAACTAGGTGGCATCAATAGTGTTGTCAATACTAAATTGGCTCTAAGTCATTCTTCCAGAGAAGATATTTTCATGTTCTTTGGAGCGGACGTAAGTGTTAATATAGATATCATTAGAGTAGGAAATTTTGTAAACTTTATATTCAGGTAACTCATTCGACTTGCTCAACAGATCGTCCGTCAATAGCAGCAGTAGTTGCCTCACGGGATCCAACAAATACTCTTTATGCTGCTCGAATTTGTGAACGTAAGTTAACGATTATTTGTTCACTACCGTTATCCAGGATTTTTTCCCTCTATCTCTAGAATATCCGAAAAAGGGTCGTTGTTCAGTGGAAATTATTAAAGAATTGGATCGAATGGTTGCTGATTTGCTTCAAGTATTTGCTCGTACATGTGGTGGTCGTCTCCCAAATAAAATCGTCTTCTATCGAGATGGTGTAGACGAAGGACAATATCAGAAAGTACTCGACAATGAAGTGAATAAAATTAAGAACGCTTGCCGAAGTAAGTGTTAATAAAAACAAAATATCCGATAAATATATCTATTTCTTCGTGTCAGTTGTGTATGGTGATCGGCCATTACCAAAATTAACTTTTATTGTCGTAAAGAAACGTCATAATACGCGTTTCTTTCTATACGATGGCAAACAGACGATGAACGTTCAAGCGGGTACCGTGGTTGACCAAGATATTACTCATCCCTTTCAATTCGATTTCTATCTCTGCTCTCAAGCAGCAATGTAACTTTGATTCTTCCTATTTGTTTTCCTCTTCAATCAATTAACTATCAACTATTCTAGAATGGGCACATCACGACCTACTCTCTATCATGTTCTTCATGATGATATTGGTTTTAGCAGCGACGATGTTCAACGATTAACCTATTGGGTAAATTGAGCTTTAAATAAATTCAAACAAATAATGATGAGATTTATTTTAGTTATGTCATACGGATATGCGTTGTACTAAATCAGTCTCGATTCCAGCACCTGTTCACTATGCTCATCTAGCTGCCTTTGGATCGCGTGCGTTAAACTTTGACGATGATCGTACGACAGACAAGTATGAACTTACATATTTTCATTAGAAAAAAAATAATTTACTGGCAAATATTTTTAGTGTTGATGATGATGATGGGGATGACGAACAACTTGAAAATTATTCAATCGATGATATTCAAACCAAATTAATGGTTCTTGATCCAAAAGTTGCCGATGATATGTGGTTCATATAAATATTTGTCGTCGAAATAGATTCGACAAAACTTTCGCACGTTCTTTTATTAACCACGAGAACAATCAGTCATTCTATATTCTCCATCTGTTTGGCGTTTATTAAGAATGTGTTATTAAATTGCAAAATATAATTTGTTTTTACATATCCGAAAAGTAGAGCCCGTTGGATTCCGGTTCGACGTCAGAAAATCATTTCACAGTAGTTCAGTTCTCATTCATTTTATTCAAAAATAGAAAAAGAAATCAATATAACTGAATCAAATGATTGTTCAATGAATGAAATAGCATACACTTGTATTAATCTACATCTTCATATTTGCATCGGAAACTATTCGCTAAGAGTTAGAGTCAATCAAAACGTGATTATAATAAAAGACTATAATCCAGTTTCCCTGATATATGTTTAGATACACTAGTCATCGATATAAATAATTGAAAAAAGGATCTTGCATTTGCGAGATTACTAAATTAAATTCCGATAAGAAAAATTCATTAAAAATATTTGGATCCCAAACTTTGGAATTCAGTTCAGATCCGGATTTGGGTCCAAAAACGTTCAATAAAACGGGTCCGATTCTGAAAATCTCGGAATCAACGGGTTCTAGTGCGTACTCCCCTCATACTGCAAAGAATTTTGAAGTAGATGAAGTCTCACTTTTGTATCTCTTATTGAAAGTGCACCACATTATTCAGACTGATCAGTAGGAACGAACCATTCAAATTAATTTAATATTATTGATTTAATGTTTTCATTAAGGGTTAATATTAAACTTAAATATGTCCTAGTAAAAATTTAATTCATTGGCTTAGGGCGCCCGCTCTAAAACAAAAAATTTTACTCAGCATTAGATCTCGATGAAGTTTATGTGGAAGATGTATTTCAAGTATAATATCTCACAGTAAAAATTTCAGCTCGATACAATGAGTCTTCAAAACGTTAGCTAACGATTATTGGTGAAAATATACGTGCCCGGGCGTCCCAGATTTCTCAGCCATTTCAGATGTTAGGAAGCTCGGATTAGTTTTAAAATGTAACCAACAGATGTGGCTACAACATAACAGGGGCTGATTTTTCAATTTACCCCTAGTTTGGGTTATAGAAAACTTCTTCCGCAAATTCGGAAAAACTAGGGTTTTCTTCAGATCTTTTAGTTTTTAAAAAGCAACTGCGATAAAATTGGAAAATCGGACGCTGTTAAGTGGTAGCGCTTCATTTTGGCATCAACCCCAGTTTTCTACAGTTTAAATAGGTAGAGAAGTCTGGGACGCATGAATAGGGGTATGACAGTTCTCAGATCTACGCTCAGATCAAATGAGCGAAAGAACTGTTCGAACAGTTCAGATCAGATCCTGTGAACTGTCTGAACAGTTCTTTTGAACGGAACTGAAACTGAACTGTCATACCCCTACGTATGAAAGCGTAAAAATCAAAAATTCCCATTTTGAGAAAAACGCAAAATAAAGATTTTTGCTCTACAAGTTGATCTAAAACGATTATAGGAGTAATTTTCAACACATCAACAATTTAGACGCATCAAATAAATGCACATAACAATTTACAAAGCCATTTGTTTTTGTTGTCTCATGGATCTATTACGACTACCAAAGTATCAATAAAAATCATTGGATTGAAAAAAAATCTATACAGTCATCTAAATCGGTATGCATCATGTAGAAGTAATAATCTCATATTATCTTAATCACTTCCAGGCATGTTGTAGTCATCATGATTGATAGTTTTATTAATAGTCAATTGATTCATTTAACATTAATATTAATGGTTTATGAAAAGATTAACCATTAATATTAATTTTTAATGTTTTCTGATAAAAGCATGATTCCTTAAGATTAATGATTAATGTTCCCATTAAAAATTAATATTAAAATTAAGTTTTTCGATTTAACCATTAATATTAAGTGATTAACACGTAGAAGAGGGTGTGGGTGTGATTCTTTCAATATTCTAGAAACCCACCCACACGCGTACCCACATCCCACACCCACACACCCGCCGGAAACAGTGTTTCCTACGGGTTTTCGGCAGAAATTCACGGAATACTGCTTCAGGAATCATCGACCTGATTAGATTTATAAAGTTACATTAATGTTTTTTGATAATTTTCTTGGAAGTTGACAAATCTGATTCAAAAGCCGTTGATCTATTGAAATTGGATCCAGGAAGCGTTTCTTGTCGCCTTATTGAATTGTATGTTACAGAACCGACCTCATTATTTTCATCAAGTGCATTTAAAATATCTCTCCATTTCTGTAAATAACATCCGTTATTATTGCATTGATTTTCCCATTCTTCTTTAGTTAAATCTTGATGTTTAGCCTTCTTACATCCTCCCATATTGCCAGAAATTTGCAATGTCTGATTACAACATATGAATTTAAATCTTTGTTTACCTCGTTCATGCCGTTCTTTCTGTTCATTTGTAATATTAATATTTCTTAATAACTGTGCTTCTTCGGTAATTAAGGCTTGAATACCTGTTGATTGTGGAAACATTTTTAAGCTAATAGAGCTACAATCGTACACAAATCCATCATGATATACACATTGACCCATCTTGTTTTCTTGTTCCGTATAATTATTTTTACATTTTACACACAATAAATTTTGTTCAGATTGACGAAGTTGCTCTTCTTCTTCTTCAATCTCTTCTGGTAGACGAGTAAATTGATGATCGCCACTACAAAATTGTCGATATAAATATGATTCACGAACGACAATAGCCGACCATTTTTCTTCAAGTTTGTCTAATTCTTCATCATCTTGTTCTCTGTTAGTAAAGGGTGTTTGACAATACGCATCACGAAATTTTTCTCTTATATAAATATTTACATTTTGATTAATCAAAGATACATTAGTCGAATTTCCTAATGCTGCATATCCTTCACTTTTATTGACTCCAATAAGTGAATCAAGATCAAAGACAATCATTGAACGACGATATGAACTAGATTCTTCAACACGTTCTTTTAATATTTCAAATTTTCTTTCTTCATTATAAGCACTTTCAGATAATAGTAGATTAAGATCTACTAATTGCAAAAGTTGAACATTTCTTGACTTTCCATAATAAACTAATCGTTCGATCAACTGTTTTAAATCAGTTTCTCTTTCAGTTAACGTATCTTGATAGACAATTTTCTCTTTTTCACCATTATTATGAGTAATTACAGCTTCGACATAAGCTTTTTTCTTTGACAGATTAATTAGAATTTTACCTGTATATACAGAATTACGTCTATTAGATAAGCCCCAAGGTTCAGCTGGACGTGTTTCATTTAAATTCCGAAGAAGTAGATCAGGTAAAGTCTCAGCACCAATCATAATACGATATTTTAAAGCAATTTCATGTGCATGTTCAAGAACAGTCCGATAAACAATATGATAAGAACTATTAGTTCTTAAGACATTAATACAATGAGCAGTAATTGAGCGACGAAGTGCCCTAAAAAACGATTATTGTTTATTACATCAAGTCTCTTCTTTGAATTAGTAACAAGAAAATATAAGAGACTTGAAATTGGTACATACCTTAGTGCTGCTCCACTGAAATTTGTTGTAGCCATAGCTAAATCTTCAAGCATTGAAGGATTTAAATGCCAAGTTTTCATTCCAGATAATATTGCTTTTCGAGCATGTGATGAAGGGCGTCCAACAAAAAATTTGCCAGACATGCGACGCAAAAATGCCTCATCCATCATATGAATTCGATTTGTTGCACAAAAAAACATCAAATTACGAACATCTTTGATACCATCAATTACAGAAAGAAGAACACTAAGTTTCGATACATCTGAATGACTAGCATTATTTGTTCGTTTTGGTGCTAATGAATCGATTTCATCAATCGACACACAGCACATTAAGTAAGGTAATCGATGACATCTCATACAAATATCACTAATAATTCGTTCGGATTCACCTACTAATGGTCGATCTAATTCGCCAGCCGCAATCGGTGGCGTAACCATATTGATACCTAAACGTGTTGACACTTTACTCATTATATCTGATTTACCAGTACCTTTAAATAAATATTTTGATGAGATTAAAATCAATCTTGTACTTTGTAAAGACTTACCTGGTGGACCATACATAATAAAGCCACGATTAGGTTTAATAAGATCACTATCACTACTCCTAGTTTTTCGACTTTGTAATGCTGTTTCGATGTTGCTTATTAAATCATTTAATTGATTCCATTTAGTTCGAAGTTGATTTCGACTTGGTTGTAATTCATCCATCATGCTACGACAATTTACGATTTGTTGCTGAAGAGATGGCGAGCCTGTTTCATCTTGATTATCCCTTGAGTTAATTAAATTAGTCGTTGTTTGACGTGATGCGCTGGCTTTCAATTGCACAACTTTATCATCGAGTTGATAGTATTTTCCCCCAAGTTCAGCCATTTCATCTTCAAGTTTGGCCTTTTCAATACGTAATAAAGTTTGTCTATTACTTAGATCGTTTTCTAATTGAATCCATTGTCTATCAGTGACTTCAATATCCTGTTCGACCATAGTCAAAGGTAAAAAGAAAGGTTTCATTTGATCAAATAGACCATCATCAGCAAATCCTTCGTTACGCATCTCTTCAAATGCAAGATCGACGCATTGAACATTAACCTGAGCCGGTTGAGGAATTCTCGCCTGTTGAAAGTATTCATCAAGCATATAATGAAAATATAATTTGATTTGATGTAAATAAGCGATTAATTGTGATTTGGAAGGTAACTTTGGTCCTATATATAAGAATATGAATACTTAGAATTTAAGACAGTTTTGTTTACCTTGATCAATATCAGTTTTTGATTCGCTCGTTTTTTTCACTTCAACACGAAGTTGTTTTTCTCGATCAACATAAGACTTAAGAATTTTTCGTGCATTTGTACTTAAACTTTTCATTTGTTCCCATTCAGTGAATTTTAAATTAGCTAAATGGGAATACGATCGAATATCTTCATTACGCAAACCTTCAAGCCATCTTTCTGTATTTCCATTATTCTCTTTTTCGCAAATGTCATTTATAAATTTTTCTAATGACACAGTACTTGGTCGATCGATATTACCAATTGCAGAAGTATTATTGGCATCATCGATAGCACTTATACTCTTATTGCCAACTGTAAATAATATCTCAGCATCCTCAGTGATCGACCATTTGAGTGGAAATGTTTGATTATTTGTCGGTATAAGCCATATATCAAATAGACCTCGCATATAATCAAAATACCAAGTATCAAATTCATCTTCCAAAGTGAGAGGTTCGGCTAGCTGTAATTTTGTAAGAGAATAACCCGTATTAACTACACCTCGAGTGCTTAATTGCGTACGAATAAATACATCTAAAACACAACCTTGAGTAAATCGTGTCGATGAGGGAACTTTGTTTATTGCAGAACGAGATGCATTACCTCGACTAAAAAGCATAAAAAATAAATATTGTACTGGAAAATCATTTCAAAAGTATTGTTACTATGCGAGAAACTTTTATAAATTAACTTCTTGAAAAAAATCAAAAGAAAAATAGCGACAAATCACCGATAGATTTATCTTTCTCACAACTTTCTTTCATCTTGTAAACAGGACGAATTCCAGACTGGTTAATTCACACAATCAAAACTTTTGTATGTTTTTACTTACTTAGCATGATCATTTTGCTTTTTGATCAATGATGTGAATAAAAATTCTTCAATAAATTGTTCAACTGATTTCCGATCCTGTTTTACATGAATATAACATGTAATTTGGCGTACTAATTCCGTTTCAATCGTTTGTTTTATTTGAACATTCGATTGCGGGATAATATTCATTGGATTTGGCAATAATGATTTCATGAAGTATATTTCAACCAGTTTCACCTTTACATCAAAATCATCTTCACCACTTAAACAAATTTTCAAATGTTGTAAGTTAATTGGATCATCAAGCAAGCGTAGCTGTTGAGCAATATTTTTTAGAGTTTGTTCATTCGGAGCATCATTACGATTAGATATGAAATTATTCGAACGGATTTGTGCAAGGTTTGCATCGTTGATAGAATTTATAGAAGCTGTAACTGAAAGAAAATCAAACACAGAAAGTTGCATCGAAGCCATTTTGAATGAAATATGTCAAGGGATTGTCGAATATTACTTAAATAGACGCAAGGATATTCGTCGATCGTTTCTTCCTTTGCCAACTATATATTTCATAACTATGGAACAAGTTGGATAGTTCCATTCTTTAGTACAAAAGGTAGGCAATGCTTTTTTTCTTGTTACATTCTTATCAGTACTGGATTTTTAGCACCGTCTGCACATACACATTCGTCTGGTTTTCTCCATTGTGTAATAATATGAAACTTATCACATGATAAATATGACGTGTTTTTTACCTGCATAAATATAAAGATACTCGATTTGTTCTTACTAATGTTATATAGGTGGATTTTTCTTTTTTTATGACTAAAGTCAAATATAATTTTCTCGATATAAAATAAAGCAGTTAAAGTGTTAGATTCTTATTTTTCGGAAACATTCTAAGTGATGAATCACAATTATCAATATAATAACAACATAGATCACTTAGCTCAATCTAATAAAGAACAACAGCAAAGAGATCAATTGTTACAAGTCGAAAGTGAGGTACGTATTATAGAAAACTCAATACAAAATGCTGAGGAAGAACTAAAAACAATCACCAAAGAACGTATTATGTTACAAGCTCAGCAAAGCAAACATGAACAAGAATTATCTGCATATAATATTCAACTTACTCAAATGACAAATGAAATGCAACGAATCCACAATGAATTACACAAGCTACAAGAAGAACAAAAAAATCTTATTATGGAGAGAGATCGAATACAAACGGAACTTAATCGCCAACAAACAGTTCTTCGTTCGGAAGATAGAAAATTGCAAGAGCTTCAGAATAAAATGAGAAATCTAGAAAATGAAAAACATCAAATTGAACAGCATCGAATCGAATTAACAGAAGCCTTACGACAGAGTGAAGCTAATCGGCAAGATCTTGAACGACAAATGGCTGCTGCTGATGTTGAAATTAGTGCACTCGTGAGACAAATTGAACAACTTCGCCAACAAATTCAAATAGTTGAACAGGCAGTTCAGGAGCTAAACGATCAAATTCAAGAAAATGTCGATCAAATAAATGAACTTGAAGAGAAAATTGCTGAACATAAAAAAACAATACAAGAAATCGATATGGAAAAAATCCGAATTGAAGCAGAAATCGAACATATTCAAGATAGAATTTCTAGAATTCAAATGATCATTGATCTGAAAAACGATCAAGAAAAAGATCTCTCTCAATATCAAGAGAAACGTGAACAAGAACGAGAAGAAGCATCGAAAACATTGAAAAATGCTCTAACAAGATGTGATGAATTGAAAGAAGCAATCAATTCATTAGAAAGAGACTTGAAAACGATGAGAGAACAACTAGCGAAACTTAACACCGAACTGCTCCAACTAGAAGACAAAAAGCGTCAGGCAACAAATGAAGAGATTTTAGCTAGGTATGGATTTTTTCTTAGTCTTAAGATGAATATAAATCCAACAAAAAACATTGAGCGTACAGATTAAATGCACCTTTCATTACTCCTATCGTAAATCATCAATAGTTTTTCACTTTTGTGAAGATAAAAAAGACTTTCTGATATTTATTAACAGAGAAGCAGTTGCTTTGGCTCAACAAGAATGTGAAAAACTTAAAGCAGAAACTATTCAGATAGAAGCAACATTACAAGAAAAACAGCAAGAAAATAATCATGCGAAAACTAAAATGACAGAACTTGAAAATGCACTAAAAACAAAACAAGCAGAATTGACGAAAATCGTCGAAAAAGTCAATCAACTCGATCAAAATTTAAAAAATTGTGAACGAAAGCTAGAAGAAGCCATTAGGCTACGAGATCAACATAAAGAGACATTGCGTCGAGAAGAAGAAAACGAGCGGAAAGCACAAAATGCAGTTCAAGAACAAGATATGATAGTAAAAGATGCTCAAAATAAACTCAATCAATCTGAATTAGACGAAAGTGAAGCAAAATCTGCTTATGATGAAGCAAAGAGATTAGAAGAAGAAGCTAATAGAGAATTGCAGGAAGCAAAAAATGAGATGAACCAACTTGAAAGTGCCCTGCGGCTTGCACAAGCGGCTCTGGTCATTGCATCCGTAGGATCGATGTTATTGATCGGAGCCGTAGGTGCGGCTGAGTACGCTCTTAATTCCTTTCGATCAACGTTGGCGAATGCTGAACGGACGGCTGCGTCACGAAAGGAAGAACGTGTGCAGCGATACAATGCTCACCAAACAGCAGTTCAGAAGAAAGCAGCAGCACATACGCATTTACAAGCAGAACAACTAAAACTTGAAACACGACGTCGAGAATTACATAATCAAACTGAAACAAAAAATCGTGCTAAATATGAACTTGATCAACAAGAAAATGTGGTGAGCGCTCTTACAGATGATCGAAATAAGCTTGACGATGAACTCACAGATGCTAAACGTCAACAATTAACCAAAGAAAATGAAATTAAAGATCAAGAAAACGAAATTTCAAATCAAAAAACAATCGTCGAGCAATTGGATAAAGAGCTCACTGTAATCAATACTGAAAAAAACGATGTTGAAAAAAGAACCATTGCAGCTACTCAAGTCCAAAACGCTGCAGTTGAACGTCATCGGAACGCTGAAGAAGTATTCACCGAAGTGACACATACATTAAAAAATAAAGGTACTGAGCAACAGCTGACACTTGAGAAAATTGATCAGAAGAACATGGAACTCGAAGCAAAAAATACTGAAGTTCGTGAAAAAGAAGCGGAAGTTATCAATGCACAAAATAAAGTACGAGCGATCGACGAAGATTTACAAATGCTTAAGAAAACTAAAGCCGAGTTACAAAAAGACAGGAACGATCAACAGCGTGCTATTCAAATAGAACAGCAAAAACGAGATGAAAATAAAGAAAAACGTCGTGAAATCCAAAAGCAATTAAAAGAAATTACAAATGAAAAAGAGACATTGATAAAAAAGCAGACCGATATCAAACGACAATTGAAAACAAAAAATACTGAATTACTCAACAAAGCAAAGCAAGTGCAGAATATCGAAGCACAAGTGAGTTTTCATAATGATATTTGCATTCTATGGAGTTTCATATCAAAGATTTGAGAGTGAAGTCCTGTGTAACTATTTTCCTTTGTCCAAGTTTTCTTGTCATTCCGTTATTGCGAGTGAACAAAGTAACGTGAATTTAGTCTCACTTCATCGAACCAAAAATTGAAGTTGTGTTGAAACAGAGAATGTAACTACCTCATATCTTGACGAGCCAAAATAAATACATATGATGTACTTCCTGAGAAAATTCCCATTAGATCTTCTTCATAAAACGGTGTCAGTATTTTGTTAGAGATTTGAATCAGATATTTTCCGTGTGTGTGTGTGTAGGAGTTCAATTGCTTCGGTGCCACAAATTATACGCGTTTTTCACATTCTCATTCAGGAAATATATTCGAGAGAGCTTCACTTTTAAATACGGAATTTACTTTTCAGTGCCTCGATTGATTCGGATTTAAAATATTTTGTATTGAATGATCATACGTTGAAACAATTTGTTAACAGTTGAACCTTATATTTCTTAATAGATCAACAGTCGGCAAGGAAAACATAGTACAATCACACTTCAACGTGATCATCAACAAACCGAAACGAGACGATTAAAAGGAGAAATAAGTAGTATTGAACAAAAAGTGCAAGATAAAAATCGTCAAATTCAACAATTTAATCTAAAGATACAAGAGCAAGAACAAAATAAACAGGTACAGAAAAAATGTCAAGTTTATATATTTTCGTCCATCGTTCTTCGCTGTAGAATATCTTAAGATTACATCAACCCGAATTATTCTAAATTGCTATAAGAATCGAATAATCTGTATCACATGAGACCGACGATTGTTCGGAATGAAATTTTCTAAGTTCAGATTTCGTTGATCTTTTATCAGAAAAATGACCGTTGAGATTTTGAAAGATATCTTCTAAAAAGAAAAGGCTCTCTCAAACTTTTTGAAACGTTTCAAAATACATAACCAACGATTTCATTCGATAATTCATAGTCTATTTGATACATATATTCAAAATTAAAGTCCCCATGATTTATGCTCCAATAGCGAAACATATACTTCATGTTTTATAATGATTGTCGAGCAATAAAAATGCGACAATAAAGTTCTTTAGTTCTGACAACTGGTTATTTAATACATCTTCAACTTTCTTTATTTAAAATTGTGATTCATCTTTTTGACAGAATAATAGACGCGTCTTTTCGGACATTTATTTTGATATTATGAGAAGCCCTCATCCAATATTTCCTCAGTAGATAAGAAGTCTTCGTTTCATTTATCAATCGCTATCTATGTTTACTTTCCGTATCAACTAGAATATTATCAATGGACGCGTCCCGAAAGTTTTATGAATATGTAATATATTATCGAATATTGAAAATAGTGTTAAAGCTGTAGTTTCAAAGGGCAGATATTTTCCTGTGAATCAAAATATCGATAAAATTCATATCGCATATTGTTCAATTGTATGAGGAGGGCGTGGGTGCAGATGGGAGTGTGTGAATACGGTGTATAGGAAATCTTCTTGCACCCACACCCTCAAAACAAAAAAAGCAAATTCAGTTGATCTTGTTTCTCTTGTCTTTAACATAGACGTCTGAAAAAAATATCAGAGAAAGCAAACAAAATCTCACTCGTCTTGAACAACGTCTTGATCCTCTCAATACACAAGTTCAGGACAAACAAACGATCTACAATGAACAATATAATGCACATAGTAAGCTGAGCAGTGAGATGGAAGCACGTAAAATGTCCAAAGCTGTCATCGATCAACAGCTCAGCGAACTCAACGGAAAAGAGATATCAAAACAGATTGAAATACGAACACAAGTACGCCGTTTTGGAGCACAAAAAATTTCTTTAAATCAACTTCAACAGCAAAGTACTCAGAATGTTAATGTACAACAGTCACAACATCAAAGAAGATATATTCTACATGACAACGAATATCAAACAAAAGCGTATAAAAATGAAAATAAATAGTAGTCGATTATTCTTAAATTCAATATAACCTATCTTTTATCAATAACACTCTCGAGATGATAAATAAATTTAAAAGGTTTTTGGTATTCTTGCAGAGTTTGTTGACTAGTTTATGTCAAATTGAAATTTGACTTAATCGAAATCTACAAGAAGTTATAAACAAAAAATGGCACTTGAAACTTTACCGTAAAGTAGAAAAAGAAACAAGAAAATCTCTAGGGCCCAAGGGGCCTCACTAGAAATGACAGAAGACAACCGAATGAACCCCTCTGTTACGATCATACGATTGTCTATGTTGGTGTCGTTGAGAAGCTACTCAATTCGAAAACAGATTGAGCTATCTCTTAACGAAGAACACAAATCAGTCTGTTAGTCTCAATTCTTACTTTTTCAGCAATCGATTATTAGGCGAAAATAAGTTTCAAATCAAAATTCTAAATGTGCTTATATTTCAAATAATGTTTAAAAAATGCAGTTTAAATTCACCGACGCGTTTTGTGTTTATTTTACTGAAATATTGAAATACTATTCAGGGCTCTGTAATTGTAGTATACAAGTACAAACAAAGCAGATTTTAGAAAAAATGAAAACAAATTTCATACAAATTGGGAAAATTTAGAAGTTTTTCATAGATGTCATTTTATCGATAAGAGTGCCATCAATTGGATTTTCAATAATATCAGATTTGAGATCAAACTGAAGTTTCGATTGGTATTGTCTTTCAAAGAATTGCTTCATTGAAATTTGCAATGATTCTAAGGTTTATGTCGGTATAACTTTGTATCTGATAACGGGTGGGGCAAAATTTTTGCATTAGTTTTGCTTTTGATATAACTCTGTGATGCGATGTCATAGAGACTTGATGTTTCTTTAGTTATGTAGAGCAAACTATCCAGTGGAAAATATATAAAAGAATTTGACTGAAAATGTTTTTCGAAGGCTATGCAAATGGCAGAACAAAAGGCACTGAAAAACAAATCCGCAAATTTTATCACATTCTTTTAATCTAGAAATATTTGTTTGAGCTTTTTCATTGCCCACTTTCGGCGCGTTCGAGCACCATATACAAACAGTTGATTACTAAAACGAAGACTTTGATTTGATATTAAAGTAATTGGTATAGCATACAAGAGAATGCACACAAGACAATTTGATTAAAAAAAAAGCAATTGTTCAAATTTGGAATTCCAACACAAAAACAAACTTTTGTCTGAGTATCTGACAGAAAAACTGTATCCTATTCCAAATAATATCGTTTAGTGGAGAACTCAATAAACTTTATTTTTCGTATAAATCATATAGCTTTTGGCAATCTGTCTCAGAGAAGAGTTCATTTTTTGACTACTGTCTACAGTGATGAAAATTCCGTGACCTAGATGATATCTTACAAGTGTTCGTTTCGGCCGTTATAAAACATGTAGAAACAATTTTTTTTTGTACAGTAATGGTACTCTATCCTTACATAGTAAACTGTGGATGAGATGAATAAAAAGATAACCTGTCTAATTATAGAAAGTATTTTTTTAAAGCCAAAACAGTTGCGAAACGGTTCTCCATCCCCTTTTTTCTAAGATCATTGTGGCCTTCGAAAAACATTCGTAATCAAATTCTTTTACATATTTTTCCACTAGACATTTTACACTTTCTAAACAAAATAACATCATGTCTCTACAATACTTCCTTACAAAGTTATATCAAAAACAAATGTTTGCCCACCTGTTATTATAAAAGATTTGATTCTAGTTCAATTTAGTTTACATAATTATTATTTTACCGAATATTTTAAAGTTATTTTGAAGTCATATTCAAATCCCCTCGACAATAAACCATTTATATGCATCTTTTTGACTTTTAAACAACGAATCAACCCGAATTCCGAATCGAGTTAACAATTCATTGTAGATTGTATACTGCAACGTTTGACTTTGATGATTGATCAAGCAGTATTATTATTTTAGGATGAGGTTGAAGAATTTCATTATTATTTTAATTAATTCAGAGGTGTATTTTTTCTGAATATAGAGCAAAACTTTAACTATGGCTTTATATAGTTTCTCTTTGGGTGAGCGTGTGGGTGTGGGTTTATAAAATAATGAAATCATCACACCCACACCTTCACCCACACACGGGTCATATTTAACAATAAATATAAACTATTGCAAGTTATATTTATTTTAAATATAAAGTGGCACTTTCATTTATGGGTTGGACATTGTAAAAAGAAAATCTTAAGGCGTCATACTCCAAACTTTTATTATTCAATATTGAATTTTATTAAACATTTTTCAGGTTTATTATCATTTTAATTCAAAATTATTTAGGACTAGATTTATATTTAACAATTTATTGTTCTTTAATACAATCTAGACGTTTTCGATACCATACACATTCTTCTTCAAGTCCATATGTTTCACAGAGATTGGCGAATTTTTCGTATACAATCTGAACACTAAATCGAAATGTTGAATAAAGTTTACGTAAGCAAACAGGACATAGATATACAGGTTGTCCATCCATTTCAATTTCATGATTGGCACCATTCATCAAACAAACGTAATATATACAGTGTAGTAAACCAAACAAATGACCTAGTTCATGTAGAAGAGTGCTTACACAACGTCGAAGCATTATTATACGGTGTTCATCAGTGAATTGGGAAGTCATTACTTTTTTTTGTGATGATAGAAATAATGGATCAAGACGCGCAAATGAATAAACACCAAGACTTTTAATTGGATGCGCTTGTCCGTAAACAAAATTCCAACTGTCTTCAGGGTAAATATCAGCCATGGTTATAGCTACACATACAAGTTCTCGCATTATATTACGTTTATGACGTGTGCGAGATAAATAATCAAAAAAACTATCGGTTCGATATTGTATTCTTCCATAAAGCATTCTTGATATCATATCTTTTGAAAAATTAATTTTTGGTAATAATTCAACTTGACATCCAGAAAAAAATGCGCGAGCAAATTCTATAATTACCTCAAGTGGCCCAGCTCTAAAATTTTATGTTATTAGTTGAATCGAAAAATAAATTCGCTCTCTATACCTTGGATGATCAAAACTGCCAACTGGTTGAATATAGATCGTTTTAAAACTAGGATGAAAACAAATGAACAGAAATTCCCTTAGTGAAAATAACGAAAAATATTAAACTATGATGTACGTTGCACGAGGAACAGCTTTATATGCCATTTGTTCAAATGATTTCATCGTTTGTCCCATTTCTTCATTAACTGCCAACCAATCACATCCATGAGGTTCTGGTATTGATTGAAAGCTTTCACTAAGTTTGTTTGTCACGGCCATTTGCATATCTCGCGGTAACTAAAACCAGAATCAACTATGTGAAAGATAAATGTAAAGCAATCTATATGTACCAGACCTTTGAAACATCACCAAGAGCTTCTGCAATACATTTGGCATCGGGAGGAACAAAGCTCATACTTTCTTGGAATTATGTGACGTTGATAGAAAATTCTATTAATATAATAATATCGAATAAGAAATCTATGAGATTTCATCCTTTAAATAGAACTTCTTGAGTCGAATTCTCCAACATGAGTCATTTTTCAAATCATTTTACCGATTTCAGTTACTATTTGTTTGAGTTTACTTGTGATTTAATTCATATGCAGCATGACAGTACCAGAGCGATCTCTAGCGAAACGAAATTTCTTTTTAATATTCACGCAAAAAAAAAACATTCTCTAAGAAAACTTGTTGTTCATTTAATCCTTTATATCAAAATTACAACATAATGATTTAGATCAGTGGGTGTGTGCGTTACCATGTTAGATGATTACCAAATCGTATAGAGTTAATTGATCGAGTCACTGTTAAACTAGTTAGCTAGGATAAAATGCTATATCTAGAATAGATCCGATTTGATTCGATATTTTTTGATTCAAATTTTATTCGGCGAAACTCGAATTTGCCCTCACATCCACACCTTCAAGAAATCCAGTTCTTAAGGATTCGTTGTTTTGAAGCTCTGTTTATAATGACAAGGAAGTTAGTCGTCAACGGTACAAAACAAATCGATATCTATTCGTTTTTGATATGTTCGCCCTACGTTTCAACTTCTGGCCTCGGATTCGTCCTATATTTCCTATATTTAAAAAAGTTCCTACTTTTTCTCCTATATTTCGATGAATTTTCCTGTATTTCCTATAAAAATGAAAAAAATTAGAAAATTGCTAAAAACGCTCTTGTCTTAGTATAATTTTCGTGTTTTTTAAACAAATCTATTCGATAATTATTGATTCTTTTGTATTCCTAGAATTTTTTTACAGGGACTCTATTTTATTTACAATTTCTTTTCACATTATCAAACGGACTAAATGAAAATAACTGACTATTTTAAGTAAAGATATTCAAACAAAGTACAATAGTCTCTATAAATAGTTGTGTTTTTTAAAAGCTTTTATTGTTGCCTATCATATGCAGTTACGTAAATGGTTTTGTTCAAGCGTAACGCTGTGACCTTTTTTGACACACTTTGTTTTTCATTATCTTGGAAATTGTGTGAGTTAGAAAGTTCGTTCAAACGTGATTTGATGCAACTTGTCATGATATGTTTATGCCATAAAATGACCGTTTTTGGGTTAAGTCTCTTGCTTATAGAGAGGAGCTTTGGTTGCTTGGCTGTGATATAAAAAGACTCTTTTCTTCAGGGCCACTAATAAGCTGCAGTTTCTTCTGCAACTACTTCTCCAAGTGAAACACTTCTCGAGTTAGTTTTGTAGTGCTTTTTGACCAGGCTTTAAAACACTAAAATCGTTTTCTCCAAGCTATTTTTGCTTAGATAAAAAGTGCAAGAAAACAACGTGACATTTTTAGTAACGCTGAGGTACAGTTTTTCTTCACCAATTTTGAAGCACTTAACATGATCAGAGTTATCTGATTTTTATTAGTAATAGTATTTTCTTTGTAACTAATCGTTGTACACAAAAACGAAATTGATACATCTGTATGGAAGCTCATAAACGGTAAATTGAGTTAGAAAGTGTATAAGAGTTTACATTGTTCTTAGCTACAAAAGTCAAAACAAAATAGGCCAGCTTGTAGAGACTGAAATTCTACAACTAACGATCTGTCATTGATATTTTTTGAAACATTTATTGGTTAAAAAATTCACAATGCGATTTTTGAAAATTTCCATACTCGATGTGAGTGAGTATAAGTTGATGTGAGTATAAACACGATACAAACCATTACCCACACCCTGATTTATTTTGTATTAGTTTATTAATATGCAAATAAACAAATTTCGATTGGATTTAATTGTGTCTGACTCATTTAATTTAATTTAAGAAAGAATTAAAATGAAATATTGACAAAAATTTCGTGCATATGTTACGTTGATGCAGGAAAAGTTTAAAACCACGTTTAATTCGAATCTAAACAACGAATTTTCAATATCCTATTTTTTTCAGATTTTTTTACACCTTTTCCTGTATTTTTAAAAAGTTTGATCCTGTGCTAATTCCTACATTTTCAAAAACTTGCAATCCGAGGCCAGTAAGTTTCAACGAGTATTTGTCAATTATCCATTCTAAAGATTGTTGTGATAGAAAAAAAACGTTTTTTTTAATGTGTACATCGAGAAAGAAAGAAAACTCGCGAAGGAATACATCAACACTATGCTTCGCGACGCAATAAATACAAGATAGATGGAAAGAAAGGAACAAGCGTAAGCACTTTTAAAGGCAACTCATATCTACATATATGCGTAGATATGTACATATACAGTGATGACTCATCGGCATGTAGAAAACCACGAGAAAAGAAAAGGAAATGTAACAATAACAATAATAATAATTGTTACTGTATTGCAGAAATCTAGTGCAATAAGCTTATATATATATCGCATTTATACGTTTGGAAAGATAGTTTTCGGCACTAATTTGTTATTTTATTGATCAGATTGTATTTTCAATAAAATTACTGTTTAAGCACTCCAATAAATTCAAAATGATTACTCGATTACCAACATTGTCAGGTATGACTTTTTATTATTTGCATCTCTTTGTTGTTCTCTCTCGGTAAGCGTCATGAATTACGAAAGACGTAATTGGTAAACGTGAGTTCAAGATCAATTTTTTTATTGACCTGCGTGACAGATAACATAAACAAGAGCACAATATATTGCCTTTAATGACTCATCAGAACAGTGACAGAAAATAAAGAAAACACCATTATATCACATTCATTCGTTCCAATTTTCTTCTTTTTCGCGACGAACATCGCATCATTTTCGCATCTTCATCAAATGAAGAAAGTGTTGATGAATCTATATGATGATCAGATGTTACCCTGGGAGATATGTAAATAGTGAAAACAGCATTCAAATATTTTCCGATTAGTAATATTCTAACACGTTTTCTTTAATCTTTAAACGCTTAGATTGGTTGAAACTTTCACTGTTTGAACAGTTATGTAGCGCAATGTGTAAACGATCAATTCACAAAAGCACTGAGTGTCCGAAAATTCTCTACTCGAAAATATTTATTAGTATCGCTTCAATATTTTTTGACTTTTATCAATCGACTTTTCTTGTATCACACATAACATGATCACTTTTTTTATTTCTATTGACAAACCATAAAAGTACTAGTCAAAACATTTACCTTTAGTCTAGATACGAGACTTAGCTTTTTTTCCCTAACAGCAAGAAAAGGTAGCTAAATAAAGTGATTCAGGATTCACTCGATGTATTTTTCGTTCTATAATTTGATCAATTTCATTAATTATGTTCGTTGGTTCTTGATTCAGTCGGAATAGAACGCAGTGTTGTTGACAAGCACATGGCTTACTTTTTACCATATCTATTTTGGCTCCGCATCTGTAGATAAATCTTCTCTAAGAACCAATTATCTTAGTAAAACAATATGTCGTTTCCATCTCTCTGATATTTTCTCAAATACAAACAGCAGGTTGATAAATTAAAACATTTTTAAATCTGAAGATTTGATTAACTGCTGGGCGGTATGCCGGAACGGATTGTAGAACATTACTATTAATATTGATAATAGTAGTTACGATGTTACATTCTGATTATATTGTATGACATAGTATATGCAGCATTTTCTATTTCATCTTCCTATTCTTCTTAAATTGTCTCGCTTAGTTTTCTCTTGAGGTAATTGTTCTATTAATCCATCTCATATTTGACAGACAGGGTGGCTTGTTGAGCTGCGCCTTCCATCCCTGATCCATACGATAAAATTTTGTTCTAGCTGATGAATCTGCATCGAAAATTCAAAATGCATTTCGTAGTCATCAAGCTCGACTTAGTTTAAAAAACCAAGCAGTATGGCAGTTACATGAAAAACTTGAATATGCGAGTGAACAAACTCAAGCAAAAGTAAGGAAAACGTTTATATGATTACAATAGTATTTGAAATCTATAAATATCAGCTAAAAGATATGTTTGAAAAATTACTCAAAGCATCTGATTCACTTTCGCCGTCTGTTGCAAAATTACTTAAGAAAGCTCGATTATCCGTAGGTAATGTATTATTTACAAGTGAAATTAACGATAGATATATTCGATTTTATTTTATCTAGAAGAAAGAGAACTTTTAAGATCAACAAATCCTGATAGTATTACTGTTGAAGCTAATTATCGGGGACCACGTATGCGATTGTTCGTTTTTTTGAAGAAAAATGAATTAATAATTCCTTTTTTTTCTAGGTATTGAAGGTCCAATTACAAGACAAACATTTGTAGATTTAATTAAAGCTTTTCAACACGGACAAGTAAGTAAGACAAATCATAAAACATCAGCTGCAGAGTATTTAAGATATGAAACACAATAAAATACTTTAAAAGTTTATTTACGTCGATATATAGTACAAAGGAAAAAGAAATCTATTTGAAGATTTCCTACTAGAAGAACTATTATTTTATTCATAATTTTTCAGGCGTATATTAACAGTTTCGAAATGAATGATTATTGATGTATTATTGTGCAACTAGCGACATCTTCATTTTTGAAAGATCTTTATGAAAAAAATGAACGAATACGAACTATACGGTACAAAAGCCACTAGATCAAGATTTGAATTAAATCACTCTCAGAAAATTGAAAACACTTTGCATTGAAAGTTTCAAGGCTTTTGTTATCATCAAATAATTTCAGTTTTTCGAGAAAAATTACACATGTGTAAGTGTTTTGCTCAGGTGTTGTCAACTCGTAGAAAATATTTCCAGTTTTTACTCGCGCCTGAAATCATGGTCATCTATTAACACAAATCATATTTCTTCTCGTAATATCACCATATGAAAATATTTTCGTATCCCTCTTATTAGATTTTCGTCTTACGATATAAAAATATCACTGAATTTGTAATGACTATAATTCGTAAAATAAAAGTGGAAGTCTCGTTTGAATAGATCTTTATCGATTGATAGGTATTACATGAAAAATATGTTTGTCACATTCTTCATCAAGCGCGTGCTATACTTAAAACTTTACCAAATTATAATCGTATCGATTTATTTACTTTACATCATATATACATTGTTGGTGATCTTCATGGACAATTAGCTGATTTATTACATATATTTAATGCAGTAAACCAAATATTCACAAGAATTTTTGTTTTTATTCTGCAGTTTTTGAATTATCTATAGAATGGACTACCTGGCATTGATAACCCATATATATTTAATGGCGATTTTATTGATCGAGGTGAAAATTCAGTTGAAGTTATTCTCTTACTTATGGTTGCATTGATTCTCTATCCAAGTTCAGTCTTTCTTAATCGAGGTAATTGTTTTCTTTTCTAATTTCATGTGTTTTTTTTCTGCATAAAATTGAAAAGGTAACCATGAAGATATGATGGTTGCAGCTCAGTATGGTTTTCAAGATGAAATTAATCGAAAATATTGCGTTAGTTCATAATTTATGGAAGATATTGATCTATTGAACTTTTATTTAGACATATAAAACACCATTACTCGATCTATTTAAAGATATATTTGGTTGGTTGCCATTGTATTCATCTGTTCATACGGAAAAATCTAAACTTATTATAATACATGGAGGAATATCTGATCGTATTAATCTAGAAAAAATCAACTCTCTTCAAAGAAATCGATGTAAGAATAACAATGCTTTATATATCTTTTTTAAGCACGTCGACAGTTCGATAGAGTTCATCGATATTTTTCTGCATGATAGAAAAACGTCATAAATATTAGTTTAGTCTTCTAAGGTTTTGAGCATCCGAAAGTAATAGTGACGAATTGTAGAAAACGAAATTTGATGAAAATTATTTTTAAGTGTCGACTATGCTATCCTTTCAATTAGAACTTCCAATTCTAAACTACATTATTATGAAATTTCTATTCCTCTAACATACCTATGGAATGCTCGTCAGTAGGGCTCGTGTGACCTTCGACATGCTACACGACTTTACAAATATAATCGATACCACTATGAAATAAATGAATGAATGAACGGATGTCAGTGTGTACTTACTCCTACAGTTTTCCTGTTCACTAATATCCACATATTGACTGAAGTCTCGGTCGTGAACCTTTTTTTGCTCTGCACGTGCTTATAGGCGAACTGCGTTAATAACATTTTCACTAATAACTCAACAAGTTTTATTCAAACCTTGAAGTTTCAGCACGTTAAATTATGTTCATTTGTATCGTTTTGTAGACGTTTCAATGGAAATACCACCAGAATCTAAAAGTGGTGGTAAACAATTAACTGCTGATGAAGATGATGAATATTGTCAAATACAAGGTAATGATACTACAGATGATCCCATGCATCTGACGTGAATCATATTTAGATTTACTTTGGAGTGATCCTGATCCTTATAGTCGTAAAGGTTGCCGAAATAATAGCGAAAGAAACATAGGTTCTTTTTTTGGCCCAAATATAACACAAAAATTTCTTAGTAAATATAATTATTCGATGATTATACGTTCACATCAAGTCAAACAAAAGGGTTATGAATATACACACGATGAAAAGGTTCTAACTGTTTTTAGTGCATCAAATTACTGTAATGGATTCAATTGGGGTGCGATTATACGATGGTTTGCAGGTCTGATATTAGTTTTTGTTTTAAATATCAAATTTATTTTAGGGATTACAAAGAACAAGATCCATGGTTAATTTCATACAAAACTGAAGCCGTTAACATGAAAAAATTGAGTTTTAATAAACAGTAATATAATCAAAACCAAGATGATGTCTGTTATTCTCTTTCTTTTTCTTAAAGAATAACATTATTTGAAGATCCAGCTTATCAATCATTAGTGGAAAAAATTATGACGAATAAAAGTTCCCTTCAAAAGGAATTCGAAAAAAGAGACAGATACGGAACTAGTATACAACTTTCAATAGCAGTTCTTCTTTTTGTTCGAATAAGAATTTTGTTTTTGCACCTAATTAGGTCATTTACCTTCGAAAGTTTGGTCTGAGATTATGACGAACATACTTCAAATTGATTTACCTTGGATTACGTTGCGTTCAAAACTTGTACAAGAAGACAAACAAGGAATTCTTTACAATACTATGTTCGATGAATATGCTCGAGATAATATGAAATTTCAAGTAGTTCAGAAAAAAAATGGAATTATAATTTAGTATGGTATTCTTGTTGTTTTAGTTTAATTCTGGTATTATGGAAGATTTATATATGTGGAAAGATTTGCTTATACGATTATTTAATTTAATAGATCAAGATCATTCAGGTACGAATCCATCTATGGATGAATATTTATTTATTATATACATATATCATAGGTTTTATAAGTCCTAATGAATTTTCTGACGTTCTCAAACTTCTACTTTATCATGACAATGATACCGATGGTATCAATGAAGCAAATATTGCAGAACTCAGTTCTGCTATGGATTTAGATAAAAATGGAAGAATTGACATTAATGAATTTCTCGGTAAGATATAATCATTAGTGTGATCAGATTTCTTCATAGATCGAAGTCAAATTGTAAGTTTATTCATCTTATGGTATACTTAAAAACTGGCGAATATTATTTCAACTTTCTATAAAATTACTATTCTGTTTACAAAATTAGAGCACATGTGCCTCGTGATAATGATGTTTCCTTTTTTAGTTTTTTGTATACGCAATATATATGCTAAGTTACTTTAGATACCATGAAAAAGTTAGAAAATTGGTGCTGCATTTTTAGAAGCAACATTGTAGATTCTGTAGATATGACGTGCGACACGGCGAAGTACGAATTTACAAACGGCAAAAAGGTTCAAAACCAATTCTAAGTGATACACATCTTTCATTTCATGAGAATCGCTATATGATGGCAAGGTGAAAATTGTTGAAATCTCTAGAAAATCGGTTTGAACAGGTACTTTTTCAGAATCCAATTGTGTTTAAAATCTCATCACAGATGTGATTTCTGCTGTTGAGTATATCCTGAAGTTTTTAGAAATTTTCTGGTTTGGTTACAGAAATTAATTATATGATCATTTAACTAATTTTAATTAATAGTTATCTAAAAGCATTTATTCAAAAAACAAAATTACATGAAAGCTGAGTATGCTTCGTTGTGTTTGAAATGACCGATATACACTCTGTAATTGTTTAATGCAATAAAGAAAATCCTTTTTTCTCTTTAAGTATTTCGAACAAATATAATATTGTATTTGCACCACGATTTGAAAAAAACATCGAATTAATATTTGATGCATAATATATTTGAGTGTTTTTTTTATATTCTAGAGAGTTTTCGTATTGCTAATGTGAAGAAATCTGGAAAATTGAATGATTAAACAAACCAATCTCGATCACCAAATTAAAAAGTTCTAAATACGAACTTTTAATCAAAAGAAATAATATTAAACATGACACAATCCTTATACGTACACATATTCAAGCCTCAAATCAATTAAATATAAACCAATTAATCTGCTTCTTTTTATAAAATTGCTTTTGCTCATGTTTTCAAAAATTATGAAGATAATTTTTTTATAAGAATCACTAACAAAGACATATTTCGATCATGGAGGGCATGGATGGATGGATGGATGACTGGGTGAAGCAATGGGTATTATTTTCCACAAATTTTGGTTTCCTAAATCATCCCCTAAATCGAATTTGCATTTATGGATAATGAGACAATATCATTTTGTTTTGGTCATCAAATGGAGATTTTTGGATTTGTAGATAATTTAAGATAGAAACGTCAGTTTGTGAAATACTACTTCGTACAATTATTTCTTTACTATCATACTAAATAAAAAAGAAAAAAGTTGTCACGCTAAACATATTTCATCGCGATTCTCTAAACATGACAATGCGCTTCTATATGAAAGAATAAATTCCAATCACATAATGAGATTCAGTAATTAACACTATTCCTTTACAAATCGTTCACACACACACACCCGTTAGTCCTCAATGAAATACAGTATCTGCATCGGTGCATCTATTCCGTCAAATGAAACGAAATAAAAAAAATACTATTTTCGCTTCTTGTCATTTATTTATTGGAACTAAACGAAAATGAATTACATATTTTTTTATGCATTTAAGGTTATCTCTATGCAATTTAAGATGTGGCTGATTTACAGATAGTGAACGCTGTCCTATTTCAACAGCACGTTGATGATGGTGAAATGGTTTCGAAAATTCCGGTCTTTCACTATGCGTAGTACCAATGTGTTGTTTTGAGATCTAGTCATATCAGGATGATTTTTAGGAAGGATTTTCAACCAAATTGCCAGTGCTGTTCGATAAAATAGAAGTGCATTCGAGTAGTCACGCATGTTGTAATACAAAAAACAATGTTGTGGTAAAGACGGGCCAAATCTGGATGATTTGGAGGAAGAATTTTTTCGTGGATTTGCTGTACTTCTTGATAAGATGAAAGCGCATTTGAATAGTCACCCATGACGGAATACACTGAGTCAATATTTTTATAAGAAATAGTCAAACAAGGATGATCTGAAAGAAGAGCCTTTTGGGCAATTTCCAGTACTTTTTGATGAGATGAAAGTGCTTTTGAATGATCATCCATGTTGTTATAAAATGCGCCGATGTTATTGTAAGATTCAGCGATGTCAGGATGATTTGGAGGAAGAGTCTTTTGGCGGATATTCACTGCTTTATGATGTGGTGAAAGTGCATTCAGGTAGTCACCCACCATCTAATTTACCAAGCCAATGTTATTGTAACTAATTGCCAGATTAGAATGATTTAGAGGAAGATATTTGTGACAAATTTCTATAGCGTTTTGAAAATATGAAAGTGCTTTCGAATAGTCACCCATGCAGTAATATACCAAACCAATGCCCCTGTAACATGCTAAATATTTTAATTCAGTTGATGATACAATTTTCATGATTTCAATGGATTGTTGATAATATATAATAGCATCTACATATTCACCTAGAGACCGTTTGGTCTATTCGAGCTGGCTATAAAGAGTTGCTTTTTCGGAATATATCGTTGTTTGATAGAACAATATATCATAAACCTTTTAAGCTTTCTTAAATTGTTCGAGTTCAATTAGCATCATACCCAAAGAACCACATGCTTGCTATCGAGGACTAACCTCTTTGCGTATCTGTTCAGTAAGTGCATGTAGTTCTGGGTCGTTTTCATGGGCAAGTGCCAAGTCGACTTGTCAAAGACGATTATTACCATTGATTTGCTTGATTTATCCCATACGACAGATGGAATGAATAGAGAAGAGGAGTTCTGCTTCTTCTCTGAAATAGCTGATATTATGAACTTGTGCAAAAGCAGCAGTCGATGTTAAGGCAGTGATAGTTATTTCAAAAAGAACACCTATCAGATTGCGACCACTTTGATTTCTCTCAGAAAACACGAGAGATACTTCTCGGTTCAAACTTGTTGACAAAAACTTATTAAACAATAATAGTCCGCTTTTGGCTTTAATCATTTGGTCAAAATGTTTCTGAGGTAGTCCTTGACCACGATAAACCGTAAAGGAACTCATACTTGCATACTCAGAAAACTGTTGAGCATGAAGCTCAACGATGTTGTTGTGAAGATCTCTTAAAAAAAATACCATTCTAATAATTAGATCCACTTCCATCATACGTAGTGATCGATTGAGCATTGAATAAACAAAATATTGGCAAGTATACCGCCAGATTGGAGTATGGCCGTGATATTCCCGTTGGAATTTGCCGATGGTTTTTAGTTCGTTGGCGTCATTCTCGAAAAGTTGACGACAGAGTGAAATAAATTCATTGAAATGTTTATTTTCGAAATCAGTGGTTAATAATATTTCTTTTGATATTTTTGTGTACATAAACGATTGGTCTAATTGATCCAGGTTGTTTTTATAGTTCCCATTATTAGTGGGAATAAAACTAATGTCGACCAAATTTCAATCGCATTTGTATACATCTTGTTGAAGTGGCTTGCAGATTGAGGCAATATCTGTAAATACACCTTTGATTTTTGCCCATTGTTTCGTCCAACCTTCATGCTGTCCTTCATTATCACTCAAAATATAAATATTACTGATTTGTGGCATGTCATGAGTGATGTCAATAGTTGATTTCTCAAAGGCACCAGATAAGACCATAAAAACTTGCTGTTCTTGAATATCGGTAACGAAATCGATGCATTCATTCACTAATGTGAATGAATGTAGCTTATTAAATACTTAAAATTTTTTAACGTTATCAATAGAATTCGCGTCATCCATGTGATTAAGATTGGCATCGAACCACACCAGCCGAAAGCTCTGAGTCATATGAGAATAAGGAGGATCTAGGGGCCTTATACTTGTATGTTGAGATGACGCGGTAGCAGTTGTTGATGTTATTGTTGACTTTTCCTCTTTGCCCACGGTGTTCATATTGTGCTAACAATGAGAATAATTAATTAATTAAAGTGAGCCGATAGAGTATTTTGGAATCTTTGAGAGTATCGGGTGTGAGTGTGTTGGTTTCCCTTTACGTCATCTCTTTAATAACACCCTCAAGTAATTATTACAAACCATTGATATTCTACCTTCATCTCACGATGAACGTGTTTGTACTTTCCGTTGAACAGATAGCACATATTCGAGTCAAATGTTAGCGACTGTTGACGTGCGCAAAGCGAGATATTCAGATTTTAAGACGTTTACAGTCTATTTAAGATGCCCACCGTCGAAAATGCAAGGGAGAATAAACGGATTTTTATACTTCATAAGTACAGAGAAATATCAGCAAGCACACTAAAGCAAGAAGGAGTACAAAGAAGTGCGCTTTTGCCCCNCGCGTTTGCCCCCCCCCCCTCTTCCTTGCTTTACACACATCGTGTGATTTGTCATTTCTAACGACATGAAACGTTTTTTCTGTGTTTATTTTCTTTATCCATCGCAGTAGCAAAGGAAAGAAAAACATTCGTTGTTTTTTCTATGGACTCTTATTTCTCACAATGAGATTCTAGAGAACGAAAATTTTGTCTGTTATGTAAAAGTATCTATTCTTTGATCGTCAAATAGTTCTCGACACGGATGAATAAAATAACATTTGGTCAAGAGTTTATTCCTAGAATTTATCAGAATAAAAATATCTGGGCAATACATGCTTATTGTTATGATGAACAAGCACATGAGAATTTGTTCTCTTACTGTTCAAAGGTAATTGTTTCAATATAAAGGATGTGAGCCTGACTAATCAAAGCGACACTGGAACTGACATTCGAACATTCACACACTTATATCCAAGTTTGCTTAGGTGATCAGAGTTTTTCCAAAGTGTTTTCCAATTGAAAACTCAAATATAAATCTGCTTTCCATAGGTGAAAACGGTGCGATACAACATCGAACATTTTTTGACAGACTTACATCAAAGCATAGAAGCATTTACAGAGGCTGAGAGATATGAGAAAAACAATTTTTTATTTAGTTGTATTCGACATGATCGAACATCAACTGGTACGTCAGACGAAGAATTGTATCACATTTTAGCCATGTTCTGCTACCTACCTTATCCAATAAAAATTGCTTGCTCGTTTCTAATCACGAATTTACGAAAATATTATCAAGGGAAAGAAACACAACTGGGTTAAATTGAGTATTTTGAATAAAATTACTCTTCAGAACGAGCCATTTCGTTGTACACACGGCATCTTCAAACGCAGTTGTGAAATGGTCATGAAAATTGTAGACTTAGATAAATGGATGATCCAATCATAAGTGTTTCTCGCGGTCAACTAATGTCATCTCGTGAAATCGAAAAAATTAAAAATTTAGCGCGTAGTCAATTTTTGGAGCTACAGCACGATGATTATCTAAATAACAATGCATCTCTATCTACCACTAAAGTGGTTGTGGGTGTTCGTTCGAAGAAAACCAAAACAGGTACTCACACTCACGCAGCCACCCACTCATACCCTCTAGTTTCATTCTTTCATTTAGCATCTCAAGAGGCTTTAGTGCCATTGAAATGCTTCACTGTAGTTAAGTTAAGATTTGTTTGGTTTATTTCCACAGGATATTATAAAAATCGAATTATACATTTTCGTACAATTTCAATAGTTGTATGTCGAATAAGAATAACGTTTAACGTCAGTCAGCCACAGTAAGACTGTTTGCTATGGGTAAATAGTCTTCCCAGATTTTGAGTACTTTCTCTTGCTGTTTCAACATTTGTTTTATGTATGCATTAATATTAGTCTTAAATTCTTTCATTCGATTTTCCTCGAACATTTCAAATTCTTGCATGAGTGTCGCCGAAATATGTTCGAATTTCTCCATGTCGTTTACAACCTTTTCTCGCAAATTCTGCACTTCCATTTCAGCACACGGCTTCTGCGAAAGAAAAAATTAAATGTATACTTTTTACTTCATGTCAACATTTTTATTCTATCTCATTTGACAAAATAAATAGATATATCATTTATAATTCTATCATTAATTTCGAAATACCATTCGAACATATTGAATGTGTAGAAAAGACTGCTGTTATCGATAAATATATAATCATGAACTCTAGAAATATTTCCTACTTTTTCACGAAGCTTCTTTTGAAGCATTTCAGTATTAAGTAACCAGAATTTATGGAACTTTGCCCGTTCATTGAAGGTACAGTTCGCCATATCGATATATAAGATGTACTCATTTAGTAGCTCATTCATTAATAAAAACTCTTGTTGAATGAGATCCGAATTGAGTTGGCTTAGTTTCTCTTGAGTACTGGCCAGCTCGAATAAAGTTGAAACTAAGAAGTGAATGATGTTCACACGTGGCTAACATATTCAGTTGCATAGCAAGTGCATCAACTGTTACGCTGGACTCTTTTCGCATCTTGTATAAATAATCGAAATGAAATTTTAACATCCTCAGATCAGCTTGTAAATCAAGAATGTACTTCTAAAAAGACAAAAAGACTTCACTTATGAGAAAGATTTTATTCCAATTCATATATTGCAAAATTTATTCCTATTTTTTTTTGTCTTGCATCCTATATAATGCTGAGGAACGACATATAAAGTGGTGAGGAAAGCATAATAAATAAAACATTGTCGACTATGTAAAACGCTTCTAGAATGATTTTCATGTTTCATTCTTTTAAATGGTGTGAAAGAAAAATCAAAGCCACATTTCAATCTGTATTTGAAATTTTCGTCAAATAACTTTCATCGTTTTCAAAATTACTATGCTCACCTGTCTTTCATCAAACCAGTCGCCTTTCTGTGTTTTTACTTTCGGCGTAGACATAAGATCTCGCCAAAGATTATTTGTCATCTTCGGTAATTCTTCAGGTAGTTCGATGAACACCAAAAAATCGGGATCACAAACGAGTCTCTTATTTCGAACGAGACGATTCAAGTAACGTTCAAGCTGAGCTCGCCGTTGCTCAATGATATCTTTTGGTACGATGCTTGAGTCATTTTCTGGTAAGGCCGGGAGGATTATGCCTTCAGGAAGATATTTGACAATGAGCTTGCCATGCAGTCTAAGAAAATCGTTAAAACAACGATTTACCCCAAACTGGACTGCTTTGAATATGGGAATCGAATTTTTCGTCATTATTCGATAAACCGTAGATGGTGACAAAGTCTGCTAGAAAGAAAAAAAAGATTCTAAATCAATAATATGATTCAAAAAGACTTTTTTCAAAGCGACTATTTTGGAGATAGACGATAAGGTACTTATTTTTTTTTGTTCAATCTGTCTAACATCAGTATTTAACAGATGAGTTACCTTACTATTTTGCTTTACATGACAAACTGTAATCTCGATGCTGTCGTTTTTGCATTTCGAAGCAAGAGCCAGTTGTGTTTTTGGAGCTGCAATTTGCATGGGTAAAACTGGTCTGAAACAATATGGACAAATAACAGAAAAGGAAGCATGAGTCTACAAGCTTCCCGACTTCATCAGATTGTTTCTTTATTGAGAATGTGAGATTAAAGCTCACATATCCTCGAAACAGATTACACCATACAAGTTCGAGCTTTTGTATGATGTAGAGGCAAGTATATAAAAAAATGTTCTTACCGGACTTCGTTGATGGCTTGCGGCTGTTCTTGAGCAGCACATACTTGCTATCAAACAAGAAAAAATTCGTTGCGTTTGCGAAAAGTGTTTCCTAAAGTAGCTTACTGTGTGCATTATATATTTATCGAAGTTCACAAGTTCATTGCAATATTCACAAGGTATTTTGTCTTCATGGGATTCGAAATGAACTGATGGTAATCGTTCTGTATCGGTCAGAATAATAGAAAATTTCGATAGAGAGTATCCGAAAGACTTTTTCATTAGTTGTAAAGATCATCCCCTGACGTCTTTCTTGTTGCTGTTCCTCTCAAACGAATCAATTAATCTTGTTGATCAGTAATGCACATAATCGAAATACAAAACGTTTTCTTTCCAAAGAAGATTATTCCGTGCTCCCTAGAGTATAGTTGCTTCCTGATCATGTCTTTTATTCTGCAGACTTTCAAAAATAGCATGTAAAGTATGACGCATACTTTACATCTTCGTTAAGTGTTTGAGTTTATCTCGCTTACTTTCATATGAACGACTAGGCATGAGTCGAACTTGAGATATCTTTCCGACTTCTAAAACGGGTTTCAGTACTCTAAAAAGATATTCTTTGTACAGTAAATACACAAAAAAAATGATAATGTCCTTACGTCGAATCTGACCCATGAGCTGAATCCATTATTTTACGTCTTAGTTCTTTGAATGTTGGTCGTTCAGATGATTCTAGTCGCCAACAATGAATGATAGCTGACCAAAGGTCTTCATCACAAGTTGCAGGTCGAGGTAATTGATCGCCACGCAATTTGTAGCGACGGACATCCCTATCATCAGACAATGAGGCAAAAGGAAGTGTTCCATAGGAGCACGCTTCCCACATTAACACACCCATAGAGTACACATCGGATTTTTCCGAATAAAACATTGTATTGCTGTTTGTTCGGAGTATTTCTGGTGCCGCGTACCTGACAGGAACAATCGTCATTACTGTTTGTAACGAACTAGCAGCCACAGAAAAAAGATCGCTGCCTTGAGTGAGACCAAAATCAGTCAATTTAACGAGGTTTTCCTCTGGAATAATTGGATTACATCGGAAGACGAGAACATTTCGACAGGCCAAACCTCCGTGAACTATTTTATTATCAGCAAGGCAAATCATTGCATCAATAATTTGAGTAAATATCTCGACGAGAACGCTTCTAATTGGTTTGAAATTGTTTTCTTGTAGCAATTCGGCAAGGTTGCCTTGTTCTGCACATTCCTGCACGAGCATGACAGAATTTATGTCACTTTCAACAAGACCAAATGTGCGAACAATATGTGGATGACAGCCGAGTTGAACATAAAACAAAGCTTCGCGATTGGCCTTTGCACCATCGATTTTAATTAGAACAATTGGTGGGCCTTGTCTACCGACCCATTCAGCTTTGTAAATTGCTTTGGTGAATGTTTGAAACCAGGGTCGTGTTTCCGTTTTGCGAACATCTACGTTGAGATGAAATTGGTATTCTTTCTTCTTCGAAACTGCTACAAATTCGTCGATCATCTTTCGCACAATGTGATTTGGACGTAGTGATTCGATAGTCATTGGTTCACGAGTAATCGGGCTTGTCCCATGCTGTTGCAACCAAGCAATAATATCCTCGCGCTCATATGTGTGACCATCATGTCCAATGACGGGATCACGAAAAATATCACATGTAAGAGGGCAGTTAAGAGAATCCATAAGATGCACGCCGTTTATAAAAACAAATTCGTTGTTGTTTTAAATAGCATCATGAGAAGGAGTCTGCTAATGTCACAGATAAGAACTGCATTCGAACTTTCACAGTCATTGACTCATCAAGAGATAAATTTCGTTTCTAACAGAACAGACAAAAAAAAACAATATGTCTGAAAACGTATTTAATATTTGGTTTTTCATATATGACTCCGCAGCCAATTATGTTAACAGTGAAAACATGTTTATTCTTCTAAATAACACTTTTGCACTCGTAAACTATTGATAGACTCATTTATTATTTGTATATAATACTTTTCCTCTGCTTTAAAGATAAATTTTATGATTAAATTAATTTTGTTTTCATACTGCCAATTATAAAATCAACCAAGTCTACTCTGAAAAAAAGGAGTTCTACAGAACCTTTTAGAGGGTTCTGGTACCTGATAAAAGACAGAACCCGCCCCCTCCCCCCAAAGGTTCTGATCAAAAGTGGGTTCCGTGAAAAATCAAAAAAACTATTTATAATGCAACGCCAGAAATGGTTCAGTCAAAAGAGTTCCGTCAGTAACTAACGAAACCAATAATATCTCATCCTCAAGAGGGGTTCAGTACTACAAAAAAGTTACCAATTTGACTGGTTTATCGAAAAATACCTGCTACTCAACAGATATTGGTTCTGTATCACACAAGTAACCCAGTCTTTCGCAAATAGCGTGCTTCACTATAAAAAGACGCACCAATGAAAAGTCTGAAAGAGTTTGCGTACACATACGAACATAAAAAAATACTTACGGTTTCAATTCAAACGTATAGCTTACAAATGATACACCATCAAGACGAAACTAAATATAAAAAGTGTGGAAACTTCGGATTTCATCCGAGAGTTATGTGTACTGCAAAAAGTGCATGCACTGAAAAAAATATTCGTATTTGAATGAACCCATCAAAAGGGTATATCAATCTCACATATACCCTTTTGATGGGTTCATTCAAATACGAATATTTTTTTCAGTGTGGGACATATCAGTCATTCTAGAATGTCTGAACACGAAAATTATCATGAGAAACTAGGCAATTTGATTTCTGATGCAGTTTTTTTTATGCATTTTGAGACGTTTGTCAGGTGATGTTTCGTTAGAAAGCTACGATTTAGTTCAAAACTAATATCAGATTTAGAATCAGCGTTAAAAATTGAGTCGATTTATATAGGTTGTGAATAATTCTGAGAAAAAAAAGTTTTTTTTGAAAAATTCCTGTACTCCCCCTCAGGGATGGTCTGATAAAAAATGACAATTTTTTCGATAACTCAGTCATTTCTTGACGGATCCTTCTCATCTTCAAACTCGACCTAGATATTGATGAGACAATTCTGTGCACAAAATTTCAGCACAATCGAATGTAATTGTGAAGAGTTATCGAATAAACGGCCGGACACACTGACCGATTCTATAGTGTACTCTTTCTTTTTTGACTACACAAAAAATGAGACAATACTGCACGTTAATTTAAAAATTTTCAATTATGTTAACGAAAAACTTTCTGTTTTCTTTCAATTCAAACAAATACAAAGAGCTCGATATGTCAGATTATTTTTTGAATATCTAATCGCACCTGTATGTGGGTGAAGTTGCAGGTGGGAGTCTTTTTTTCACTTAGCTCTCCTCACTCTCAAGGTTTGCAATAAGCCCGAATTGATAACATTGATGAGAAGTTGATGATGAAGATAAATGTTGAGAGTGGCGTGGACAAAATCCACATGACGATGTTTGCGGGGTATTATATGTTGAATTCAAAAGTGGTGGTGATAACATTTGCTGTTGGTCAATAGTGAAAATACATTACTATGTTTTAGATGGTTGTTGTACAAATATAGCTATTTCATCAATAATATCTTCGTTATGTAAATAAGTACTTAGTGAGTTTGTAGAACAATATGTTAAGCCATTCTGAATGTTGTCATAGTATTATTCAAGTATAGATTCATGTTATGATTGTCGCCGTTGTTCCACTTTTAACAACGTTGGATTGATTGATGATTGATATACTATAATAGTGCTACGTTAAATATGAACCAATCAAAAATAGTAGATTTTTTTTATATTGAAACCATTTTTATGCAGCATCAGATTGAATATACCTACATATTTATTTCATGGTTGCAATTGTGCTCTATCAAATACAATTTCAACTTCATATAACATCTTTATGAGGAGTACCAGTGAATTAAGTAAGTGTTCGAATTTGTTCTTTCATATTGGAGGAGAATGTCGAATGATAAACAATAGGATTAATAGTTGATCATAATAAAACAACAAATAACGTTCACTAACATCGATTCATTGAACCCTAGACTGACAGTATTGAGCAGGAGAAACGCATGAACCTGGTAGAGAATCGGTTGTTTGTGCCAAAAGCTGGTGATGAAATTTTCGAAGAGACTAGCCGATAAGTTGAACAGAGATCTGTGAAAGGAGACCTATGAAACTGGCGGGAATAAGTGAAGCTGAGGTGAAAATTAGACGAAAATGAAAAGTTCCCATGTAAAAGTACTAAAACTGAAGACACACACGAAGTGGGGGGTCAAAAGTCCTCAAGGCGGATGAGAGGTTGAGTCTTATCTACCCACAAAAATACATGCTTCAGAAATTTCGCGACGGTTAGCTCAATGTTCCGTAGGAGGATCAATTCACGTCCTTCACCGACTCCAGCACAAGGATGAACTATTTTGCGTGACTCTGCGTTGCACCTGCCCATGGGGTTTGGCCTTACCAATCGCTATTTGTGCCTTTAAAGTGGTCAATTGTACCAAGATCACAGCTACAGAGGCTAACTGGTGGAGAGACACAGGCAAATTACGGTTTCTAGGCCTTATCCTTTCAGTCTAGGGAATATAATAATGACAGGCAATGAACACTCTTCTGCTTGCTCTGTCCTTTCTATTTTTTCCTGCTTTATTCGATATCTGATCTACTGAGTTGTTTAGCTAACTCTTTATACTTTATATCGTGCGAGCCGATCGGGAACGGAGGTTATTTACCTTATTACTATGATTGGTTCGTACAACATGGGTCTATACTAAATAATTTCTTCAAGAAAATGAAGAAAAATTAGTAATTAAATCCCTTGATGCTAATCTATTATTCGAATGCTAATAGAAGAGATTAATATCATTACAGGTTTTTATTTCTACTGATTATATCACTTTCTATAATATCGTGTGAGGTGGGTGCAGATATGTCGGTATAAATAATAGTAATTGAATATACTCATCCTCTTCTTCGGAATAGGATTAGGATCGTAAAAGCTCTCAAAGGCAAATTCTTCTGTGTCTGATAGATAAATATTTCAGCTGCACTCACAACAGGCTTTCAATTTTCAGCAGCGACCACCACCCCTTCATCTCGATATTGGCAAACCTGTCCTACACCCTCTAGATTTTTTATTTTCAAAACGAACTACTAGTCTTCGAAACATGTTGTCATTTGTCGATAAGAAAAACATTTGACATATTGTGTTATTTTTTACTGCTTCTTTTGTATACGAGTGTGACAATTTTATTCACTCACACATTTACACTTTGCGGTTTTCGACAAAAACAATATTACAACCGTTTATAAATACAAAGACCACAAATACAAAGCCCAAATGTAATGAAAAACATATAGAGAAAGAGTCCGAACCAAAGACCATTGAATGAACTAGAAAAATTATGGCATAACATCTTATCTGTCTTGTATATTGTAGCTAATGGTAATGGACACATATCGATTGTCGAATTCAAAACTCTTTTCAAGTAGTCTTTGAACTAAAATAAATAAAAACAAAGATTCATTCAGATTTATCGTTGATAGATAGTTTTCTAATACTAACATCTTGATTAGTTTGTTTAACAATACTTGCCGGCAATATTGGAGTCATAGTCAATATTTTATTGAATTGTATTTCAACATTTTTCAAATTCTGTTCGGTTTCGTGTACTTTTTCTTGGATTTCAGCTGAAGCGATTGCATCAGAAAACTTTGCAAGAAGATCGAGATGCGATCTGATATCAATATGATCAATCGTAAGAATGAATTGATCAAAGACCCTTTTATTGAGTCGATTCATTGCATAATCAGTCTCATTTTCGAAACGAGCCAAATGATTTTCAAAAAAAGATTCACTGAAATGCCTATGATTGCTACAATCATCGATAATATTCGTGAATAGAGTTTGTACATCTAATTCGTTAATAACTAAATAATTTGGATTTTTTCCAGACAGTTGATCTAAATCGAATAGATTACAAATCACGAATTAAAACGAAAAAAAAAGACATGGCTACCGATGAAAAATGAAACAAGGAATGGTTGATCATTGTGAGCGGTTCGACAAGCACCTTGAGCTAGCAGATCAACTCCGTGGAAAATACCACTGACAAGAACAATCAAAATCAATATGATCATCATTGGAGTAAAGACAATTCGCATCCAACAGAGACGTGCACTCGAAGAACAATGTGATGATTGTGCAGTCGACATCCATTTCTTGTCGTCGTCTATTGATGGCGAAGGTTGTTTTCCATGACCATTTGTTCGATGAGAGTTTTCACTAAATAAATTTTTTGGAAATTCAGATAGACTTCGAAAAAACTTTATAACATGTAATTGTTATGGACATAGCCATTTTGTTTCCATCGTCATCTAGTGATCGTATCGAGAAAGATGCGGAATGTTTTTTTGTTAGAATTGGACTTATAAATCGCAAATGCGTGCATGGCTAATTGATTAAATAATAAGCGAACCGTCTGCTGACAGCAAAACTGAATATTCAATTCTATATCCCAAGAAATAGAATGCAAAAACCGAAAGAAATATTTGATAGGCTAAATTCTTTCTTGATTTCAATCGTAGGCGTCTATTAAACGAATAAGAATAAGAAGTTTTTCTCCATAGACTTACTGATATTTCGGTGGAGCAACACGTTGTTTCTTACAACACATTCGATATACGAAAATAATAATTAATGCAATGATCGGAATCATACCAAGAACAATAATTGATACGAGAAGAATTGTTAATACAAGACGAAGATACCATCGAATTTGGTTTTCCAAATGCTGATTGAAAAGCATTGCACTTTGCCATGGTGTTATTTGACTGAGAATATCATCGCGAATCGTATCGATGAGTTTTCTTGTTTGCTGATGAACAAGATCTAATGAATTTATAATTATACTGATAATTTCTGTATCGTGCCCATTTGCATAATCACATGATTCTTGCAGCGGCATCTTTAAATCATTGATCATTTCTCTGTTATTATTTTTGATATTTTGAAAATCAATCATGACGGCCGGCAATGGATTACTCTCTTGAGTTATAAGTTTTTCCAATTCATTGATATGAACTTCACTATAATTCACTGATTGACGAATTTCGCCAAAAAAATATTCTTCTCGAAGTATCGTATCGAATGCTTTGACAAACAATGATTGGGATGCTTTGATTATAATAGAATCAGCTAGAAACAGAAATATTCTATTGGTTTTAGCGTTCTAAAAAAGAAAACACTGGCGTATTATGAAACTAGATTCAGTCTACAAGTGAACGAACCATTGAGTTCTTGAGAAAAATTTTCGAAACCGATAACTGAAGTCATTACTTTTTCTATTTCAATTTGTAACATGACTAATCGATAGGAAAAATTCTTCTGTAATGATCTTTACTATATCCATATCTCTAGTGTGTCGGTTACTTAGAGGCAGATTGTGAAATCATAGAGTAAAGCGGGCCGACATTAGAGGTTTCAGGGGAAAACTTGAAACTTTTTACACAAAAATAAACTACGCAATTATATATATCTTTCGTAGATTGAAAGAAAATACGTTTCCTAATAATTGCTCGTATCAGAAGTTATTCAGCATAGATAATAGTTGAAAAAATATTCTATTCAATGTGAATGAAAACAAGGAAATCTTTTGTATGATACTGAAAGTTACTTTGTGTTGAATATTGATCAAGTTTTTCTAGTTGCCGGAGAAGATGTTCTAAATGAATCGAAATTTCTTTTGGATAAATTTCTTGATTGATTTCTTTAATTGAATCATCGATAAAAACTTTTGCTCTGCTAACTTGATATGCAAGAAAGATCATTTGACCAATAACAATGGCGCCCATCAACAATATAAATACAATATAGCAAGATTTTTTTGAGCATTTTTTATTTCGTTGTCTGTTATTTCTCTGAAATAAGCAAAAGAAATATTGACAGGATATTGTTCATGATTATCAAGTACTCACTTCATTATGTTCTCGTTTGCCACAATTCCTACATGAAATAATACAAAATATCACTGAAAGCACCATGAATAGAGCCAAAGCTACACTTGTATAGACAATAGTTGACGTCACTGGTTTTAACTTGGCAATGGCCGAAGTATCCAACGAATGGATATCGTTTGATGTGAATAGTTCCAAAAATGATCGAACATCAGCTATTGAAAAAGTAGACCGGGCAAGAGATGATGAAATCAACTGAAAAATAAATTTCCCATTCGGATTGTAATATGAATGACTAGGAGTATTTTTCACACTATTAATTGTTGGTATTGTTGGTAACGACGAAGATATATTCAAACATGTTAATATTAAATCCATTCAGAAATATTCACTAGATTTATTGTAAGCCAATATGAAGAAATCAGAAACTATAAATTCATTTGCAATAAAATAATTAAGCGAAAATGAAATTCTCGTACAATTACTGCGCAAATAAAGTGAGCAAGAGTAGTTTTTGCATGTAACATGACAATCCTTTTAAAACTTGATAATTAATAACTATGAATAGAATAGAGACAGGAGTGTTAGTCAAAATGTAAAGAATATCTACAAGTTAGCGAGACGGAAACCCCCCGATTGCTCAGCTATGAGCGATAGGCAATGCGAGCAACAGTCGTACTCGCCATTCGATTAGTTTCGTTTTATTCACGTATCGATCATTGACTAGCCCTCTTAGTATCATAGATAGAAGAAAAACAGATTTCCTTGAAACTGGAATGTTATTTAGAGAAATAATCATGACTTGTGTTTTGCTAAATATCAAGCAAAACTATAACTTTTCCGATAAATAAAACCTGATATAATTATGACGACAGATAAAAAAGTGATTCGATGAAAATTGTCGCTATCTTCTCTAAGAGGCGTGGTCGTAAATTTCAAGTGACACAATCAATGGCACATATTGGCGGCAATAAACAATTCACTTGTACTTTGATTACAGAAAATAACCCACTGCAATCGTCAATGGACGTTGCCACTTCAACTATTTTCTTTCTATCAGCACCGCGTGAGATACCGAACTATAAGATCGAACCTTCATGATCTCACTTTCTTACAAGTCATTTCAATGCATGTTTTTTCAAAGGCTCAGGACATTAAAAAAATTTTTACTTAATTCCAAATGAGTCACTAAACGAATTCGAAGAATCAAAAGTGAATGTCTCGTATGACTATCGCGGGGTTCGACATTGGAATCGAACGAATAACGATTTGCACATTTCAAACTGTTGTGGACTCATTTTGTGAGTGCATTCTTTGTCTCTATCAGTGAGAGGAAGGCAAGTAATTATAATCAATTGCATACAAAGAATATTCAAATATAAAAGTAGTTTTTAGAAGTTTTGTTTTTGTATGAGATAAGGTGCCAGCCTGCTTTATCTTGTTATCAGTCCTAATCTCATTGGAATAATTCAGTATGTCAACTACTCATGCTCTAAATCGTTTTGATATTGTCATTTCATTATTCTCAAACAAATATGGCATGAAATTCAAGTTAAGATTTTTGTTTGGTTTCATGTAAAAGCTTCCAAATATACAATTGCGTATCATAAAACGTTGAAATTTTAGCGAAGGATTGCTTGAAACTCGTTGGGTTGCACGATTACTATTCAGTACTTGCCATGTTCCATCTCTAGTTAATAGAAGGAGCACATTTGATATAAATATCGTACTTCAAGAGCTAATCTCGTGTTGAATCTTTTGCCTGTTCCTTGAATAATTGAAGAAATGAGAATAAAAACAAAATTATTTTTCTAAAATTTACTGACTATTATTATATTCGTTTACGCAAATTTCACCAATTATCGTTGACAGTCGTGTTGATTCAAATATGTATATGAAATACATATGATCTTCAATATAATTACATAGGCCAGGAAGATTTTAGCTGCACAACAAAATGCAAGTTAATAGCTGCGCATTACAACAATTTTATAGTATCTGTTCAACTCATAAATAGAATAAATTTTTAATAAAAGAAACAATTCATTGTCAAGCAGAGGTTGGGGGAAGGGGAGAGAATTTCTGCAATACAGTTTGCTCGAATAAAAAAAGATTTTGTTTTTATCAATCAAATAATCAAAGACAACATTTAGATATTCTTATCAATTAATGTTTACTACACGATATTTATGTAATTCTCACAACCTAACTATTGGCATCAAGTAAAAAATAAAGCAAAGCTACACATATTGAAATGTTTATAAATTTCTGTTTATGCATTAGAAAGAACAATCGAATGTTGATAAGCATCTAATCCTAATTTAAATCGTTTTATTGCTTCATCAATCCATGTTTCTCTTATAGAAAATATTATACGAAACCATCCCGGTTGTGCACAACCAAGAAAACTTCCTGTTACCAAGTAAAGACCATGTTCGAATATACTTTGAAACAGACGAATTTCTTCTTCAAACGTAATATCATGTAACAATAAACGTAAATCAGCCCAAATGAAGAATCCTGCTTTCGCCGGTCGAATATAAATACGATTATCAATATTTTCTATTGCCTTTTGAAATTTTTTGTATTGTTGTGTTAAACGTGACCGATTCAATTTCGTATAGGAATCAATCCATTGACAATCAGATATAAGCGTAGTTGCAATTTCTTGAACTATATTTGATGGAATTTGAATAAAATTAATTGCATTGGCTGATGAACATAATTCACTGGAGCCAGCATAAGCGACACCTAAACGTACACCACTCAACGCAAAATCTTTACTAAATGACCAAACAAAATGGGTACGTTTTGGATCAACAATTGATGAATAATTTAACATCGATTGAAACGGTTTTTGATCTTCAAATAAACTCAATGCATAGATTTCATCGATGATAACATGTAAATTCTTTTCGGCTGCAAAATCTAAAACAGGTTGAATTGTTTGTTCGTCATAAATATCTCCAATGGGATTGTTTGGATTAATTATAATGATGCCACGTGGTCGTAGACCTTTAGCTACTGCATCATCATAACCACGCTTGAAAATTTCCACTGAAAATATAAATTTACCAGTGTCCTGTTCAAGTAATGGACATCGATATGTGGCGCAATTTGAGAAAGCTGAGATATCATGATCGAATGCAGTATAATAAGGTGATGAAATAAGAAAAACATCATCTCGATCACCTATAACATAACTTAATAATGAAATAATACCAGATAATCCACTTGAAATCATCATTCGATCTGGATCAAGTTGATGATTAAGTTCGAAAATTTTTTGAAAAAAATCACACAAAGCTTTTCGTAACGATAATAAACCTTGAGAACAGGGATAGTACATATGACTTTTTTGCCATACTTGAATAGATTGAAGTTTTGAAATCAATTCATTTTCACATAAATAATTCTCTGCAACACCACAATTACATATACCATTAGGATTCGATTCTTCATCATAGGGATTTTTTTGAACAAGTAAAAACTTTTTTAATATTTGCGTTACATTTTTATTCATGCCTTGAGCACGAATTGAAAGTGTATCCATAATCTTAATTCTAAATAAAACAGAAGGTTTCTTATTCTAAAATAAAAAAAATAAATTTATCAAATATAACCAATAGAATAAACAATTCTGTAACAAAAATTCTCATAGACAAAGTCAAATTATCTTAACTTTATTTGTTTTTTGAGCACAATCGAAATTGGAATGATAACATTTTGTATTATAAACGAGAAAGTTTTAAAAGCATTTCCTTCTATGAAAGAACGTTGATAAAAGATAATAGAAATTGAGTGTGCAGATCAAGCAAGGAGAAAACGGCGGACTTGCAGTACACTGTAAAACAAAACGTAGAATAATAAACCCTAAAAGGGTTTATTAAAGTGCAACGTACCACAAACCATTTTTACCGTACATGAAACATTCCTAAACCCCTCCAAAGGGTTTAGGAAAATAATAAACCCTTTGAAAAAACCCTTTAGGAGAGTATATGAAAAGGTTTAGGAAATCAATATACCCTTCTAACGGGATTCGGGAAACTTTCCAGGTCGAGAAATCCCACACCGAACCAGATAGGAACTTGATAGTATCCTACCATCCTACAGAATCTCATAGGATCCGGGTCGAGGAATTGACGTCGGAATCACTGGTCAAAAACCATTGAACTTCCGATGACATCCGACGGTGTTCCTTTGGAATTCATAGGAATCCGATGATAGCTCTGTAGGGTCCGACAAAATCTGCTACGATCCTACTGGATGCGAGTCGGATCGGATGGGTTCCGATTGGTTCTCACTGTTGGATTGCTCGACCTGGGTTACTCTTAACCAAAAGTCCTGTTCAGTTTGATTAGCCATTCCCAGGTCGAAGAGTCCTGCCTGGAAACAGCCGGTTCCGGGTAGTTTCGTTGATTTTGTGGAAGCAGTATTCCGGTTGGACATTTTTCGGATTATTTTCTGGAGTATTCTACGAGATCCGGTAGCCGGAATATTCGACCTGGGTATACTTACGTTCGATTTTGAATGTTGCTTCACTAACAGAATGAAAATACGATTTATTGAAAGAAAAATTATAATTAAGCTCGATTTTGAATGTTGTTTCACTAAAAGAATGAAGATAAGAATCCTTGAAAGAAAAATTATAGTTGCGTTCGATTTTGAATGTTGTTTCACTAAAAGAATGAAGATAAGAATCCTTGAAAGAAAAATTATAGTTGCGTTCGATTTTGAATGTTGCTTCACTAAAAGAATAAAAGTAAGAATCCTTGAAAGAAAAATTATAATTGCGTTCGATTTTGAATATTGTTTCACTAAAAGAATGAAGATAAGAATCCTTGAAAGAAAATTCTAGTTACCCAGGTGGAACAGTACGGTCCGTATACGGCCAGTCTGTTTATCGACGGTAAACGATGTCAAAATGGTATATTTACGGCAGTAAATAGACCGTATTTCCCCGTAATACCTCGCACAGTACTGCGGCACCCTAAACGGGACTGAATTCTTATGATTTACGGCTGTTTGTGCTCCGTACTTTCATGATCATACGGTCCGTATTACTGCGCCAGATATTACGGCAAACTTTCACCCGGAAAATAGTCGTAAAGTAATCGTAAACGGCCGTATACGGACCGTACTGTTCCACCTGGGTAACTAGAATTTTCACTTCTTTATTTAACTAAAACATTAAAAGGAATAATTCTAAGAATAAAATTATACCTACTTACGATTTTCAATTCCAAATAGAACTAAAAGGATAAAAAAAATAATTAAAGTAGAAAGATTTTACTTACCTAGATTTTCCAATGTGGAATTGAACTAAAAGATTAAGACCAATAATTTTANAGTGTTTTACAAACACGTTTGTATTAGCCTGGAATGTCCTTGAGCCCGGTCACGTCTAGTATGTGTTGTCTGTTGACCCAGCCCAGACTAGTAAAATGATTAAAAAAGAGGTTACGCTGTGGATTTGAACATCCAGCCCGACAGTGTGCAAAATATGACGGACATCCTGCCGACAGACTAGGACACTGAGATAGATTGCCGTAAGTATATATAGTCTAAACTTATATATTGACTCTCATCCATGCAAAGAAAATCAGGAATAAGTCGACTTAAACGGTACTGCTTAGTCTGAAATTTCTTCAACAATTGTTAGAATTGGTCTAAAGCATCTGCTGGACACATCATGGCTAGTCGTTTTTAAGAAGTGTTTATTTCACTAAATGCTTATCGAAGTTTTCTTAACTAGAAAGATCAGCAAAAGGTCTGGTGTAATCAATAGTGCGGTCAGAAAGATGCACGTTATTCCGGATATCCCTATCGTGATATATTTTACTTTATTTTGTATAAGCATGTTTAACATTTAAGAGTGCTGTATCGAAACATAAAACAGAAGGAGTTATTACTGAGAAAAATATTCATCTCGCATCAAGGAGTGGTATAAGTTATATTTTTTTTTAAATATGAGATGTACTAAATTTAAAAGAATTGAGAAGCATCTAAATCATTTCATATAGTAATATTATGTTAGTTTATTTTGAATATCAATTGGAATAATTTAAAATAAAGCAAAGATAATTTAATTATTAGATGAATATACGGTGATTTAAATTTAAAACTTAACTAAAAACCAATATGAAAAAAATTAGTTTCTATTCCATACAAATATTTTTTTAAATTTTATACTCAAATTACTGTTTTTAAAACCAAACTAGTTAATCGCACTTGTTTTTAAATCAAAATATATTTGTCGAAAAAATTATAAAATCTTCTTAATTTATTTTTATTTAATGTTATCGAAAGTAATCGCATCTCGGTAAAAGATAACTTTTATTGATACATAAAATTAAAAACATTTGGAGTAAAAATTGTATTAAACAGCATCTTAGAGAATGATCACGAACGTGTAGAATATGACTTCTCGGACGTATGGCTCCATGGTTCTGGCGGTGGGCAAGTGCCACATTATATACATGTTCGAATCTAATCTTCATCCTTACATATTTTCATTCAGACTTGCCCACTATATAAGGCTACAGCTGGTTTTATACTCGTCCCAAACGCCCTTAATTTTTCATTCATAAACCATTTTCGGACGGGCGACAGGGACACTAGTCACGGCTACTCTTATTAGATTTTATGACTAGTTGCCAATCAGAGTACTAAGATGCATATGCATGACAGTCAAAAACTCCGACTAGTCGTGGACGAGTAGACTTTGAGACAAAGATTAGACGGGACGGGTCGACTTGACTAGAAAAAAGACTAGTCATTCAACCAATGTTTTGCTCACTTGGGATAAAATAATAAACCCTTCATCGTAGATTCACAAACCCTTCTCCTTAAATTCTGAAACAATAAGCCCTTTTTATTTTCAAATACCCTTAGTTTCATAAGTGTTTCAGGCAATAAACGGTTTTAGAGTTTCGGCCAAAAACATGAACCCTTTAGGGGTTTATGAAACGCTTTTTTAGTACTAGGATTTAGTATTCTACGATTGTTTTATACAGTGCAGAATAGTACGCCAAAGTAGACTACTTGAAATAGCTCAAAGTAGGAGCAAGTAGCTTAAAATAGCCTCAAGTAACTTCAGGAAAATTTGAAGTTGAAAAGTACTTTAAAGCAGAGATGTCCACAGGCTGATTTGTTGCATCCTGTCCTGCCCTGCCCTGTTTGGTCCTCTGATCAGGGCAGGGCAGGGCAGGGCAGGACAGGGCAGAGTACCCTGCTGAATCAAAATAATGTCTGTGCTGCAATTTCAATATATTTCAAAACAAAATGCATTTTCCTCATTGTAGCATGGAGCATTTTTTATTTTAGAGCCAGTCCAGATAATCCACGACCGACACTGTTCAATCAACGGTGCTAGATGTAACCGATACTTTTATGCATCATAGAGGCAAGTGTTTGATGAATTCATGGGCAAACTGTTTCAAAAAATCTTGTACCATTCTTGCGATATAAAATTTTTCTGAGACTTGAATCTTTTTACAGATGCATTCATTTTGCTTGAAATTTTCAATGTAGATCTATCTTTAATTGAAATATTTTCCCTTAAAATATAAACTCAAACGGATGAATTATTGATGATTTGAGCTCATATTTTAAGGAAAAATATCTCAGCTAAAGATGCACATACAGTAAAAACTTCACGCGAAAAAAATATTTTCTTGAGGAGATATAGGTCTGAGAAAAAAATCACAAAATGTCATTTTCCGATGAGGATTCTCTTAGAAAAATTTTATTATCTCAAGAACGAAAGAAAGCATTTCTTCAAAACGGAAATTCAAACAACTGGGTTTTTGTGTTGCAGGGCATAACTTTCACTCTGCTCTGTGCTACAATTTTCCCTGATATATCAAAATCAATATTATTTATTCGAAAATTTGATTATCAGAGTTTGCAAGGAAATCAGGAAATGAGTCATAATGCATACTTATTTTAATTGCTTGCAACACTGTACTTAAATAATGCCATATACATAAGAAAACCAATATGGCATTATGCATTACACATGAAGAGTATATCTATGAGGTATTTCAGTTTTATTCATAATATAATTCAGTTAAAGATATTGTGTTTGGATCTTGACATGGAGGACACATATACATTCACATATTTAGTAGAAAAAGTATGCTTTGCAGTAAAACAAATGTGATTTCGAACTCTAAATTATATAATTGATCATTTTCATGCATTTTCCGTTATTTTTCATCTTAAACCCATGAAAAGTAATATTCGAATATCACTCAAAGACCTGCCATGTGCATCGTATTATTCTTTTTCTAGCAAGAAGCATATATTTACTTGAAGTTTAACTTTTATAACATGGACCACTTCAATTATAACACGTTTTTTTTGTTTTCTTCAAAAAAAACCTAAAACGAAACAAAAATATTCATAGCAGCATTTTTCGTTCTGTTCTGTACTTCCCCAAAGAAAAATAATCAAATCTTGCATCGAAATAGGTGATGTGTCATTTTCTAGTTTTTTCATATTGCGTAAATCAAAAACATGTCCTTCTTATCATGTCGTCGGAACTCAATGGCTTTATTGAAACTATATGATCTAGAATCATTAGTGATACATCAGTTACCTACTCCGACAGATCAAGACACATCCATATCAAATGTAGAAAAAAATGAGCACAACGACTGGAAAGTAAGCTAAGCAACGGTTGCATTTCGAAGCATATTTGAAATTATTCAGAATAATAAGACTAGGATATCATATGCAGAAAGATTTTATTTGAAAAACTGCTCACGTTGATCTAATAGTACATTTAACAGTGTTCTCATTTTACATTCTTAGACTCACACATCTCCACCAAAGCTGAATTTTGAAGATTTACCAAACGAATTGTTACTTTTCATTTTTCAATTTTTACCGATCATTGATTTACAGCGTGCCTTCTACAATTTAAATTTACGTATAAATACAATTTGTTATTCCCAAGAATTTAAATTGGACTTAACAAGTTTAAAGCCTGCATTTGACTATTATTGTTCTAGTGAACAACCATTTGTATCTCAGATCTACAGCTTAAAGTTATCCGACGAATACGATCGCCTGTCATTGTTCAATCAACATATTGATATTAGTCATTTCCATCACTTAAGAGCAATAACGATCCGACAACCGTCTCCAGAAAATCTTGGTATGAACTATTGTGTATCCTAATTCTAACCTATTAACCTTGACTTGTTTAATTTAGATCAAATATTGTCGAAATTACATTTGTTAACAGAATTGTCTTATTTGAATATTTACGGTGCATTAATACAATCACCACATATAACAACAGCACTATTTTCGATTCGATCATTAAAATGCTTGATTTTATACTCATTTGATCCAATTGTATTGGATTTTACGGACATTACGATTTGTGCTTGGACTAAACTTGAATATTTAGAATTGCATAGTTGTTATATGACGAGTTTCTTAGAATTAATCAAATATATAGGTCCAAATGTTAAACGAATGAAAATACATATAAATTATAAGCGTCGTGAAAATCCGGCATCAATCGATGAGCAAATAATCAATAATCTACTAAGTGGTGATGGTGGACGTTTTGAAATACCCAGTAAGTTAAACAGAAGCTTAAGTTTCCTTTTCATAGCTGAGCATCATACGTGAGTAATACATTCTTGTCAATATGAGATTTTCATTATAAACTGACCTCACTCTATGATAGATATCATTCCTCAGTACTAGTAAAAACGTGGGACTAATATATGCGTACGAAATTTGCATTTACTGTAATCATGAAGCTGAGAAAAACTGTTATTAACTGATACAGAGAATGGGATTGTGAGCGAATCGGATATATATATAGCCAAAGCGGTGAAAAAACGAGGGATATTGCGTAGACAATAATAGTGTTCGTAATTTCAATTCGTCTCTTACTGATTACATTTAGTTGCGCTGATACTATTGAGAAAAGGTGTTGCAGCTGAATATTGTATAAACATACCTGAAACTATACTACTATCTTATATGAAAACCAAGATCTGCTTCAATATAGATTATAAACTTCAAACGACTGTTTGCTGACGAATCAGGGCGCTTCATCACAACTAGTTGCATGTAGCATAAAAACTGACTTGATTCAGTTCAAATGACTCCAGTGATTCACTGCTTGTACGTCCGACTCTAGTCGTATAGATGAACTCAAGCTTTTTCTCAAATATTTTCAATTTGGTTCTGTTTTAGTATCTTTAAATCGTCTTGATATGTCGTTTTATTATTTATCATTGACCGACTTTCATCTCGTTCTAAAACTATTTCCCAATCTAAGACATTTAGCATTTTCAACGTCGACTTTCGATATGAACTTTGCTTCGGCAACAATGTGGTACGAGTTTATTACGAACAATCTTTTAGAATTAAAAAAGTTTCAATTCTATACACAAGTTACTGGTAAGTCTCGTATCGCTCAATATTCGCTAGTACATATAAATTGTAACATTCATTTTTGTGTTGAGGCGATGCTGCTCAACGATGTCCAGCACCCGGATTAGTTGAGTTATTCAACGAAAATCATGATAAATGGATTCAAGGTCCTGTCATTATGAATTACAATCATCCTCTTAAGCCACCAACTTTAGAATTCTATACTTATTCACAATCTGCATGGAAAGGAAAATATTATGCAGAGTTTTATGGCAATGAAACGTACATATCAACAAAAAGTAATATAATGGATATATATGACAATGCAAAGACATTGCGGATTACACTAAATGATAATAATAATGAACAACTGACGTTATTAAATCAAAACAAAGCAAATTATCCAAAAGTAACAACAATCAGACTTCATTCACAAATGACACGAAGTGCAAGAGAAAACGATTCCATGAACAGGTAGGAGCTAATCACTTCTTCACGGTATATTTTATGATTTCGTTCCAATGTAAATGCGTGAATATGCTAGAAAACAACACTACAGTGCGTCAGTAACTAAGTGTTTCTGTCTTAATTGGTAGATCTTGTACTGAAAATTCTTTTTTTAATGTGGAAACATATTCACATATGAATAAAAACTTTTTTCAATCCTTTTCTCGTTGTTTAGCTTAATTTGTTCTGACTTGAAGATGTGTTTTGCTGATTTGTCGAAAATCACCGGACTCGATATTCCGGTAAATCAACCGACGAATTTTAATTTTCCTTCAAGAACATTGGTACGCCGCCTTCTCTGTATAATGCCGAAAATCAGTCGACTGTCTTTACCCTACAGCTACCTATTGGATTTGTTCAAAGCACCACTTGTTATTCACATGCTTAAAAAAAGGATTGACTCCGTTTCGATTACATTTAATAGTGATCCCCCACTATTACAAGATATAAATGTGTTTTTGGATGGATTCTCGACCAATCTACGATATCTGTACATGATTGTTGATACTACTTTTCCAGTCGACAATTTTTATGCTATTTTACCTTCAATACTTGATGGCAAATTCACCAAATTACGTTTTTTTTCATTAAAACTGTCAAAATTACAAGGAGCACCACAAACATTCAGTACTGAATTTAAGCTATGGCTGAAAGTCTGTTTGACTATCATGATAAAGAATGATAAAAAACGATCAAGTGCAATTGAATTTAATATTAAAGACAGTGAATTTGCCGCTGCTTTTTGAGGGAGATAAATATCTATATTGTTATAAACCAGAAATTGGAAATGTTTCAAATATATACGGATGTATATATTCTAATCCGATACGAATGTTTAACTGAGAGCAAGGAATCGAATTGGCGTGGAAAATGAAGGAGAAATTTGTTTAAAAATAAAATTTCTAACCAACAAAATAACAACTTTTGTCGCAATATATTACAAAATCATCGTTAAGTGATGAACGACGTTTTGAAGAAATGTAAAGATTGATGGAGTTTTGTTTCATTTTCCTAAACTCATAGAATTATACAAATAATTATATGCAATTGCTCTTTGTTCAAATCTAAGTTGATTGTTTTTTTAAAATTGCTCAAATGAACTTTTCAACAGTAGCATCATACTATAATTGATATTAATGAGGGGTCTGTCACGTAAACGGATCCTTTTCTATCTTGCAAAGTCAAAAGAAAAGAAAACAAGAATAAATAGTGCAGCATAAAAGTGGAAAAAATCTCATTGATTCACCGACATCTTCATATAGTATACAGTCGAAGTTACTTGCCTGACTAATAAACAGTAGTTTTTAAATCTCTTTCATGTCACCATTAGGTGTGTGTGATGGATTCACCTGTTATACACTCATCGCTGGGAGCAGTGCCTCTCTTTACCACTATTCTCTTTCTTTCGTTGTTCTCTTTCTCTCTCTTTCGAGCACATATGAATACCCTTGTTCAACTGTTGCTCATCAGCCATTCTTAACTCAATCTTCTTCTCCTATCATTTTACTCCATTTTTCGTTGTAATCCTTCCATAATATATGAAAGAATAAACCACAAGTAACTCAAAACCGTTACAGTGTAGTTCTTTACTGTTACTTAATGGAAATTAAATGTATTCATTAAAAATTAAAAATTAAATGAATCCTTTATCTTTAGAGAATAAAAGCAAAGTTAGGAATAAAGAATTCTTTTTTTTTGAACAATAGTTTGGTGATATGTGCCCTCGGTCGACTAATCCGACAACGAATCCTATAGAAACTTGATAATATCCTACCATCCGATACAATTCTATTGGATTCCGGGTCGAGGAATAGATGCCGGATCCGTCAGTCAGATTCCGTGGAACTTCCGAGGCTATCCAACTGTCGGAACCGATGAAGATTCCGTTAATTGGATTCTAATTTGGTATCTATATAATCTGATGAATATCCAATAGTGTTCTACTATTGTCATTTACACAAATTCCAATAATCGGATTCCAAATTGGCATTTAGAAGATCGATACACTTCGTTGGGTTATCGATGAGTCTGGTTCTTTACACAAAGTATTTCTTTCCTTCAATACACGAGAACATTTGATAAAGAAAACTGTTACTAGAATCAGCATTTTATTTTTATTTTCCTTCTATGATCTTGTTTAAAGACTGGGGCGCGATGTGCAACGGAACATTTCATCACGACAAACGGAGTCTGACAAAGATAATTAATTAATACATTAAGAGAATGAGAAATTAATTTTTCCGCTTCGTATAAGTGGATATATCTTCGCTATAGCGCATCGAAGAAACCTCATTGCTAGTAAGTTGTTTTTGTTCTTCCATAGAAAAAGCTTTATGTATCATCATTTTCATGAAATTTCTCTTTGTGATGGTTAACAAATGATAATATTTCACAACTTATAAGCGATCAGAAAATTTCCTTCTAGATTGGAGTAACGATAGGTTGAAGAAATTAATGCGAGCTTTTCAAAAAAGTGTTAACTTCACACGTATCTGTACACTTTTTCTTAGACGTATGCCTTTATACAGGAAGAACGTAAGATAAATAGGCCTTAATAAATAATTACAGTTATGAAAATATCCAGCATTCATCTTTGCTAAGATTTTAAAAAAGTAGGTTAAACTGTTCTTATTCGAGTAATTCCTAATTGTAGTCATGGGTTTGTATTAATAAGAAAAATTTTAGAATGAAATGCCTTCTTCTATTAAAATTCTTTTAGAAAGAGAAGTTATCATATAGTATAAGATTAACCATGTAAATTATGTTGCTATAAATGCTTTAGTCGTGGCTTTAATATTTAAGTCTATACAAGATTAATTAGCTCATCTAAAAAGACAATATAGTCACTTTTAGCTTTCATTCATAAATGTAATATTAAGTTCCAACGAATATACGAATAGAAATACTGTATCAGAAGTTCTTTTGTCAGTCGATTAGAAATATTACGTACGGATAGTTCGGCCAAAAGAACCATGTTCAACAAGGCATCGTAAACGACGTATGCATAAGATGAATTTTCTCAAGTTGTGAATTCATGCGTGTTATGAAAGTCACAGCAAAAATACTTTATATTGTAACGTTATATGCGGAGAGCGTCCAAATTCCATCCGGAGGTGTAATGCTCTCGTTCGAGTGTAACCTATACATAATATTTGGTCTTATGGTGCCATTTATTCTCATCCCATCTATTTCCTTTATCTTTCTGTCCTTTACGTTTGTCTTTACCTATCGTTCTTCTTTGTTCTCTCAAATGGTTGAGTATTTACGCGTGTGTTTTATATATAATCGATGCGGTTTATGATTTGAAGAATTAAATAAAGTGTAATACCATCAGCACAGGCATCTCTTCTATCTAAAATCGTCACATATATGATGATCGGGAGAATACTTATCATTAATTATATCTTCATAAGAAATGCATTTTCACACTTAAAATCATTTTGTTTTCTACTCAATGCAATATTATAGTAGATAATTATATCAACAAGTCAAAAACAATCTGTCAAACGAAAATATTCGAAAATTCTGTACTTTTAGAATGAAACACAAAAACAACATACACTACTTCATGATTATTATGTCGCCTGAGAGCGCTCTCTGGTCAATATTCTTTTTTATACTTAATCGGAGGACGTGATTTTGCGGTAACAGAAGCAGAAATGGACATACGATTGGTCCCAGATATTTCGCATTCATGAATGTGCTTATCATGATTTGAAAATAGAAAATAGGAGGAATCTTTTACATTAAAAATACCGAAAAACATATATGCAAAGTATTATATAATTGATGCTCCTACTGTATGGTTTCGAATATTACTTTGTTATTTCAATTGCGTTAGCGATCCGAGTATTCGAATATAATGAATGTTATTCGCCAAACATATTTAAAGTGTGAACACACTATACGCATGATATATGTAAAAATTGCGCAATATTTTGTTATTATATAGCAATCCATAATTCTATATTGAGAATGCCTCATCGACTGGTTAAACATTTTCTTTGCAATACTTTTCGAATATGAGTTTATTTGAGATTTTGTAGCAACCTATTGTTGAGCTGAAGCTAAAGATTCTTATTTTTTGCCAATTTAACTCGTTTGGAATCATATTCTGTTATTTCTTTTATATTTGTATAATTAATTTCACCATATATGTTTGTTTCATACACATCATTGACTCAACCAATAGATTAAATTCATCTTTCAGTTTTCATGTTAATGTTCCAATCAAACTGAGTATTTATCATTCGATAGTAACTTAGACATGAAAAAGCATCTATTATTGGGTATCATTTTAAATAACTCATACATCTACTAGAATTTGATCTCTAAAATTACGAGATAACAGTATCTGAAATACATGCTATATCTATTGCTAGTATTACAGTTATTTGGCAACAGCTTTGACACAATCGACCTTTACCTCAGATTATCTGTTCTGTCATTAAAACAAGATGAGCATTCACGTTTTTTATTCATTATATATAATAACTTTGTAAGAGAATTAAAACAAATGGTATCGATGCGCAGTGATTCAAATAATAACTAAGCCAAAATCTATGACGTCGACAGGAGTTTTTGAATAATTCGTTCTTCGATTTTAATGCAATATATGACACCAAATCATGCAATTCAAGGGTGTGGGGTGTGTTAATGAAAGGTATACACCCAAACCCAAATCATCATGGTCATCATCCTCAGATTCATCACATCAAAATCACCATCGTCATCGTTGTTTTAGAGGCAATAATTTAAAGTCTAACTCATGGATAATCATCATCATCGTTGTCAGATCCATCACATAATCATCATCTTCAGATTCATCACACCATCATCATCCTCAGATTCATCACATCAAAATCATTATCATCATCATTGTTTTAGAGTTAATAGTCTAAAGTCTAGCTCATGGGTTATCATCATCATCATCATCACAATCATCACGTCATCATCATCACTGTCATCACATCATAATCAGCATCAGATTCATCACATCAAAATCAGCATCGCCGTCACTGTTTCAGAGATAATAATTTAAAGTCTAGCTCATGGGTAATCATCATCATCATCATCATCACACCAGAATCATCACACCAGAATCATCACATCAGAATCATCACATCAGAATCATCACATCAGAATCATCATGGTCATCATCGTTGTGGTCGTAATGATTTAAAGTGTTGCATATGCATTAACATCATAATCATCATTATCATCATCATCGCATGAAAAGCATAATGGTCATGATTCTGTTACGTTCAGTGATTTGAAGTATAGCTTTTACGTTATCAGCTTCATTATTAGAGTCGTGAGGAGACTATCATGGCCCTGATTACTGTTTTTGGAGGGACTCACAATGGATTGTGTGGTATGCGTGTTCGGTCAAGTTTTTTTTTTTAAAAATAGCGAGAGCAATGCTAGCTGTACAATCGTGTTTGATGTCTGGTATACTTGTGTATTATACGTTGAAGTATTTATGTAAAATCAACAGACATCTAAGTGCACTGTAAAAAAAATCGTAGAATACTAAGCCCTAGTACTAAAAAAAAGGTTTCATAAACCTTTAAGGGTTTATTATTACACACTTGCATTGAAGGGTTTATTATGATACTCTTGTGTGGAAGCGTTTATTATTATACACTTGTGTGGAAGAGTTTATTATTGTACCCTTGCATAAAATAGTTTTTTCCGCTAAAAAAGTTGAAATCAGACAAGTCATACATATATACCAAATGACGTT